ATTATGATATTAGTTTGTTAAATGAGATATCAAATGTGAAAGTTGAGGGAATCAATTAATGCATGCATGTACTTTTTTAGGCATTCCATGTGGTAGCTAGAACAGTGAGAATTGTTAGAAAGGACATGTACCCTGCCTTGTAAGTGTAGATGTTTTATGTTTTCATAAACAATCTTTATTGCTCCCCTCATCGTGACTTTCCCCCCCTTTTCTATTTTAGTTATATTTTTATTTTTTTTTACATTGTTCTAGGTTGTTTTTAATCCACATGCATTGTGTATTTCCTCAACAAAGGGATATTCCTTTCTAAAAGCTTAATTTTTTTTAGGACTATATGATTCGATATATCAGGATTGATGTTTTCAATGAATTTACAATTAGCATCTACTTTACCAATGATTCAACTAATTTCTCACTTTACGCCAAACACTGAATAACCACAACTATTTTTGTAGTTATCTAGGTTAAAATTTTGGTCATGTTATCCTATAGAGTCCAGATGAAAGAATGCTCTTGCATGTTTGAAAGACAGCTGATTGATTATTTTTCTATTTAAAATTTCTTTATCACTCTATTTTTATTTCCAAATTATATACTAATATGTTCTCATTCTTAAATTATATATCACTCTATCATTGTTTGACTAAAATTTGACTAATCCTTAATAAGTTATTTATTCGAGTAAATTAGAATAAATAACTTTCTACTCGAATAAATATTAATCAAACTTTGATAAATATAAATAAATCAGTATATAGTTTAAGAAGATAGACAAAATAATAATATAATAAAAATAAAGATAAAATGGTCAATTAATTATTGAAAGACTGATTTTAAATAAATTTAATTTTTAAATAACTAGTTTATAGTTGTCTCAATTGTACTGTTTCTCTCCTCCTTTGTCTTTCTTACTTCAACCAATATTTTGCAAACTATTTGATATTAAAGTAATTTAACACCAAATTTTAGACAAACTGGTTAAATATATTTTGAAATATGTTCAAAATCATTATAAATTTTTCACAGGTTAGACCTAACTAGCTAGTAATAACAAGTTTTATAAAAATTATCAAATGATGGTAGATCAGTTGGCGTACAGGAGCTGAGAAGTTAAGGGTGAAAGTTTGTGTTCGATTTTCTCAAATATCATTTTTGGGAGGAGTTTAAAACCTTATTTTTGGATTCGCTCTGAACTCTTGATTAGTCTATAAAGAACCTATGAGATTAGCGGAGGATAATTTCAAAAATAAAATTTAAAAGACTTAAAATAGAAATAGATAAATTACCATAGCAAAAAGCTAAATATAATTTCCGTATCATTTAGTAGTTGCAGCGAGTGAAAATTTGAGTAGAAGTATTATACTTAAATCTTAATTACAGGTTTTCATTATATTAAACAAATACGAAATAAAAGTAAAGTTAACTACCGAAGTTATATTTTTCTATCCACTACAATAGAAAAATATATATAATTTCAATGAGTATGCACAGATTTATGATACGATGTTATTAGGGTTTATTTGTTAAAATATTTGGAGTTTAACCCCCAAGAGTAAGGGATTGCTTGGTGCAGGGATCAAACCCTGCCTCAAGCAGTTTCTTGGAAAATCTTTGAGGGTCAGAGGATAAGCCAAAAAATCTTCGGTTGGGGGATTAGTCTCGTCCTTTCTCCGGTTGCGAAGCTTAGTGCACCCACTGTTACAATGAGGGGCTAGCCCAAACGAGCCGTACCCCGAGGACATGGTGCCCAGAGAAGGTTGAATGGGGATACCTTCTCGCAATGTACCAAAAAAAAAAAAAATTATTTGGAGTTTGAGAGAGGAAGTACCCAAATTATTAAAATCACTTGCAGCAACAATTATCTTTTTGAGGATTATTTCTATTATTATCTTTTTGAAAAATAATTGTTAGATTTGTTGCACCGAGTAATAGTATTTATTTACCATTTTCCACCAACAAGCAACAAAATCTTTAACTAAGCATAATCAATTCGATATAAATCTGGTCCTAGTATATTGAGAACCAACCCACTGCCAGCTGGTCATACGAGAACTTTTTTTAGGAAAATACAGATCTCATGTTGTAGAAGACTTGTTATCTTATGTCATAGACATAAAATATGCGAGACCCACTCTTTTAAAATAAATAAATAAATAAATAAATGTTAACACAACTTTTAATGTATGAATAAGAGGAGTATGTTATCTCATGTCACATGAGAAAAATATACCATTTTTTTTAATCTCCTAACTCACATCAACGAGCTTTAACTTTCGAAGTAGTTGAAACCAGCACTTCATGTGAATATTTTGCACCAAAATCGAGGAATATTAGGTTGTGACATGATATGCTTAAATCTGCTGAAGGCAAAAGACAATCCCAGCCTGTAATTTTGACTATATAAACCAGAGTTTCATTTAGGGGCGTTTGGTACAGGAGAAATTTTTATTTGTCCGAGAATTTTGATTTTTAAAAATATAATTTTTACATTCAGTTTACGATAATATCTGAAAATTTAAAATTTAAAAAAATCAGTTTCTCGAGAATCCGAAAAAAATTCGTGTACCAAACAGCCCCTTAGAGCAGGCGAGCTGGCATTATTTGGTTGGGAAAAGTGTGTATCCTTTTAAAGGATACATACTTATATTCTTTTAAGAGAGATAAAGAAATAAATTTGGAGAAGAGAGAGTGGAGGAAAAAATTTATAATTTAAAATTTGAAAAAATACACTTCATTTATCTAAAAAGACCATTTTTTTTGAAGGAGAAACAATAAACCCTATTTGGTTTGCCCAAAAATTATCTTATTCTCTCTCTCATGTAGCATACATAAGTACCTTAATTCATTGATTCTTATGTTAACACCAACCACTAAATGCCTCCTTAACTACATCAAATTCTGTCTGTTAATGTGTTCATGGGTTTTATTTCTCATTTGGCAGGGAATTATATTTTGAATCATGAGGGAACAGGTGAACCTAGAATCAATGAAATGGTTAAAATATGTACCAAAGGTGGTTGAGGCACGTGGTTTTTTGAGGGATTCATTCTAGTAACATCACCACCCCTTTTTATTTCATGCACATGAAATTAACCTTATAGCTGACCCTTTTAAAAACTCACAAAGATTAAGAATGTAATTTATACTAAAATAAAATTAGAGTCGTTAGATATAAATGTATCAACAACCAATATTGAGAATGTAACTTATACCAAAATAAAATAATATACAACATTCAAAATTATTGTATAAAATGAGAGCCAGTTTTGGCTAGACTTGCTCTATGTTACTCATGTGACACATTTGATAAGTCATCATTTAGTATGTCCACCCCTAAAGAAAAAGGTAACCTAAAATCATGCCCCAAAATTCCCTCCCTTTTGAACTTTGCATTGGTTATGGGCCTCATGGCTGGGCAGCAGCCAGAGTATACTTGGCAAATAAGCAAAGGGATTAAGTGAACATTAAAAAAAGGAATATAGCATAATTTAAGAATAAACAAGCAGAAGGGTCATGGTCATGCACCTAGCTCATAGCTGTACCTATGTTGTAGAAAGTCTAAAGCATATTTATTTTCAGCGAGTCACCACGCAATTTGACCCTATTTCCTCTCTCATGTGAAGGAGCACGCAAACGTAACTCAGTCATCTTCAATGTCACTTAACTTTGTGACTTTTTCCTTTCCTTTCCGAATATTATATCGATTAGTGAAGAAGAAATGAAGAATATTTGGTTCAATCAATGAATATGCCCTACTTTGTGAGTGCCCCACATTTTCCGCCTCAAGTTTACGCCAACTATTATATGGCAGAATTGCTTGTGACAACTTTTATTATACATATCCCTTTGTTCCCTCCCCAAGACAGCCAGCAATAAGTTCAAGATGGCAGGCCAACAACTTTGAAATAACTAAAATACCCTTTTTAACTAAAACACGAGGAAGATTATATTTACAAACTTTTTGTTTACAAACTATATTATGTCTGACCGGTCATACATTAATCAAGAGTGTATAACCGGTCATACTTAATGTAATCGTTTCCCATGAAACATTTATTCATGTAAAGTTAACAATTGAATTTTGTATTATATATCGTATATTATACCTTTGTGTTATATTAAGCTTGCGGTTTAGTTCCAAATGAATGAGAATGCCAAATGGTTATCAACTAGTTAAAAGCCTTCAAGTAGTAAAACATCGGAACTTGTAGAACTATTAAACACTTCAACAATGCCATTCTATCTCACTCAAAAAGAAAAAGAAATGCCATTCTACAAAAAACAAATTATTTTTTTTCAAATTTTTCTTCTTATCCACATTTTGCAAAGTACTAGATTGACAACTAAATTCCTAGCTGGTTATTTGCCTCACAGCCTCCTTTTAACCGTCAAGCTTCCAGTTAAAACCGTTTCTGACCAATCTGCCACTGTCTTATTGGTCTTACACTTGGATCTCTTTGTCGGTAATTTTGGAACTTCCATCATTAACCATAGCATACTAAATTAATATATAAGGCTTATTGCTTGCAGCTGGAACATGAACTTTAGAAGTCTCATATATATATATATATATATATATATATATATATATATACACACACACATATCACTGTTACATGACAGGTACATCGAATTTTCAGAGACCCTCTGTTGCTTAATTCTCCGTGTTTCCTCCTTGTTAATCAAGGAACTGTTTTTTTGGCCAGTTAGCGTGATACTTGGGTCGTTTTTTATTGTCTCTTTCTTCGTGGGTTTCAGGTTTTACCTCTTCTAAATAACTTCTCCTTTACCAATCTCTGTCTTTCCCTCTATAGAGTTCAGGGTTTTTCTCTTCCTGAGAGCTCCATTTCTTTTCTTTGAGGTCTCCTGAATGCTGATTCTTGACGTAACTTGATGTTCATTCTCAATTTACAGCTATATTTAAAACCAGAACATAGCCTCTAAGATATACCCAACAAAAGCCAATTTCCCTTTTCACTCTCCTTAGATACTCGAACAAAATGTTTCGGTGGCTATTGAAGCCGAAATTCTATTCAAAATGGTACAACACTAAGCCATAAACTGTTTCTCTTCTTCTCACATGAAAATAATGACTCTGCCTTTTTTTTTGCTTCTTTTTGAACATGTTGTTTTCTAATATTGTTTTGGATTTCACATTTTAAAAAACAGCATATCGTACACTAAGTGTATAAAGACACGGCTAGAGACTATACAGAAGAAGAGGAGAGCAGTGCAGAAGTTTATGAAGAGTGACATCTCCGAGCTTCTTAGGAGTGGCCTTGACTATGATGCATATAAAAAGGTAATGTTCTCATCCTAGTTTTATATTTTGCGTATGTTTACTCATTTACTTAGATGGTTTACTTCCTAAGTTTCTTAGCTTGATTCTTTCTCTTCTATTTTGTTGGATGAATTGTGGAGAAAGAACTTTACCTGACTTTTTTTTGTTCACAATCAAAATATTTAACTTCTAAACGCACATGAACTCTCTCTTTTGGTGGCATGGCTATTCAAGTAATTGGATTTGCATAACTTACTTATTTGTAGCCTCAAGTTACAAAAGTTTTGGAGTCTATAACTATAAGTCATCCTTTCAGATCCTCATATGAGAAGATGTAATAATGTCTATAGAATTTTTTGGTTTATAAGACGTGTACTTAGTCATGCTTCTATTGGAAGATGTAATCTGAGGTGCAATCACTTTTTGTGCATAACATTCAAAAAGACTGCTAGAAGTCTTGGATTGATCCATTTTATGCATATAACACGGTGTTGTAAGTTGTTGCAACTTGCAAGCCAGTAACGACAAATGATAACTCTTTGCACTTGAAGCAGGCTGAAGGACTTCTGTACGAACAAAACATGTCATCCTGCTATGAACTCATTGCAAAGTTTAATGGATGCATATCGGATCATGTTGAAGACCTAACTAAACAGAGGTATGCTTCTCTACATATGTACTAGAATATTCTTCTGTTTTTTCTTTTTTCTTTGAGTTTCCTTTTGTTGAGATGGAGAGTGCTGCAGCTCTTTATATTTATAGCTGTGTTGCTCATTTAATTATGTCTGTTACATAATACAATAGCTTGATTTTCTCCGTGTTGGATGCTTCTTGACACCTTTAGTGAACATCTTGAAAACAAACATTATTACCAACAGATGTATACAAGTCAAACTAAATTAATGAAACTGAAGGGTTTTATCTTCTATTTTAAGCTTCTATTTTAAACTTTCTAGTCTACAAGACATTAACAGGATTTTATCTTGACAATCTTTAAATCTTCTTATATAGTGACTGCCCTGACGAATGCAAGGAAGCTGTACCTTCATTGATGTATGCTGCGGCAAGATTTGCTGATCTGCCAGAATTGCGTGACCTCAGAACTTTGTTTACCGAGAAATTTGAAAATTCTCTTGAACATTATACGAGTAAAGAGGTAAACCAATGATTCCACTCTTATATCACATACTAATTCACAAATTGTAACTCTTGTTGATTATTAAGATAAATTATTTTCTTGAAGATATATTTGTTTTTAACGCTAACTTCAATAATTGCTTTCCCCTCCAGTTTGTTGAGAAGTTGAGGCGAGATCCTCCTACTAGAGAAATGAAGATTCGATTATTATATGATATAGCACAAGAGTTCTCTATAGAGTGGGATGGCAAGGATTTGGAACAAAGACTTTATTCGCAGCCATCATTACGTGAAGTAAGTCCTCACATTTGATTTGTTTCAGCAGAAATATGAATTAGAATTGGTTATTAGATTGCTCTAATATACTTTTAAGCCTAAAAGGTAGAGCTAAAGAATATTACATCAACTAAGCTAAAAAAATATGGATTTTGATGCTGTTGGTTGCAGGAGAGGCCTAAGCTTGATAAAACAGACAATCTGCTCACTGGGGGAGAACACAAAGATGGAAGAGAGTACAATAAATCAAAAGGAAAGGAAAGAGAGACCCTATCTCATTTCAATGATGACTCATTGAGGCACCAAAACAGTAGTGATGATGAAACAAGTACAGACATGTCATCCCATCATGACCGAAAGACTAGTTCAAGTTCCTTGGGAAGTGTATCTGAGGATGAACCCGAAGTTAAGAGGCCATTTTCCTATTGGCATGTTCCACCTCCTTATCTCAAACAAAAAACTAACAATTTAAAGAAAACAACAGTTTCTGAAGCTCTGCCGAAAAAGGAATCAAACCATTATCTTCATGAACCGGTTGTTCAAGAAAATCCAATACCAAGATCAGTAAGGAGACATGTCAGAGGAGCATCTCTTCCTACTGAATCCACAAATGCAGGGGAAACATCAAAGGGGCATACACGAGCAATTTCCTTAGAGCGTGTCCATCCTAATCTACCCGATTATGATGATTTGGCAGCTCTTTTTGCAGCTCTCAGAGGGAGATAGTAGAAAACGCCTTGACAAGCACCACAACTTTCTCTTTCTCGTTATTGTTTCATTATTCTTTTATGTTGACACCAATGTCATACGGTCTCAGCATCTAATATCTATAGACATGTCACCTAGGTTCTTTAATCCATGTCCATTTCTATCTCTATATCTCAAGTAGAAATTTGTAATGATATTGTCATATTATATGATTACCTTCTTAGAATGGGTTGCAAATATGTAATCAATTGTAGTTTTAATTTTTTTAATTATAATGGACTAAGTCATGATTCTTTTGGGGTGCACTATAGATGCCTCTTTGATTAACTGATCCTCTTGTTTTGGCTAGAATAGATGTGACACTGATTAGTGCGGATAACAATATAGGCCTATGATGGAAATATTTAAAGGTTAATAAATTTGGTTAAGTTCCTTATGCATAATTTTTCATATCGAAAGTTGTGAATATGGAGTGGTGTGAACTATAGAAGAAGATCAGATCAAACACTATTCTTAATCCTATTCCATTTAGGATTAAGAATAGGCGTAATCGGACCTGCTTTTTTTATATCTCTCATTATTTGGGACCTTATTCACCTCTTTGGACTTCTATTGAATCGAGAAATAGATTTGATTGTCCATTTTTTTGGATAGAATATATATAAGGTATTTTTCGGATAATTCAAATCGAACCAATTGGATGTACGACTCGGGCCTATATGACATGACCGATCAATAAAAATACTCTAACACTCTACTTTTGTCTTATATTCCATACATCACACTAGATAGATATCATATTCATAGAATACAATTCACTTTCAAAATGCCTTGGTGGTGAAATGGTAGACACATGAGACTCAAAATCTCCACCTTTGAGATATCAAGAATCATATTTGGTATTCTAATTTCATCTAATCCGTGATTTCTAACATACCCTTGTGGACATTTTTATTATCATCTATGTATACATAAGAATTTCACAATTAGAGGCAAAATTCAAGAAATTCAAACTTTGTTTAATTTGTCTCGGGTCTGTGATTGACCCGCGTTAGCCCAAAGAGCCCAAGTCATGGCCCAATATCACTGGATAAAACGGAATCAATTGTTCGGCGCTTTACAGCTTTCCCGCTCGAAAAGAAAAAAAAGTCAGATTCTCTCTCTCAAAAAGAGAAATAAAACCCAAAACACTGTCTTCAAATTCCTCTTGGTATTATAGGCTTTCATGAATATGATCCTCCTGGAAAGCTCCAACCAAAAACGTCACCGTTTCGTTGCCTTAACTTGGAAGTTGTTATGGAATATTCTTCACTGTCAGTGGGTTACGCTTTACAGCTTCGCGTCACTTTCTGTGAATCTAAACGAGCTCGATGATCATTCAGTAAAAACGTCATCGTTTAACCAAACATCGCGAAGAAGATGGGTTGCTCCCAATCGAAGATCGAGAACGAGGAAGCAGTGGCGCGTTGCAAGGATCGCAAGCACTTCATGAAGCAATCGGTTTCCGTTCGTAACGCACTCGCCGCCGCGCACTCCGCCTACGCCACCTACCTTAAAAACACCGGCGCCGCCCTAACTGACTTCGCCGAAGGCGAAGTCCAAAACCCTGATTTCACCTCCCCCGCCGCCGTTGCCGCCGCCGCACAACAAGCTTTCGAGATTCCTCTGCCGCCTCCTCCTCTGCCTGATTTCCCCAACCCTCTCTACCGCTCCGCCACCATGCCGGAGATCAAGATGATGAATTCGGTCGGAACCATTGCCGAGGTGGAAGATGAAGAAGATCAAGTCATTGAAGAAGAAGAAGAAGAAGAGGCTCGGCCTCCTCCTCCGTCGAAACAACGAGCAGGTTATCCGATGCAGATGCAGCAGATGCAGATGCAGCAGGAGCAGAACGCTGCTTTGGAGTATTTCTTTCCGTCGGCGGAGAACATGCCGGGGGCAACCTTGAAGGATGTAGAAGAAATTGACCTGAATAACGAGGAGGTGGAGATTCAGAGAAAGGTTTCTGAAGAGAAGCCACGTAGAGGCATTGATATTGATGTTGATGATGATGGTGTTCACATGGTTATGAGAAGTGAGAGGGACAATGAGGTTTCTGAGCCTGCTGCTATGGCTATGGCTATGGCTATGGCTTCATCTTCGGGGAAGAAGGCACCGGAGGTGGAGGGGGAAAGGACTGCGAAACAGAATGTTAATCTCTTTCAGATATTTACTGATCTCGATGATCATTTTCTAAAGGCTTCCGAAAGTGCTCATGAGGTTTCAAAGATGCTTGAGGCCACCCGCTTGCACTATCATTCCAATTTTGCTGATAATAGAGGTAATCAGTAATCACCTTCATGCCTTTCGTTATGTGCTGAGTGAGATCATAAGTTTATTGAGTGATTATTCTGCTGATCACTTCGTAGTAATGGTAAATAGTTTTGTCAAAGAAAAAGAAAACCGCATGTCCATGGTATTTGGAAAAGGATCCTCTTATTATGTTAAAATTTTATTTCTATCTCTCTCTTCATAAAATATTTACAAATTTTAATAGGACCCCACTTATTTAATCTTTATAAAAAGAGAGATAAACACAAAATTTTCACTTGATAACAACGTCACTGAAATTTTCTTATTTGGTGAAATTTTGAATATGAAAATTGAGAGGATACATTTCTGTTTTTTTGTATCATGTATATATATCGTTCATTTTCAATTATAATGATACTTTTTTCTTTTGTGTTTTCAGGACACATTAATCACTCTGCAAGGGTGATGCGTGTTATTACATGGAATCGGTCCTTTAGAGGAATACCTAGTATGGATGACGTAAAAGATGATTTTGACTCAGAGGAGCACGAAACTCATGCTACGGTCTTGGACAAGTTGCTAGCGTGGGAAAAGAAACTTTATGATGAAGTTAAGGTAAGTTGAGTCAAACGTTAAGTAGGTCAACATATTTCGTGTTCTGTTCTGAATTTTGCGGCTGAATATTGTTTGATAGGCTGGTGAGTTAATGAAATTTGAGTACCAAAGAAAGGTTGCCACGCTTAACAAGCTAAAAAAGAGAGGCACGAACTTTGAAGCATTGGAGAAAGCAAAAGCAACCGTCAGTCTTTTGCATACAAGATACATTGTAGATATGCAATCTTTGGATTCAACAGTCTCGGAGATTAACCGTTTACGTGATCAAGAGTTGTACCCAAGACTTGTTGAACTTGTTGATGGGTGAGTTGTAGTTTAAAAAATTGTATTTCTAATTATATATGGCTGATTTTATAACCGTACAGAAGTGTTTTGCCAAGTCAGATCACTAATATACAATATTATGAATGCTTATCAATCTAGACATTTGTAGATGAATTTCTTTGTGTGTGAAAACTTTAAAATTTCGAAAGAATGACACGCTTTACTTTCTGTAGACAACTCTAATATGAGGTCTAATTTTTATAATTTTGGCAACGTTCCCTTGGGCTGCCTGGATTTTTTAGCTCCTATTAAGATTACTGCTGTTTATACTTTCTTATAGATATGCATATTGCATATGTGCTTGCAATAGCTGATAGTTTGGTCTCAGATACAACATCAAAAGACAAAACCCCCTTCTTCTGGATAAAATATGTTGTTTTGTGTTATAGCAGTTAAATTGAAAGGTTTCTCTATATAGCTGATTGGATTTTGGATAGTTCAGAAACCTATGTTCTCAAGTACTGGTTCATTCTTGCCATCTGTTCTTTCCATTTAATACTTTCATTTTAATCATCAATTTAACCGTACTGTTCTTTCAAAAATGATGTTGTCAAGTAACTCAAGTTTCCTTTTTGCAATTAACATATGCAATATGCAGTTTACCTTATCCAGAATTTCCCAGTTACCATATCTATCTAAAACAGTCCACTTATCAATATCTTGATTGCTTGTCTTAGGCTTATGTAATTTGTATAATGTCAGGTATTTATCTATCTGGTGGAAAGATTCAAGCTTCTATTTCTCTACTTCTATCTTTCCATGCTTTTGGATGCTACTTTATTCTTGTCATTATTGATGTTTCACTGTTAGCATACTTGTATCAATCCCTCTAAAAAATTCCAAAAAAAAAAAAAAACTTAGAATATGGTACTCTTCTCTACATGTTTTAACTTATGAGTGCATATTTCTTCAAGAAAGGTGGTTGTTTAGTAATGTCATCCCCATCAACAATAAAGTTCAGAGCTGCTCAAAACAAAAACACAAGAACAGACATACAAACTTCTCTACTGATATGTACAACTGCACAAACAAACTTCTCTATTGATATTGATGGTTTTTTACGGAATGCAGGATGGCCACAATGTGGAGAGTCATGCAGGCCCACCATGAGAAGCAGTCAAGTATCGTGACGTTACTGAGATCGCTGGATATTTCCCAGTCGCCTACTGAAACAAGTGAACACCATCATGATAGAACATACCAGTTACTGATTGTTGTGCAAGAGTGGCAGTCACAATTTGAGAAGCTAGTAAATAATCAAAGGAGATACATAAAGGCCCTAAGCAGTTGGTTAAAACTGAATCTGATCCCTATTGAGAGTAATATGAAGGAAAAAGTTTCTTCACCACCAAGAGTAAAAAGCCCTCCCATACAAATCCTTCTCCATGCTTGGCATGATCATCTAGAGAAACTTCCTGATGAGCTTGCTAGGACAGCCATAGCCAACTTTGCTGCTGTGATAGATTCTATTTTCCACCAGCAAGAGGAAGAGCTACATTTAAAGAGAAAATGTGAAGAGACACGAAAGGAGCTTACACGCAAAAAGAAGCAATTTGATGACTGGGAGTCCAAGTATAAGCAAAAGAAAATACCAGATGAGTTTGATCTAGATGGGACAGAAGGTGAAAATGATTCTGATGAGGTTGTTAGAGAGAAGAGGCTTTTGTATGAACAAGTGAAGAGGAGGTTGGATGAGGAGGAAGAAACCTATGCAATGCAGTGCCAACAGGTGAGACAAAAATCTTTGGGGAGTCTCAAAAATCGCATGCCTGAGCTATTTAGGGCTATGTCAGATTTTTCTCTTGAATGTTCGAAAATGTACAGGGAATTGAAGTCCAAATCACAGAAACTAAGTTCAGGGCAGAGCTGATCATGAGAATTGGTTTGTGTATTTAAGTGTTTTTTTTTCTTTGTTTTCCTCTTCTAGGTAAGGTGTATATATATATATATACATGTATTGGTTGTGTTTTATATAATATTACACTTATTGATATCTTTGGTTGGGGGTGAACCCTGAAAATTACACATGGTGATGTAAGATAAACTTAAACTTATTGTATAATTGCAGAATTTGGAAGTTGAATGGATTGATGTCCATGATATTTTATAATACCTTGATCTTTTAGCCTTTCAGTTGCGTATCTGTAGGAAGTGTAAATATCCTCAAATTATTTTAACATGCAGCTGGCTAAAAGAAAAATGATTAATATTTATAAACGATTATGCAGATGGCTAGCAAAAAAAAAGTATTATGTCCAGTAATTCCTTTTCTCCATCCACCTCACAGCTAACTGGCTAAGCATTAAGGTTTATGCAACAAAGATCTTGTTGTGAACACACTAGATCTGCAAGCCTAGGTTAGAGGAGGGAACTGATAATCATGAATTCGTGATGTGGTTGAGAAAATAATATTCCCTCCTAATTACTGATTGTTAATTGTCAAATATAAAACTCTGGAAATAATTTATATGTTGTTTTAGACTCTCTCCTTAGAGGTCTACGATGGGAATTCTTAAAGGTGCTTTCCAGTTTCCACTTTCTCCTTCGATGATAGTATTCTTCACACAGCCAAATTGAATGGGTTTGGAAATTATATAAAAAAAAAATAAAAAATTATAGTTCCTTATGTCTAACAGCATTGAAGAACTAGATAATTTGAAGCTTGTAAAAAGTTTTCATTACGTGTGAACTTCTTTACAAAGCCTCATACGGCTCGAAAGAAAAAAAGAAAAAAATCAAAACAATACTCCAAATTAAAAGTGAATTACTTGGGGAACTTTTCATAGTTAAGGTTATTCAGAGGGGTTGATGTATGAAATAATGTAGTCAGGGGCACCCTGATACCATTGGTTATCCTGTGAGTCTCTGATTTGATTACATGGGGATGTCAAGCTGAGCAACAGAAAAATTTTCTCCTTCTATCTTGCATTCCATTGTTCAAATTAATCCCTGTAGGCTTTGGGGGAAATGCTCTTGCTAGTCTCTGAGCTGCATTTAGCAAACAGGAACAACCACTTAATACTGCTGCTTTAAATTCTCAAACTAACTCTTGCAGATAAATAATTGAATGATGTACTAATTCGCATTGGTCCAGAGTGTTCAAAAGACGTTCAGCATTTACCTATTTCATAGAAAAGCTCATTGATGTTCTCTGCAGTCTTAGCAGATGTTTCCATGTAGAACATTCCATTCTCTTGAGCAAATTGCTCCCCTTCCTGCAATAATTTAGTTTACTCAAGCAAGCTACATTGAAAAAGAGAAAAAAGAGAGATACAAAAACGAAGTTGAAACACTAGATTCATGGTATTCTGTCGTATACTGTAATTATAGAATATGGTAAAAACAAATTCACTAGCAAATGAAGAATATTATGCCATGGGATAAACTGCATCTTTGTAGATTAGTTTACAAATGGAGAAGTGAAAGGGCAAAAAAACTGGGTAAGAAATGAGACATAAAAAAACATAGGACAAGCATCAGAGTGAGAAGGTGATCTCAACAATACCTCAGCTTTAACCTCTCTCTTTGACTCCAAGTCAGATTTGTTTGCAACCAATGCCATCACTAACTTTGGACTTCCTACAAGCAGTGGTTAGAGTTTTACAAGTGAGACAAGCGTTAAACGCTTGAATATGAAAGTATGTGATGGGCCTATAATAAATAATCCAAGCCCATTAGTATTTTAGAAATAGTATATATAGAAGTTTAGGGTGATGTTTCTGTTATGCATGTATTCAATTCTGGTTTAGTGGAAAAATTGAGAGACTTCTAGGGAACTCTTGAGCCTAGGTATTTGGTTTGAGGGGAAGTTGAGGTTTCTTGGGGTTTATTTTCTGCATATTAGTGTATGTAAAAGAGGCATGGCCTCCATTATCTCTATAATTTCAGTGTTATTTTTCTGGTTCCATCAGTATGGAACTATGCATTAAGTCAAAATAAACATTGTGAATTTGTAACTGTAGAGATCAATAAACAGATGTTGTGGAAATTGTGATGGAAGAGATATACAATGCATGCTATTCATGTCCAAAAGGACTTTAAAAAGTGAACGACTTGTCAGTGGTTGGTTTTAAAAAGTGGCCCTTAATTCAAATTTATTTGGACATGAACATGAGTTGCAGCAATAATTATTTAGCAAAAACAAATAACTGAATAAAACAAGACAAAACAAAGAGCTGAAGCAATGTGTACTCATGGATGCAGTTAATCATCTGCATACGCTGATTCAATTGGTTTCTGAAATAATTTAACAACAAAGTATAACAATATACTAATCATGCAATGTGGAAACCAAGGCTTCTGCTAAGAGCAAACTGGTAGACAAAGACAATGAAGCAATTTTTATTTTCTGTACTCAAGGCATTACCATGTCTTTGCAATTCTTGAACCCATTTTTGGGCTCTAACAAACGTATCCTGGAAAAAAAAGGAAAGATAACTACAGTTAGAAAAGGTTTTAAGATTTATTTGCATAAAAGAAATGAAAATTATGTTCAGTTACGTATTCCTAAGTATAGGTTTCTAATAAAGTATTCTGTATCCTTGCTTTAACTGTTTTCCTTCTTGAAAGTGATGTTACAGACAGAATTCAAAAATCAAGGAGAACATCATGCATGCAACTACATTTTCCCCCTGACAATTATTATGGCCTGTAGACAAGCATCTCAGAAGTTTAACATACTTGTAAATCGTAACTTACATCAAGTTAAGAAGGAATGTTTTTTTAAAATGCATTTTCTTAGGGGCCAAAGTTCTTGTTACATTGTTCCTTCGCTGGATTTACAGTGCAGAATATTAAATTTTCTCTCAGGCCTTTTGAATTATGACCTGGAATGGCCGGGCAATATCATTTTGGCTACTTCTAACAGAAAGAATGGTCCTCGAAGGAAGAGTATTACAAATTCCTTATCAAATTTTGTAATGATTTCAAACAATACTCAATAGAAGCCTGGTTTTCATGCTATAGATAATAGAGGCTTGTCATGTCACAACTTCTACTACGGATTTCACTGGTAACACACATAGGAATTGCTGAATGCTTTCAAATTTAACAAACTGAATACTTACAATGCTCGAGATGTCATATACAACAATTGCTGCTGCTGCACCACGGTAGTACATAGGAGCCAAACTATGGTATCTTTCTTGTCCTGCTGTGTCCCATATGTCAAACTTTACAGTAGCTTCAGATAATGATAATATTTGAGAGAAAAAGGCTGCTCCTACGGTTGGTTCCTGTATGTAGATAAATGTCAAGAATCCTAAACTTTAGTTGTTGATGTTGTTGGTGTTACACTGATATGAAAGAAGAAAGCAACTTTTGGTTGATGAAATCAAATGGACGTTAACCTGGTTATGAAAGAATTGGCCTTTTACAAATCTTAATGCTAAGCTTGTCTTTCCAGTCCCCATGTCCCCAAGAAGCACCTACAAGAAAATAAGAAAAAGGGTGCATAAGCATGAAGCTTTTTCTGGATGATATATCTTGTATCAAATATGACTTTACTTATAGCTATAATCCAAGTTCCAAAATAGTTATTTTGCATTCTTTATTGTATCACGCTAAGGACCTTCACGTATGAGCAATCTGTCATATATGATCTCAGAAAGAAGCCTACTTCGATGTAAGCAACAATGTCTCCTGTGACATGCATCTAGATTAAAGATGCATTCAGTCAAACTTGACACTCACATTGGTTCTACAGCAAATGCAAGAATTCATATGACAATGGACACAATAAAAGTCATGTTTTAACTTCATATAATTGGGCAGTGCTGCAACTCAATATAAATAAACAGCAATTTGATTCATATCCTAATTCTATTGAAACATTCTCCCCAATTCCCATGACAACATGGAGACAAGTACCATCTTTCACATATCAGATTAAATGTAGCACTCCAGTATAAAACAATTAATGAGGAAGGCCAGAGAAGATGTGCTGGATCAATCTGTGAGCCTGATCTTTGTAAACAGATTTTTGAGATGAAAAATGACCAAATAAATTGCAAATATGATAGCATAACAGTTGCTCTGCTCATGTGAATCTCTGTATCAATTATCAGACCTGAAGTGTATATGAAAGAAGCACATCAAGAGATTCCATGGTCCACTATCTTATTAAAAAGTTGGTCAAATTACACTAACCAAATCTCTTTGGTTAACTCATCCTCCAATATTGTTCTTGTGCTGTTTCTATTTCATTCGTAATAGTTATTAACAATCTTTTCATATAAAATGTTCTTCGGGTCACAGTAATTATTCCTTCCTTCACTTAAAGGACATGTAAATATATCTGATAATGTAGAAAAAAACAAAATATATAAAGATTTTATAATGTAAGTATTCATGTCATTGTAATAATAATTTCAGGGTTAGGATTTAAGAACAAAGGAAAGTGTGGAAGGGGAAGAACAAATATAGTTGCAATAAAATGACTGACACATAGGATATAAGGTAAGATGTTACCTACCAGTTTAGCTTGGATGATCTTATTCCCAGTCCCAAGTCTTGCCATACCGCAAGGTTGAACAAAGTTGTAAATGCTACGGAAAAAAAGAAGAGAATTTTATGATGAAGGAGAGTATTATAGATCAAAAGAAACAACTACCTAAATTCTTAATTGGGGACTTGAGGAGCAACAAGGTTAGAGACTGGTAGTTCTGTTTAGCGTTGACTGTTAGTTAGTCCAATTTTTTAAAGGGTTTTATGTTTATCATTTAACATAATATAACTTTATTTTCCTACACACACATTAAAGAGGTGGGGTCCACATGTTTTTCTTTCTCTTTCATCATTTCACTTTCTCTCTCCCTTTTGATGTGAGAGTTGGAAACAACACTTACATTATGTTACATAACACTAATAAAACTCTTTTTTAAACCCTCAATATTAGGAAGGATTGTTTTTTATATTAATCTTTCGGCTAAGATCTTCTCCATTAAAAAGCATTCTCGTAGGCCAGTTAACTATTAGATCTTATTATGAGGCCCACAATCTGCAAATATATGATAACTTGATGCATGCCATTGCCACTAGCTCAAGCAGCAATTTCTTTCCTATCCAGTGTGCATTATACAGTTCATATTATTTCTTTGAATTAACTTAATAATTTTATTTTTAATTACAATAGTTAATCTATATGGTCTATAAAGCCCCTGATTATTTTTTAATAAAAAATTTCAATTAGGTAATGCTATTCAACCCCTTTTAGAATATTGTTGAACAGCAAAATCCACTCTAACTGGTACTTTAAAAACAAAAAAAAAGTTGAGAAGAATTATAATAAGAGAATGAAGAGGACAGTTATTGGAAATATACACACATAAACCGCACAAATTGAGAAAACAAAAAAGAGAAATTCACATGGAGGTTTACTCTTGCTATGTCCAGCTTATCTGTCGGAAATTATTCGGTTTACAAAATAAGATTTAGAAAATCCTAACAATAACTATTTACATGCCCAAAACCCAAATTACTAAGAAAAAAAATTAAAATAAATCAAAAGTCCACAATAGTATCAAGCCAGTATCAGGCCTCCGCAAGCCCAATGGCACTGGGCGGCTCTCCCAAACCCCGTCTACTCACCTAAAAGGCGGGACCCAATTGGCTTTCCGTTGATCCAATAAAAGTCCTAGTGAGTTATACCCAACGACAATAAATAATACTCTTTACACATCTTTGCTCGCTTTAGTACAAGACCACATAGAAATGCTTGTGGATATAACTGATATCAAACAATGAAATTATGCTATGATGATAAGTATAGAAATGTGTTCAAGTGTTAATACAAATGATAAGGAGCTTGTTTCCTTGATTAAAGATTTCGAGTTCGAACCCAGAAAATAATCTTGGGAAACTAGTACCCGAGAAATCCTAGTGTTCAAACCGGACCAGTGGGTAATCAATCAACGGTGGATATATTTAGAATGTGTTCAACTTAAATTATTTTACATATTTTACCCACAAAAAAAACACAATACATATGCAGTATACAAAATAGGAAGCCCCCGCTACAATTTCCCACAACAAACAAAAACACCCAATAACAAGCATTCAAACAAAAACATGAAAAAACCCTTCATCTACGTTGTAGTACGTACCCTTTTCAACACAATGCAATGTTGACGAAACCATAAAATAAAAAAATAAAAAAAGTCTTAAAACTTCATAACCTCAAAAGAAAGAAAAACTATCAATCACAGTACTTCACGTTGTTTCTCAAGGAAAGGGAAAGGGAAAGGGAAAGGAAAAGCCATGGCAAAGGGACACTCCTCAAACTACGTCGTTTTACCACGGCGTTGCTGCTTCACGTGCACGGTGGTTCTTGTGGTGTGCCTGGCCAGCGTGTTCCTTTTTTGGCCGTCGGATCCTCAGCTGAAGATTGAACGGCTGAGGGTGCGGAAGGTGAAGGTGCACCCTCTGCCGCCGATCAGCGCCGACGTGTATATATCGGTGACGGTGAGGGTGCACAACGGCGACGTGTACTGGATGGAGCTGACGGAGGTTGACGTCGGTGTGAAGTATAGAGGGTATAAGCTGGGTCACGTGGAGTCAGAGGGTTGGCACGTGAGCAGTTGGGGGTCGTCCTACGTGGATGGTGACCTGAAGTTTAGTGGGCTCCCATCTGCTGACGTGGCACATTTGCTGGAGGACCTTGCCAAGGGTAGGGTATACTTACGTACTGTTACAGAGGTCTCTGCCCAACTTGGCCTTCTCGTATTTCGCTTGCCTCTCACTTTCAAGGTATTAATTACAATTGTTTTTCAATTTTAATGCAAAAATATAAATATACTACTGATTTAATTATTTTAACAAATTTTAACAAATTATTTATCTGCAAGCGAAATATGTATGAGGAGTGTGGACGTCTTGAGTCAGACATTCATGCTCGTTGAAATCGCATACGCGAGTGAAGTTTGTGTGGTCCGAAAGCAAAAAAATTTAATGGGACTGAAGTGAGAAAAAAAAAATAAAAAGTTGAGGAGAGAGAAAAAAAAAAAAAAGTTGGTCCAGGTATCAATCTTTTAGTGAAAGGACCATGATAATCCAAGACTATATTAAAAAATTCTCACATACGCACCCTATGCACATGTTGCCAAGTGCGACAAGTGGCGGACACATTTTGATTACTGTACAAGTCGCATATGAAAATAATATGTGCATTTCATTTGCATTAGATTGATAGATAACTTTTCAAAAGAATTAAACTGGTAATATATTTTGAATTTTGCATCAAAATGGTCAAAAAGTATGTTTCTTGTATTATTTTTTTAAAATAATAATAATAATAATAATTCAATCTTCTCTAGTATTAAGAAGACATTGATATAACCTTTGATCAGTTAACGTTGTCACCATGTGATCCGAAGATTATGATTTGATTCATGTAATTAGTTTTATACTTTTATTAACGCATCCTCCTTCAAGTGTCCTAATACTTTGAATTTGCTGGTTTTGATGATCTCTATCTTGTAATATCCTAACAGACAACACTCTCGTGTGAGGTTTTGGTCAATACAAAAAATCATACAATTGTTCGTCAACATTGTATCCACAAGGTAACCTTACACTGTTATATATAGTATTGGCCTTAATTAGTGGGGTTCTAATACAATGAATCTGCTTCTCTTGTACTAACTCTGTTTTTGGTTTCAATGATGAACTGAAGGACTAGCTACAAACAATGTGCAACAATGGGGCGAAGGCTCAAAGGATGTTACTCTTCCTCTATATGCATTGAATACATATAAATATAATTTTTTGTATAGATCAATGTGAAGCGCCGTATGTTCTAAGATTATATTATTATTAGTAGTAGTAGTAATAGTAATAGTTGTAGCTGGTGCCCCAATTAAAATCCATGTTTTATTATGATCATTATTGTAACAGTGGGTAAAGATTCAGTCATTATAATAACCGTGTTTTCAATCAGAATTGTAACTAAAGGTTACTCCCTTGTATATAGCTTTCTGTTATCGAGGATTTTTCATTAGCAACGCTAATAAAAGGTGACGAAAAAGAAAACGTGAGAATATGATGAATGAAAATGAGAATGCAGAAAATAATTTTCTTCTCTATTATTTGGATATTAATTTTAAAATAATCAAAATGTAAACAGAGAAAAATAAATACTAAAGTCATCCATAATCTTTTATTATAACTTTGAGAAAAGTTTCCCTCTATAGTTTTCCTTTAAATCACTTAAATTCCTATGCTTTTTTTTCTTTTTATCATTTACTTTCATATGGTTTTTTTTCATCTAAGCCCATTTTTAACACTACTAAAAAATTAATTAATATGTCTATTTTATCCTTCTTGATAAAAATACTTTAGCTATCTTATCTAGCAGCTTTGCAAGAGTTCTAAATTACCTGACCCTGAATTGTTCTTACTTTCTTATTAAATCGCTTGGGAAAAATCCTTAATTGACCAAAATGTCTAACAAAACAAATTAATCATGGTAACCAGAATTCACCGCTACATCACATGATCAATCCATAATAACCAAAAATATTCACAATGGTCAACAAAAGCTTCCTAAAACATAGTTAAAGGAAAAACCTCAAATGTCATGAAACAGAACAAGTAAATATCATGACCGCAAGGTAACCAAAAAAAAATATCATGACTGCAGACACTGCAGTCTTCTTTTTTAGAGCAACCCAAAGTGATTGAGTTGTTCCCATCAACTAAGATAGTATAAGATCTTTTTTTTTTAATTTTTATTTTCTTTGGAATTTGGTATTGATGTTGCATCCCATTGTCTGTCTCTAAAGTGTGGATATATAAAATATACGTCGGTACGAGAAACCATAATGGTTTCTGATTATTTTATGGGTTTTATTAATCTCATGTTAAAGGAGATAAGTTATCTTATATCATAGAGATAAATTTGTGAGCTCTACTACCTGAAAAATAAAAATAAAAGAAAAAGATGGTACAATTATCAAAGGGTGTGTAAGAGAGAAAATTATCACATGTAACATAAGAGTAGTTTTTCTCTTATTTTATTTTTAAAAAAATTGTGAAATAAATATATTAATTATATTTTTAACCGTGTTAAAAATGAACTTAGTTGAAAATAATTATAAATAAATAAGTAATTAAAAAATGAGTGATTCAAAGAAAAATTATAAAAAGCCGTTAAATTTGTTCTAATAATAAATTTTTTGAGTAAGTTGTATTAAGTTATGTATTCAATTCTCACTTATATATAATAATAAAAAATTATTAGGACATTTTTGAACTTATCCATGTAACTTTTCACTCGTGCTTTTTTTTTTTTTTTGGTGAACACTCGTGCTTTTTACTTTCATAAAACTCTTGTCCCCACATTCATTTTCTTTTCTTTTTTCCTTTTCTCTTTATTTCTTTCCGAATATTGGCCCACAAAACTTTTGTGAGCTATGTGATGTAACTTTCAATTTTTTTTTCAAGAACCGTTTCAGTTTATTTTCTTTTGCATTAATTCTTTTTCTGTAATTATTTTAGAATGATCAATTTACTCTTATATTAAATATTATTTATGATTTTATTCTACTTTCAAAACTATTTACCAATTCACCCTATTTTGATCAAAGTTTACCCTTTTGATGCAGTGGGAACATAATATATATATATATATATATATATATATATATATATATATGGAAAAAGATATTGTGACAACCAAGTTGTGTTACTACCAAGTGACTACTAATCAATCTCACCATTAGATCGATTATGTTGATCCAACGGTTATATTTATTTTCATTTTTATATGGTCATGATTCCCCATATTTAAAGTGAAAGCATTAAATATGAGAAATCATAACCATAAAAAGGTGAAAATAAATATAAAGTATTAAATTTGAAAAATCATGACCATACAAAGATGGAAATAAATATAACCATTGGATCAATATAATCGATCTAACGGTAAGATTGATTGGTAGTCACTTGGTAGTAACACAATTTGATTGTCACAATATCCTTCCCTTATATATATATATATATATATATATATATATATGAAAAAAACACTTCTTATATTGCATAAGAAATATTTTCTTATATTGTGATTTGTGTATACTATGAGAAAATCAAAATCCACATATAGATAGACAAAGGAAGAGAATGGGCCAACAGTTTTGGTGACACACAGTAACTTTAATACATGAATTCAAAAGCATGTCGAATTGAAATGAGCGCTTGCACAAATAAAAGGAGCAAACAAAGGGTTAAACAGATTTAAAAATTAAAATCATGTCCTAAAATCGCACGCTTAATCACCGACCAAGGTTTATTTATAAGAGGCCTCTCACGGCTTACACTGAACCAAAAAAACTTGTGCACCATAAAATGGTTGCTTGTTTCCCGGGTCATCCTTTGTTTTGAATTGTTGTGAAAATATATATTTAATTATAACATTTTGGCACATCAAATGCATAGAGTAAGACTTAAGTGTATGAAACAGCAATTTATCTACATATGTAAACAATGTTTTGTTCATTATTTATCTTTCTCTAAAGTAGCTTATTGACCAAACCAGGCCCCATGTGAGACTACATACATAGTATTAAAGCGAAAGAAACAATTTCAAAAGGTCATATAAATGCAATTTCAATTGCTGACATATAAAGGAAATTTTAATAGTGCTGGATGACAGTATTCTAGTCTTTTTTTATTGATCCTATCCAGTTCTAAGTACGTGCTGAGGTGGTTGTGACAAATTGGAAAAAAGAGGGGGTCATGCTGTCATTATATAAATAGCCATAATGCATGCACTTCAAACACCTTGGTCCCTTAAACCATTTTATGCTACCTAGGTTCTCTTCTCTGTTCCATACACCATGAACCTTGAAAATTGCCACTGTCTAAGCTCCAGAAACAACAACAGTTGGCCAAGTTATCAGAGAATTCACTACGACCCCATTGTGTGTGTCAACGAATTTGTTATCAGGTTGAAGATGGGAAGCTGGAAAACGTTGTGGAGGAAGATCAAGAAGGAAAAGAGAAGATTTTTTAGATCTTCACCTGTTGTTCATCTCCAATATGATCCTTGGTCCTACTTACAGAACTTTGATGATGGCTATTCCACCGACCCTGATAATGTTTCTCGGTCATTCTCAGCTCGATTTGCAGCACCCTCCAAGATTTTTGAGAAGAATGAAGAGATGGATGATGGAGAATCAGAGATAAATGATAACTGATAAGAGCAACATGTTGTAATTTTTGAGTTCCTTAGGACGAATTATGATGTAGTTGTACAAAGAATTAGTCATCTTGTTAATCTCTTTGACTGTTAGATGTTATAAAAAGTTATGTTCTCTCTGATATTTCCATTTCCTCTTTTTGCTTTCATCTGCTTTTCTTCTTTTTCTTCTTTTTGATCTTTTTCCTATATGGCATAGATGTTGACGGTAGAATTTCTTCCCATTGGTGTTTGTATGGTCCCTTTGACTCATTAGACAGAACTTTTGAGTCAGGATTGTGCCAATCCAAATGTATAAAAACAATATTTACAATAAGTTAAAGAAGCAACCCATCATAACATTAGCTGCAGCAATTGTTTCTATTTGCCAATGTTTATAATTGAAAAGTACATTAACCTTCAAGTGGAGTTGATATCTTTTCCTTCACACTTTTCCCTTGTAGCTTAATAGTAAACCTGAGAATAAGTTGTTTTATTTCCTCCTTGTAAGGATTTCATGCTCTTAAGGATGTCATCATTTATCTTGCACACAAAATTCCTTCACTGTTGATCAACCAACAAAATCATTAAAGAGCCTGTACGTTGGTCCAATAATTCCTGATCTTTTGGGACCACTACATCTGCCTATCCAGAAAAAAGCAGATACTGCATCAACCATGTGCTATGTGAACATGATGTGCTTGTGCTAGTGCTATCCAACGTACCCTCCTTTACTTGTCTCTCTTTGAATTTAATTCCTTTTCTTTCCACCTTTCCACACACACACTCATTTTTTATTTTTTCTCTTCGGTTTCTTTTGCTACAGAATCTGAGTCTGTTATTTAATGTGAGAAAGTAATCCAGAGAGTAAGAGAGCAAAAATGGAAATAGTAAAAGCTATAGGAACTTTTTTCTTGCATCCTAATTGGTTAACCCTTTTACCTTAACTATCATTGATATTGGTGCAGTGGGGCTAATGGAATTCAATGGTTGTCCTTATGCTACCATACCTTACTATATGACCTTTGGATCAAGTTGTCTAACTATAAATGTGTATGTTCTGTTCACCTGTCAATAAGGTAAGTAAGGAGCATATCTTAGGTAGTACTGTAGTAGTGTGTATTTCTTTACTAAAAGTAAAAAATGATGATGGTTTAGAAGAAAATAATCATACAAAGAAGGGTAAAATAGTAAAAAATATATATTATTATTTCTAAATTAAGTAAATGATGCACCGAGTCTTCAGTACTACTATAATACTGAAGATATTTCTGTAAGTAAGGGGCTTCCAAATTAAAGCCTCACTTGCGAGAAAAATTTCAATATACTGAAATCACTGAACTCGATGCTCTTTTTTTATTAAATTTCTCTTTTTAATAAAAGGGAATACCGAATTCAGAGTGATCCAATGCATGCATTGAAATTTTTCTCCGCACTTGGATACTCCATAAATTCACCACACAATTAAGAATCAAATCAGGCTTTCAAAGAGATCAAAACCAGTTTCTTATTCTATGTGTCTGCTATGCCTCTAAATGAAACACTTTACACTCATATAAAATTAGGTGCAAGAAGGAAAAATACACAACCGAATCGCTGCTCTAATAAATGCAACAAAAAAAACGTATAATTTTGGCTCACCTACCATTATAATTAGCTGCTCATGTACTATTATGATTATTGACCTTGTTGAAAGATCAAACTCGGGACATTTAATCTAAGTCCCACCCTCTGCCAATGGAACATGTACTCTGGGGACAATGGCATGCATGATTGCTGTGTACAAATTACAATCTCTTTTTTTTTCACTTAATCACGTGTCTTCTGCATTTTGTTATGTATGTCTTCTAACATATTAAATTAAATCAGTATTTTTTTATCTCTTTAATTAGTTATCCATTTATAGAAATTTTTGTTTTATTTAATTTGTTTTAATCAATGTTTGACTTTCTTCAATCAATATTAGGCAGAATGGGATGTGTAAATTACCAATAAAATAATCTTCTATCAAAATAAACTAATTTTTAAAGTTTTTCAGAATCAAAAGTTTTCAACACATCTATTTTTTTTTACATTTTAATAATTTTTTATTACTATTAGAATAATATTCTATTAATTAAATCAATCTTCTTTTAAATATTGTTTTAATTTATATATTTAAGAATATATATAGAAATGGGATACATAAAATAAAATACCTACTAGTTCCTATGGAAAGCTCACCTTGTATTTCATTAGCAAGCTCAGCTCTAGTAGTAAATGGTCTGATGCAGAAGTCTAAACACTGATTCAGACTCTTACCTAAATAAAATAAAATCAAATATCAAATAAGTAAAAGGCTTAAATCTTTTTGTCGTTTGTTACATTTGAATAATTTAAATATTTTTGAGAATTTTATGATGTTTGCCATACTTTCAATTGGTGGCTAATGTGTCAGTAATGGTACTTTACATTTTTACTCGCATCCTCAAAAAGTAAAAAAGAATGTAAATGTCATTGTACTACATCTACTGCATTGATTCGATTTGAAGCTTTTTTTTTAAAAAAATAGTTACCCCAGGCACTTGCATGCCTATAGTATTCTTTTGAGTGTTCAATATCTTTTTATTTTTACTATAAACTCAAGTAAGAGACTGAGTAAAACTAGTTTTTATTCTTTTTACTCTTTTTTATAACCGTCCACATATATGCCCAAAAAATCAAAGGTAAAAATAAATTTTACAGAGTATTCGTACATTATAATTTTCCCCAATTAACTTGGGATAAAAGTGTTGTTGATGTTGATTCATATATTATAATTTTAAAGGGTATATTATAGAATTTGTTATTATTATTAATATTATAAAAAAATGGGTTTTATAGCTTACCGTCACTATAAAAAAAAACTTCTACAACAACACTAGAATACTATTCCGGATCCTCTTTTTAAAAATAAAAAATAAAAAACAAGTGGGACTCAGTTGCTTGTATCTGTTGCACCCAATAAAAATGTGCAGTCGTTGCAGAAAATTTTGGCACAATTGTACACCAAGCAAGTAATAATCCTTGCCAGATGCAAATGTGCAAAATAAAGTTATCATCAAGGTGAATGTAATGGACTGCCATTGTTTGCAGCTGAAAAACCAACTACATTTCGTGTATTTCTCATTATGCCACTGTGAAATTTTACTTTATAGGTACTTTATATAAAGGGTTTTGTAAAAGTTATATCGTAAGAAAAATGATTGTATAATGTTATAGAGATTTGTTTTGTGTGTCGTAATTTATTTATTTTTTTCAAAAAGTGTAGACCCCACAAAATATTATGTGGGTAGGAAAATTTGTTATATCATGTTAAATGACAAATGCAAACCTCATTTGGGAAAAACAACTTCTCCTTTTAAAGGAGAAGAGCTATCTTATGCGGCAGACATAATTGCTGTGGGTCCCATTTGATTTTTTGATAAAAAAAAAAAAAAAAAGGCTAGGCACAAAAATCGATGTGAGAGTTGTAAAAAAAAATTAGTGTAGTAAAATGAGAGATATAAATCCCATATATTTGATGGTTTCACAATATAAGGAAAAGTGATCATTTTATACCTATATAAGTTGGGAAAATTATTTCTGCAATTGTGCCAGAAATAATTTGTATGTCACAAACACAAAAATGAAAAAGAGAAAAACTATAAAGAAATGAGAAAGAAAAATCTAACCGAGCTCACCCCTTTTTTTGTGTCTGTGTCGGATCAGAGCCGGATTGGGCTCGAGCTAGCCTAGTGATTGGCTAGAAGGCGGGTCGAGTACTTTGCGCTTCGGGTACTCGGTTGAGGGGGAGCGTACCAATGGTGGGTTTCACACTTGAGGGGGAGATTGTTGAGATATTCAAGTGTGATGAGTCCCACATTGGTTGGTAATGAGCTAAGTGAAGAGTATATAAGTGAAAGGACCCATGAACCCAATGCCTTAAGGTTTTGGGTTGAGACATGGTGTCGGATCTACTTGCTACGATTGGTGTAGCCTTAGCTCATTGGTGGTGGCCTCCCGCCACGGGATTCCCCCTGGACCCGCCTGACAGTGGTATCAGAGCCGAATTGGGCTCGAGCTAGCCTAGTGATTGGCTAGGAGGCGGGTCGAGTACTTTGCGCTTCGGGTACTCGGTTGAGGGGAAGCATACCAATAGTGGGTTTCACACTTGAGGGGGAGATTGTTGAGATATTCAAGTGTGATGAGTCTCACATTGGTTGGTAATGAGCTAAGTGAAGAGTATATAAGTGAAAGGACCCATGAACCCAATGCCTTAAGGTTTTGGGTTGAGACATGGTGTCGGATCTACTTGCTACGATTGGTGTAGCCTTAGCTCATTGGTGGTGTTTTCCCGCCACGGGCTTCTCCTGGACCCGCTTGACATTGGAGTTTGAGGGAACGAATTTCCCAACAACAAACTATTTCTAGCACAACTGCATAAATAGTTTTCGCGTTTAAGTTATCCTCTTAATTTTAGCCGAATTTAGACTACTTATACTGTTTTCAGAATATATATATACTGGTATGAGCAAATAACTTGACAGAAAGATGATGTGCCTAATTTAACTCTGAATTCAAATTGAACCATAGTCCTGAAAGAAACAAAAACAAGTAAAAATTTACACACACACAAAAAAAATTATTTGGGAGCAGATACTTGCCCAAAAAAGAAACTGAGTATATTGCAAGTACTAAAGCAGGCAGAGCTACATGAAGGAGGTGCCACATACGACAACCACTAAATAAATACTGCAATCTATAAAAACACCTCTAATGGCCTGGTAGGCAACCAAACCTCTCTCCAAGAGTTTAACTGCATCTCCCCAACTGTGTCCATCTCCATGTGCTTCAACTCTTTCTCCCTCAGTTTCTTTTAAGACTCTTGCCTTTTCACGGTATAGGCGAGCAAGCACAATTGTAATATCAGTTAACAACACTAAGTAAAGAGGCCTTGATGCAACAATACTCTCTGAAATTGCGTAAAAAAATACTACCAGCAATGCTATTACCAGAGAACTGAGGGCACGTATGGTTTCAGAAGCTATTATGCTTGAATTCAGCTCTCTTGAAGAGAAAAAAGTATGTCTGCAAAGTTTCTTTAGTTGCTGTGTGTCAAGTGCTGCATTTTTACCCCTCGATGTGACTGAAGATGGTTTTGTTTTGGAACCATCACCCTCAGACACTTCAGAAATAGTGTCAGAATCTTGCATTAGAGCTTCCTCTTCACCTTTGTTGTCGAGATTGTCGAAGTTTGAATACTTAAATCCGCCCTGATGTTTTAGCCTTGTGGAAAAATTAGAGGCATCATGTTTATCTCCATCACTGCCTGAAAAAACCCAATGAACATGATTAAATGCAAATAAGCTAGCAATGCGTAGATTCCAACATAAAAGTAGTGTTTTTTCCTTGACAATAAAACGGATTTGGATCCTCTCATCTGAAAAAAATAATCATGTGGTTATATTATTTAATCACAGCCACTCATTTAAAATTTATATATTTGTCTCTCTTATCTTATCATCTTGTGATCAAATAACTTAATCACTTCTTCATATGAGAGGATCCAAATCCCAATAAAACAATTAAGTCACTTGCAAAAATGGCAGTGTCAAAAAGATATTTGCTAAGAGGAATATCAATGTAAACAAACATATGTCTTTCATTTTGTCAGAAAGCTAAAAGGAAATGAAATAAACAATATTACATCTCACAGAAATATCATTTACAGAGAGAATTACTTGTTCATAATTAGATTCCTTGAAGATGTTGTTAAAACCACTTTACAAAGAAGGTGTGTGTAATCATTGTAAATATAGATACTCCTAGTCCTAGATGTTTGTATTCCTAAACCATAAAATTTCCAATTGTAGAGGATAGACATATATCTGCCCGTCTTTCCATGTGATGATGACCGTCTTTTGTCTTCATGTTTTCCATTCATTCAAATTTTCCTTTTCTCCTTTTTTTCTATTTCCTGTTATCATTCCTTTTTCCTTTTCCTAAAAGAAAACTAAAACACAGAATTGAGTATTAATCAACACATAACCGCATCCATGAACAATTGATGTTTACCATACTAACAATGCAACATGCTCCTTACAACAAGCAACGTTATCTACACAAAAGCAACCCTGCTTATATTTTTCTAAAGAATTCAAAATCTAAACGATCTCCTAACAATGCTGTGTAATCTCCAATAAAACACCATAATGATGCAGTCTCACATAAATGGAAAGCAAACTAGAAACACAAAAACTAAGGCCTTCTTTGAACACTCTTTCTAAAACCCGTTTTTGGATTTTCTGAACAAAAAAAAAACTTGCTTGGTAAGATATGTTTTGTAAAAAAAAATTAAAAATTCTAACTAGGTTTTGTTTTTAGATTCAAATTTAGAGAATCTGTTTTGTTTTGTATTTTGATTTTAACTTTCAAAACAAAAAAACATAAAAAATACTTTTTTCTATAACTATTCTATAAAATAATTTTAAGAACAAAAAAATCAGAAGACAATTAACAAAAGAAACATCATATATTTTTTTTCCACTCCGAACTAAAAAAAAGTTAAAATTTTTATTATACCCTTTATAAAATTATGCATATCCAATCAACCAATAAGGTTTGGAAAAAAATAAGAAAGAAAAATATTGGGTGGGGAAATACCAATGTGATCTTCGTGGTAATCATCGGAGAATGGAGAGGAAGACAATGACTGAGGGCGCAAATGGCGAGTCTGAAGATGAGAATTGTCATTGTGATCTGAATAGGAATCGAATAAGGATTGCGCATGACGATGAGCTTGGCGATGGGTTGGAGACGACGTCGTAGAGGGTGGTGTTGGTGGAAGCGCATTGATCCGACCCGTGATTAATGCCATGCGATCCGAACCTCTCTCTGCAATCCTTCTTCTTCTCTCTTCCTTGCCTCCACCTCCACCTCCATTGTTGTTGCTCGCCATCTCTCTTGTTCTCTCTCTCTCTCTCACTCTCTCTCTCTCTCTTTGAGCCTCTGAAATTGCCTTTCTGGTATTTCTGTTAGACGAGGATCTTTAGCACGACAAAGGATGCGTCCCGGAAACGCCGCCGTTTGACATGGCCTCTTCTGAATTTAACGGCCACATCTCTATATAAACTTATTTTCATCAGAATATTTGAAGGTAAATTATTCTCTCACAAAAATTAAATAAATAGAAAGTTGTGATTGTCAAATTATATTATATAATTTTTTTTAATTTTATTACATTTTCCTATTAATTTTTTTTTAATACCATTGGTCTGACGATATATGTTTAGATCATCATCATTCATTATAAATATAATTTAGATCATCATCATTCATTATAAATATAATAGTTTCATCTGTTGAATAGTACATATGTAAATTATTTCTGTAGTCATGTTGTCAAAATTCTTTAAAAATATAAAAACATATATAAATTAAATCCTTTTATATAATGTTATTTAATTCTAAAGTCATTGTCAATATAAGAAATTAATATTACATTTCCATTTAAAGTTCATTCATTAAAAATTAAACTCTTATAAATATCAATAAATTTGAAATAATTGTTACACCATTCAACAAATTTAAAATCTCATTTTATTATGAATACATTCAGATACATTAAAATGTTAGACGCAATAGTACATTAAAATAAGTTGTTATAATCCACCTGTTAATGTAGACATAAGCATTCTAGTATCTCAAGTAGCACATGTTAAACTGTTACATTTTTTTTTGGTCTGAGTTATTCGAAGGTCTCCTATCATAACGTCTCCATGTTTTCCAATTACAAAGATGTCGCATTTCAAGACTTTGTGAATAATAGGTGGCCTTGTGACTGTGAAGATATACTAAGATACTAACCCTTGAAGAACCTGTCCCTTTAATAATGCTAAGTAGTGGATTGGATCATTTTTGGAAGTAAAAATAATCTAATCAAATTCCTTCGGTTTAATCATGTAATCATCTATTCGGTTTGTATTTTTTTTTTCAAATCCGATCTGATCCGATCCAATTCAATTTTATTCAATTTAGATTCGATCGATTTTTGATTTTTTGTAAAATCTAAGATTTATATGATGATTATTATGCAAATAATATATCCTAACAAATAGACGCGTCCCGAGTTCCATACAGATAACTTTTCAATACAATTTCTTTCAAATTCATTATGTATCGGCTTTGTAACGTATATATGATGATTATTATGCAATCTAGAAGCATTGTACAACAAAAAGTTGAATTACCATCTTTTACCTCTAACAAAAAAATTTATTATATGGTTACCTGATATACGAAATAATCCAAATTTTCATCCTATTGTTGTACAACAATAACCCATGTAATAAAAATATATTATGTATCAAGCACAACCCACTTTCTCCAACATGATGGGTTAATAGGTCTTGAATTTAGAATTTTGCTATATGATTTTTGGGCTATGATTGGGGAAAGGCCCAAGTAGGTAAATGGTAAGGTTGGAGAATCATTTGATCGGTTTAGATTGGATCAGTTTTTACCAACCAATCTAAAAATCGATCTAATTCAATTAAATTTTGTTATTTTTTTTCGATTTTCGGTTTTTCAATTTTCGATTAATTCAATTTTTGATTTTTCAGTTTTTCGGTTCAGTCACTGCGATTTGAATCGGTTGATGAACACCCCTGATGTTAAAAGTTTTCTTCTTATCATCAATCCAGCAATTAAAGAATTTTGTGATATTTTCATGTTTCAGAAACGTCAATAGATGAAATTCAGAACACAGTTTTGCAAAGTCATCTACTTACTGCAGGAATTCATCAATCCGGACTTGGTTCCAGGCAACTTCTACTCCATCAATTTCATCAAAGCTGTGAATTGTAAATGGGCCTGTATGACCCTTCATTGACTTGTTCTAGGAAATGGGCTTGGGCCTAATTACCCAAGAATTGAAAAGCCCTAGGCTGAATGCTTTTATAGGTAAATATTTTTTATTTTTGAAACATTTTAAAATGAATAAATTTTATTTTGTATTAATAATTTTACTTTCTCATCTTTATTAAGAATAGATAGGAAGTAAATTCAAAAAGGAAACATTATAAATTCAAATAATTGAAACTTGAATCAAATTCATTCAAATCTAATTAAGTTTGAGTCAATTTTTAAATACACAGTACTTAAATCAAAGAATAAATAGTTAAATTAATTTCTAAAATATATATATTTGATTACATTACTGACCCCAATTAGTTTGGGATAAAGGTAGTGTTGATATTGATATATAATTGATTACATTCTTTTCTAAATGATAAAAATTATAAAATTTGTCTCCAAAAATTCGGACACAAGGACTGGTTTGACCAAAGAAAATTATATTTAAGAACTTCAAGTATAATTTGGATTATTATTATTTGTTTTAATACAATAGTGAGAATTGAACATATAATTTCATACAAATTATTCAAACTCATTATTATTGTACCAATTCTAATGGCTTTAATTTGAATTATTCATTAACAAGGATAATCGGTCATTTATCTTCCGATTCTTTCAAAGACTAATTTGACTACTTACCATAAAGTAAAGCAAATTAAAATCAAATTAATTGTTATTTAAAAACTTTGACAAATAAATCATATCCTGAAATGAATCATTCCAAACACGAGTTGCCATCACCTTGTTGATGTAATATGTTTGTAAACCAGCATATTAGAGAGCAAATATAGTTACTAATCATGCAATCACAATTGGAATTTGCTCAAAATGTATCTGTTGTGTTTACGAAACTATATTTATGATTAAAACTTATTTTTCATGGTTTAATATTAGTGTGATCGATCTTTAATTTTATATCCATCATTTGACTTTACTTTCGTCTTCACCGATAAAATCTATTATATATGATTAAAGTTAAACATAAAGCCACCGACAAAGTCCGGCACGTTTGGTAGTAGATATATAGCACGATCCCTTAAGTATGCTGATATGAGTTTAATTTTTCTGACCGTGTGTATGGAAAAAATTTCATTAGTAGAGACAAAACATTTTATTCTTTCATTAATAGGTTTGCTTTTTCTACATTGAATGTAGATAAATTATCTACATTAAGCCCAAAACGACGTCGTTTTGAAGCAAAAATCAATGTATTTTTGTAATTATAATTTATTTTAGGATTATAATAGTCTTTTTCATTATAATTTTTTATTTTTCAATCCAAAACGATGTAATTTTGGGAGCGAATGTAGATAACTTATCTACATTCACTGTAGAAACATTAAAGCCTTCATTAATATAAGTCAATCATGTCATGGATTTAATTTTATTTCAGAATTATATATTTGGTATAAATGTGTCGCGAAGTTTTAGACATTTTAGGAATTGATCTGGACAAATTACATAAGCCCATGAGGTTCAAGGCCCAAAAAGGGCCTAAGAGGCGCAATGGCCTCATAATGCGAGATGCAAGCATTGCGCAGATTATACTAAGCCGCCTTATATAAATTAAAGGCTAAGGAAAGACTCTGTAACGGCTGAGACCCGCTGCGCATAAAAACCAACGCACGTAAGACAACTCCAGCTTGCCACCACTATTAGAAAACATGCAAATATATAGATCTATAGCCAGAAAGACACCAGCTGAGATAAAAGAGTCTGCATCCCATAACTACCCATAAGAAAGCATGCTGCCAACCAAAGACGGCATAAGGCTTGCTATAAATATGAAGGGTACAAACTCAGGTATAATAATCTAATTCCCATTAAATATAACAAAAATCTAGCATTGATACTGACTTGAGTGTCAGAGTGTCTTTGCGTCAGTAGCATTCTTCAACCTTCACATACACAGTGAACGTCTCAAGCCCACGAAGTACTGCTTACAGCCCAAAGTCTTCACACCTTTCAACCGTATATGATTTAGACCAATCCATATTGGACTGGTCTGATTAGGAATCCTCTTGCTATTTAAAATGATCATAACTAGGGATGGCAAAACGGGCTCGGCTCGGCGGGCTAACCCGCCCCACCAGCTAAACGGGGCGGGACGGATTCAGTTTTTCAACCCATCTCAAAAGCGGGGCGGGGCAAGGCGGGCTCATTTTTTGGCGGATTGATGGCAGGTATAGACGGGTCAGTGTAAAATAGGCTCGGGCTGACGGGTCAACCCGCCCAATCCGCCAAACACCGGGGGAGGTGACCTTTTCAGCCCACTTTCAAAAGCGGGGCGGGCTGGGTCATTTTTTGGCGGGTTGATGGCAGGGTGGGGCGGGCCGCCCACTTTGCCATCCCTAATTATAACATCCGGATTTTATGAGTTTTTTTTTTTCAATAGAAAAATTTTATGAGTTTAATTGGTATTTTAAATTTATCAAGATTTATTAATGTTGATATATTATTGTATCATGTTTTTATTAATTAAAAAATATAATAAACAATAATATGTCAAAATTTTATTAAATATCATTGTAAAACTCTTTTACATTAACAATATACCTATCGATTAAAATTAAATTTAATTGATTACATTCAAAAACAAACATCAATGATGATTTATGAATTTCCAAAACACAATTTTTTTTCCTTAGAGAAGCAAACTAATTTATGATTTAATTAATACCTATTTGACCAGTGAATTAAGATTGACTCGTTAGTCAAAGTAATTAATAAAATTATAAAAACAGGGATATTGATGTCTAGATGCAATTAAAAACTTTATCTACTTATGGGAGTATTGACCACCCTATTTGAGTCATCATTTTTTTCTACGTTATTTAGTGTACAAAATTATATACAAATATTTAAGAAATGTTTAATAACCTATCATAACTAAAAAGAAAAAAATTAAATTAAAAAGTATATAGGTACGTAACTGATAAAACAAATGATTTTTTAATAATTTTTTCATAAACCATTTTACAAAAGTAAATTCATATTATTTAGCATTTTTAAAAAATATTTATAGTAAATTAAAATTAAATTATCTATTACATATAAATATAATTTTTGAGGAAAATTATTCTTACAACCTCAAAATTTTACAACATCTTACAACCTATTTTTTCACCGTTAATTTCCGTCAATCTAATTGTTATGATTTATTGAGTAACATTTATTAATTAATTATAATTTTCAATAAATTATAATTTTTAATTTAACCCAACGATCTTTCTAATTATGTAGTCTTTTTTGTTGCCCTTGCCTGTTGACTCGTCTACATTCCCTATGTTAACGTACAAAAGCTATTAATAGTAAAAATCGGATTGTAAATTACTAAACTTTACATATCAAATTTGTATACTGTACCACTAATTAATTATTACTATGTAAATGAGTAATGAGCAACGTAATAATTAAAGATATTAATTATTTATTAATACTTTTGATTTCAATATCATACATGCATGTTCCTTGTCAGGTATTTACTGGTATAAAAGTGGGATGCAAATTTTAGGAAACAACTATCGTTTTGAATTGTTAAAGCATATTACAATCGAACATTGATGATGATGGCGAATGCGTACGTATCGATGGAGAAATTTTTAAATATTCAAAGAGGATTATCTTAACAATAATAAATTAAATAAATTTTATTATTAATATTTTAAATGCAATCTACCTGTAACCTGTTAGCCTTTATTTACTACTTTCAAATTAAATAAAAATATCTCTTACAGTCAAGAAAACTGCCATTGCCTAACTTCAAAGCGTTGATACTTGCAAAGTCACGAGTGAAAACTGAAAATGTAGCGAAAAAAATAGAGAAAAAAAGAAGAGAGAGAAGAGAGAGAGGGAGAAGAAGAAAAAAAAAAACGGACCATGGAATAAAATTTTCAAAGTCACACCATTTTGACCCACGTGACTGCATCAAAGTCATTTAATACGAAAGACATTTTAGAACTATTTCTTTGTCAGAAAAATGTTTACAGACTAACTGCGGATAATTTATTTATATTTATTTTTAAAATAATATTATTTTAAAATTAAAAGATTAAAAAATTATGATGATAAATTTTTTTATAATTTTAAAATAAATTAAAATTATAAAAACACATTAATTTCTTTTCCAAAATAACATTATTTTAGGCTTAATACAAATAATTTATCTACACTCTGCAAAAAAATTGAACTCTTTCTGTATGTGATGAAACTATTTTTTTATAGGTGCATTGCATTAACTATATACTATTTTCTTTTGGTTGGGGTGTTTTCACCCTTATCCTCACCAAAAAAAAAACTATATACTATAGTGATAATATTTCCAATTTTGAAATTCTTTATTTTAGTTCTTACATAAACTTATTTTATTATGATTCGCATAAAAAAAATAAATTTAAAACTTCCATTGATGTTATAGACTTACAGATAAGGAGGAAACTTTTTAGGTGAAAATAAAATTTCCCATCTACAAATTTTGCATCCTATTGGGGCAGATATTATATTATTGTGGAATCGTGGCTATGAATTCGAGTAACACCAAAGGTATTCACAAGAAACATTTATTGCCAAAAAAAGGGGGAAAATGCATATATATGCATTAAAAAAAAGGAAAATTAATGAAAATTAGACTACACACCCTGATCTGTTTCCAAATTATATTTGACTGAGTGAGATTCAACCTCCTACAGTCCTACCGTATGTAGCACAAACACTAACTGATAACGTTAACTATTGCAGAACTATCATCAATGCTTACTCGTAAGTTTATGTTTTTTTCAATTAATGTTTACCCATGAGTTTCAAAGCAAGAGCATTTATGGCATCTAAAATATCTTGCTATTAACCCATAATAAAATATTGGTAATGGTAAGATATTATTACCATTCTTATACTATCCTGTTTTTTTATAAGCATTCATATATTCTTTTTTACTTTTAGAAAAAAAAAAATATCATCCTCAGCAAAGGCTTTGTCATAAAGGAGAAATAATCTCCCATTGACTCTCCAAATTTGTCACAAATGGTAAAAGATTAAGCTCTTAGTAAAAAAAAAAAACATGTCCGTTGAATCAAATTTTACTTTTAAATGGGGTATGGTAAGAAACATGATTCTCACCAAATTCAATCCTAAATGCATTTCAATTTGTCAAACATTTTTTATGCCTATAACCCTTTCCATGTCCATTTATTTATAAACCACACTCCTCCCCTGAACCATTTCACTCAAATCCAACAAAACAAATTTTATACCCCAAAAAACCAAACATGCCGAAGAACATTCAGAAATCCCTTCAGAACTACCTCTCCAAGATCAAAAGTCCTAGCTCACCAATCCAATTACCCTCTAAGAAATGGATTCTCTCAGGTTGCACGCATCCCAGAACCCCTTCTTTTGCCTTAGACGACAACAAAAATGGACCTCATGACGTCAGCAACGACAACGACAACAACAACAACGTTAACAATAACAAAAACGATGAAGCCACGTTAGCGGACATCGATCGTTTCCTCTTTGAGAATTTCAAGTCTTTATACCTTGAAGACAATGAAGAAACCGATCATAACACCAAAAGGGTCTCTCAAGAAGAACATGATCAAACAAGCCATGATGAAACAACACCACCGGATCTACGTGGTTCCAACCGGTTCTTCTTGACACGTGGCTTCTCGGATGAAGGATCGAGTTCAAACTCAAACTTGAATGATTCTTCATCTTCGAATTTTCATGCAGAGGAAGGTGTGAAACAGAGGATTCCCAATAACTGCGTGGTGGTGTTGGCGAGCTCGCCGAGCCCCTATGAGGATTTTCGGCGATCAATGGAGGGAATGGTAGAAGCAAGGTTGAGGAACAATGAAAGGGTGGATTGGGATTTCATGGAGGAGCTTTTGTTTTGTTATATAAACATGAATGAGAAGAAGTCTTACAAGTTCATACTCAGTGCTTTTGTCGACTTGATCACCGTCATGCGGCGGCGTTCGGAGAAATCTCCGGCGAAGAATGCTCCGGCGAAGGTGAGGCCGCCACGGAGCGTTCGGACTGTTAGGATTGGTAGGGAGGTGAGGAAGAAGACTAAAGAAGTAACGTTGCGATTTGGGTCGCCGTAAGTAAATGTTCATGCCACCCGATGATCAAGATAATTAATGAATGCATTGAATATACCCCTCTCCCCCCAATGTTTTTTTTTTTTTTTTTTTCAGTTAGGCATCGCATGCGAATAAGATGTATTATTATATTATATGTTTTTAGTGTTGGTGAAAAAAAAAAAACTTTATCGATGGTTTAAAGATATAGAAAATCTATCAATGAAAATGAATTTTCTTTATCAATGAATAAATCAAGGTGATAATTTTGTAGCTTTGTATTTCATTGTTTTTTATTTCTCTTCTCTTATCCTCGTTGATTCATTAACTCCCGTGTAACAAGATAATATTAAATAATATAGAAAAGATTTGCTTCGATATATAGACCTAAACCTTGAATTAGATATGAATAATCTTATTAAAACTGAATTGGACTCATCCTAAGCGCTTTAATGTAACGAATTCATTCGCTCGCTTTAATGTAACGAATTGCTTTAATGTAACGAATGCATTCTCACTTTAATGTAACGAATTCATTCGCTCGTTAAATAACAAATTGAATTATAAATAAGTAAGTTAATTAATTCTAAATTAAGTTAAACTAGTATCAAACCAACACTAATTTATGGATTGAACTAGATCTTAGAATTTTATGTAAAAAAAAAAAATTAAAAACAATTTGACATGTTAGGCTTGAATATATGGACTAATAAAGAATACAAGTAATATTAATTTTTAAATGATAATTATATGTCTCATATAATACATTTATTTTTATTATTTTAGTAATTTTATACCTACTTCAAGTCATTTAACCAATCTTGAGTTAATTGATTAATGTGAGCAAAGATAATTATCATTAACAGGTGAAACAAATCTTGAGTTAATTGATTAATGTGAGCAAAGATAATTATCATTAACAGGTGAAACAACAATTCGGATTCAATATCTCATCTCAACTAAAAATCAGAATGCAATTCATGACTTCTTCCATTTATTTATTCTTTACATATCTCATTATCAACTAATATGAGATTGAAATTTAATAACAATGATTTAACTTTAAAATTATGTAATATCATTACATTCACACTAAATACAATAAAAAATACAAAAATTACATATTACATATATATATATATATATATATATAGGGGAAAGTACTTCTTATGTGACTGCAGAAGGGAAAACTTGCAGCAACACAGGATACGCGTTCGGATCCTAGATTTTTTTGTTTTTGATAGAATCCGCACGTGTATTCTAGGATCCGCACGTGTATCCTAGTGTTAAAAATTTGCTGCAACTTTTCTCATCAGCAGTCACATGAGAAAGCGACGGACCCATATATATATATGAGAAAAAATTAAAAAATAAATAAAATACATGGGACTTTAAGTCTCCTTTTGCATTTCTTTTTGAATTAAGATAACGATATTCTATATTTTTTCAAAGGTAGTTTAGTTGATTTTGAACTTTATTATGTTTACGATGCGAACATATCTATCTACGTTGCGATATTATTACGGTTGTGCATATGAAATGAGATGAGAAGAAAGAGGGATTTTAATTTAATGAGGAATCAAATGAAGAGATGAAAATAGTTTGTAAATAAGAATTGGAATACTTGATGGTTGAAGTTTCTTCTAATTAAATGTTGGTTTTAAAGTGAAATTTAAAAACACGACCACAGTGGGAGTCGAACCCACGACCTTTTGATCCGAAGTCAAACGCGCTAATCCACTGCGCTATGCGGTCAACTGTTCTATTGTTAGAAAGTATTGATTCAGAGTCAGTCTCTTGTTTTCAATATCACAAATGCTCGAAACTAGAAACAATCCGTTCTACCAGGAGCATAATGATCTAAATTGCTGTCTAGTGTCTACCACTTTTCCTTTTGTTTTTACAAAATTGACGGTGATATTTTAAGCCTTGAAATATTAACATTCTATATCAGATTAATTTTTTTAGTAAATTAAATTAGTTTTTAAAATTAACACTTAGTTCCATCTTTTTTAAATTTGATTGAACACAAAATAAAAAAATTAATCCTCTGGGGAAAAACTAAATTTGCATCAATTAGCCTGTAATAAACTTAATTAAATCAAATTAAAAAACACTTGACACGATAGAATTGATATAAATAAATTCTAGAAACTAAAACAGAATAAATATAATTTTTTTATTTTAAATCTTTGATCAAAATATCCCATATATATTACTATAAGATTGATCCTTTGGGACAAAAATATAAATATAATTCTTTATAAACTAAATTGTTAATTTACTCCTTTTTAAATGAATATATTCTTATATATTTGTAGTTTGTAACTTCTCCACCTTGAATTTCATACCTTGGTTGTGTAGTTGTGTTTTATTTAGTATGAGTTGTTTTGTGTAGCATCAATTATTTTTTTCTTTTAATCTTAGGAGTAGATCAAGTAATTTTAATAAAGAAATAATAATTAAATAAAGTCTTTATTTTATTTTATTTTTGTACAAAGCACGGACACTAGCCCAATGAAGCGAAAATAAAACTAAACAGGATTATCCCCAAATGGGGAGTGCATGAAGTCTTAAAAACAACAAACTACGTAATTGAAGAGGAGGTTCGTGCAGAAATTGATGATTTGGTTCACCCTTGATACGATGCTTTGCTAGCCAATGAGCACAGTCATTCCACATACATTTTTTTTTTTTTGTTTTGAAAACTTAAGAAAACTTCATTCCCCATGTGATTACTTTGAATAGTCCAATCCTAGCAAAGTCAATAATTGATCTGGGAAACAATCGTTGAGTTCCTTATGTCACAATTTGGATTTTTTAGGATAGAGATTGCATGAGGAGAGTCACCTTCAATGAAATGTAAATATTGCAAATAAAATTGAAAACATTGAACATTGCAAATATAATTGGCATGAAATGTAAATTTATTTTCACTGAAGCCAACTAGGATTATGTTGTGTAACATCATTTTTAGCATTTGTATACTTTATTTAAAAAGAATGTAAACCAACTATCAAATAATAATAACAAACCCTAAAAAGGTAGCTCAACTGACAAAGTTGAGCATCCAGGGTTGTTTGGTTTAGGGTGTTTGATTTTTGGCTTAAGTTGTAACATCCCAAGAGCTAGCAAGGGCAGAGAGTGATCGCCGGTGTAAAAGGGCACGGACAATGAGCGGCTCATGCCAAATCTTGCAGCTTGGGGGTTCATGAATGAATCGAATCAATACCCAAAAGAGAGGGATTCCAGAGACTGTGCTGGTAGGGGACGGTACAGTTAGGAATGACTTATAAGAATTAATTGGTACTACCTATACTAACAAGATGCATCTACTTTTCGGTAGCCCGGATCGGAAGAACTCCACGGTTAAACGTGCTTGACTTTGAGCAATTCTGGGATGGGTGACCTCCTGGGAAGTTTTCCCAAGAAGTGTGCGAGTGAGGACAAAGCACACTGAAAAGTCTCGAGTTAGTGTGTGGGGACAGTCGTTGATTCTTGCAAGTGGCCGAGCGTTACATAAGTAATTCTAAAATCATTTGAGGGGCGTTTGATATGGGAGAAATTTTTTTTAATCGAGAACAAATATTTTCTGAGAAAAAAGTGGCAAATTTTTTTGATGGGAAAGGTTAAAAAAAAGTGCTTGGTAGGTCAAAATTTCACCAGGAAAGTTGGGTGAATTTTACTGGTGTTATGTTTGGATGATTGTAAAATATTGATGGAAAAGAGTATCAAAATTATCAAATAACCCCCGATTTTTGGTAGGGCTCATTAGCTGAGATTTGAGAAATGTACTTTGATGCAGAGCATTTTCGTCACACAAAAGCGATCTGAATTTGCCACCGACAGGGAAAAAAAAACTTACCACCTCATCCATGGCAAAATTTTCCATCCCATTCATGTGTAAAACCAAATCATGATCAGCTTTTTCCAAATCCTCCTATCAAACATGGCCATATTATTTTTCCTATCTTATTTTCTTGACCAATTTTTTTTTTGCCTCCCTTGCCAAACAGCCCCTAAGGGTGAGAGGGAAAAGACTCTCTTTTAATATAAATTAATTTTATGCTTCTTTCAATGGCTCATGCATGTGTGACTCTTTTTCAATGGCAATTAATTTTATGCTTTTTTTTCAATGACTCATGCATTTGTTGTTCTAATGAAGAATTAACTTTTAGAAACGTACTCCAAGGAGAAGGTGGAGCGAGGTAGAATATGGAATTATGGATACCTCCATATCTCTATAGAGTTTAGTTTTTCTTATGTTGTAGGATTGTAGGAGAGAAAAAAAGTAGAGAGAAGTTAAATGTGGGTCCCATATTTTATATTAAAAAAGAAAAAAAAAATTATTTGGCACGGAAAACGAATTTGTGTAGGAAAATGAGAGTATCTCATGTGGCATGAGAGTATTATTTCTCATCTCTATATATATAAAAAAAATGTAATTTTGCTTTAGAGCATTTGCCGAAGGCACCACATACGACACTAAGCAAAACGAAAACGACTAATTAGAGAACAAAACGACACTTCGAGTCTGAACTTCACGCTTTGTGCCCATCTCTGCGATTCTTTTCCCAAAATTTTCATCTCTCGCCATCGCCGGAGGAAAACACTCCAATTCCTCCAATTTTCTCTCCAACAATTCGTTCTTTCCCTGCTCACTTTCCGGCGAGTTCTCCAATTCGGTAATTCCATTTCTCTCTCTCTCTCTCTCTCTCTCTCTCTCTGTTTATCTTATTTTTGACAGAAAGTAGAAATCTCCCCCCACTTCAATTTCTTATAAGATTCATCGATTATTGACTATATTGATTTGTTTTTCTTGTATTGATTTTTGTTTTTCAGTCGGTTTATCGCTTCCAGAATTCAGATCTGAGTCCACATGAACCATCGTTTGCGTTTGGGTTGATTATAACAGCCTTGATTTGGGTTTAAGAAAAATGGGGTCGCTAAATTTGGTAAATTTTGTTGAATGACGAGTGGTGTGGCTTCAATTGTTGAGATTTGAGTAACTGGGTCGATCTCAGTGGATGCTATACTGGACAAAGTTGAAGAATTGGGTTTTGATTGGGTTCAGGAAATTTTTTGGGGGAAGATTTTGGAGAGGATTAGGTTATTTGTGAGGGAGTTTGTCGGGTCGGCGTCATGTTCTATGGTGCGGTGGTATGGGACCCTTGGCTTATTGTTGCTCAAATTGTTTGTCTTCAATGTTCGTATTATATGACCCTGGGATTGATCTTGTCGATACTTGTTGGCACTCGTGTGTCTCGGATGAGCCTCGTGTATTTCTTTGACTATGTTACCATCACTACCTCTACCGTTACTGGTTGGTGTGTTATTGCTTCAATTTTGCTCAGCTCAGTTGCAGGGTAATTGTTCTCTTCCACTTTGCTTACCCTAATCAATTTGTTAAAATCGTAATGCATGAATTGGTAATTAGCTAGTTTACAAATGAGTGTTCATGTTTAAATCTGTCTGTTGTTATTGCGTTGGATGGATTGTGCTTTATTCGAGTTTGGGAAAATAAACAGAAAGTTAAGCTTTGAACCTTTGAGATAGATGTGCCTTTATTTAGTAAAGTCCATGTATCTCTTTCTTTCTCTTTTGGGATTTTGGAATGTACAAAAATGGGATTTGATTTGATTTTTAAATCAAATCTTGTGTTTGGAATGTTAAAAAATAGGAAATGAAATAATTTTTTAAAAATCCAATGAATTGTAATGGTTTAGATTTACAAATTCTGTGGAATGTGTTGTTTGTTGTTCTGTGATTATTTTACGTGGGTGCAAGGAACCGAGGGAGGCATATGTGGCTGTTATGTTGTGGCTTTTATGTACTTTTTGGCTTGTTAACTGAAGTTATGTAGTAGCTCTATGTTGTCCTTATAGGCGACTATTGTTTTTATGCAGGGCTGTATATATGCTTTATTTGATTGAAAGAGCAAAGAAGTGCTTGGATTTTTCGGCCACTCTCTACATTATCCATCTTTTTATATGCATTGTATACGGGGGTTGGCCCTCTTCTATAACATGGTGGATTGTGAATGGTACTGGAATTGCAGTGATGGCTTTGCTGGGTGAATATCTGTGCATCAAGCGCGAACTCAGGGATATACCAATAACTCGATATCGTTCAAGTAAGAACTCCTTTCTTTGTGGATGCTTAGCTGGATAATTGGACACGTGCTGTTTGAAGATTTGTTGATCTGTGATACATTATATGCTCTATATATCCCTTTTTTTGTATGAGTTTTACTTACTTCAGAAGCCTGAATATATGTTCAGGCTATCAAACTCAATTCATGTTAGGCAAGCAGTTAATATTGTATACGTTGTGTTTACTGTTCTTTTCTTTGTTGCTCTTGCTCTTTTTTATTTTTATTTTTTTTTTGGAATATTTATGCTTAATTTATGCATTATGCTTAAGTTGTCATTTCAATTTGCTTATCTTATTGCAAACTGTATAGGTTTCTGTCTTTTTGAGTAAATACCATCCGTCAGCTAAGAATTTTCATTGTGTGGACATAATGATGTGTTGGTTAGCAGTTTTTTATATACCGCCAAATATTGGTTGGCTGTTCCTGTGATTTAATATAGTCGAGTTTCTTGCAGATACTTGATTTGCAGAAGTAGCTTGAGTCTCGAATTCAAGAAAGGAGTTGTGCTTGGGGATGGTAACAACTTTTGTTTCTATATGTTGGATGATCTCCAAGATAAAGCCCACGAAGTGCATAGTTCTATTACGCCATTGAAAGACTACATTTCCTTTCTATTCATTAGTTGCAATAGAGAGTTGAAGCATAGATAACCAGACGAGACTAGGTACATAATTTTTCAGGAAATTGTGAAAGTTTTAATGTTAGTTATTCTATTTCGTTTTCACCCCTTTTAGTGTTGTTGGTTAAATTGCTGCATTTAGTTGAGACAGCTTCTATTCTTTTTACCCTTTTTGTGAGTTCTTGGATCTGTTTAAAATCTTGGAAATATATGTAGTTCTGTGCCATTACGTTTAATGGGATTGTTATATCAGATAGCAGAATGAACCTCTTGGGCAGACTTGTATTTTAACTTCTTTATTGATGATAAATTTGCGGCGCAAATTTGTGGTTGATGTTCCTCTATATGGTTTAATTGCTAGTGTTACTTTGTCACTGTAGTTCCTACTTCCTAACCAACAATCGAACTTGTAAAAGTCCTGTATATGAAAATAATGTGTCACCTTGATAAATATCTGAATGGGCTTTTGTTGACAGAATTATGAATTTTCTCCTTCATTCAAATGTTAATACTTTTATGTTGCTGGTCGTCTGTTGATGCATCAAATCACCATAAATCTTGTACTTTGATGATAATATTTCTTCATTTCTACGTTAAACATAGTTGTAGAAATGGCACGATTCGATATGTTTTGCCACGCTAATGATAAATCGGATATGTCTACTTATAGGTGTATGGATCGGTCCAATTTTGTACCACCGAAGCGATCCTTTAATTTACTTCATTAATTCTTATAAAAGAAACAAATAAATTAATGTTATTAAATCAAAAGTAAATAAACTAAAGTTGTTAAATCAAAGGTAAATTAATGGAAGGGGAACAAATTCTTTCATTTCGATCACGTCATATGAAAAATCTCAATGATTCATAAATAGATTAATTGTTAATAATTAAAATGATAATTTAATTTTTTTAACCAATTTTGGCATTAAAATTATTATTGTTGTTCAATTAATTAATAATTAAGAATTTTTACATGATATAGTTATGTTTAAAAAGTAGGGAGAAGTTCAAAAACTTGGGACTGGAACTATATCAGCAATTTATTTGTTGTAAAATAAAAAAATAAGAAAAGCTCCAATACATGGAATCCTCTAGAAAGAAGATAGACACAATTCACTTGAGAGTTATTATGGGTGAATCATTTAATTAATAAGATAAACTTCAAAAGGTAGGTCAATGAAATCGTAATTCACGTCAACTTAAAATCCAGTATAATTTAATGAGTGCTCAAAAGGACAGGAGATAGACCACAACTCCATAAACATTACTAAAAATCAGAAGTGGCATGACAATTCCTAGCTATAAACAACAAAAACCATGGATAATTGACCCTATTAAAACAACACATTTGATCAGTTATGCATTAGGCTTGAACTTGATTTTGACACGAGTGAAGCCATTGTCATCAGCTACTTCCTTTGCAGGAGGAAGAACGTGATCATGGCCCTGATGGTTAGCATCAGCTTTAAAGTTTGGTAGCTCCCATTGATGGCATTAATTGTTTGCAAACCGGTCTGCCCATCCATTGTATGGCTTTTCTCTCCAAGAAATGCGGTCATCTTCATCTCGCTAAGCATTTTAACGTGCTATTGATGCGCTTCACATTCTCAGGGTCCTGAAGGATATTACAAATGTCTTGACAGGTGGCATTACCAATATGATTCCACAAATTATGATAAAAACTTGCTTGCTAACTGTCCTCCCCTGGAGTCTTAGAAGCACCAATTTGAAATAAAGTAGTCCTAATATCAGTATTAGAATAGGGTGGAGACCACTTTGAACAAGTGAATGAAAAATTCCCTTGCTATTATTGATCAGACCAATCCAATATGGATTGGACAAAATCATACATGGTTGAAGGATGAAGACTTTGGACTGTATATTGTAATTCGTCGGCTTGAGATGATACTTGTATATATGAAGGTTGTTGAATGATTCTAGCGCAATGGAAGTGACTGGGGGTACCTGCAAAGACACTTCGACGTTCAAGTCAGTATCAATGCTAGGTTTTTGTTATATTGAATGGGAATAAGATCATTATACCTGAGTTTATACCCTTCGTATTTATAGCAAGCTTTATGCCGCCTTTGGCAGGCAGCATACTTTTTTATTGGTTGTTGTGGGCTACTAATGTTATAACCTGCGCAATGCTTGACTCATGCATCTCGCGCTATGAAATCATTGTGCCTTTTGGGCCCTTGCTGGGCTTTAAATCTCATGGGCTTATACAGTTATCCAAATCAATTATCATCTTTGATCCAATGGCCACTGTCATTTCTTAGCTCTTTGATTTTGTTTTTCCTCCTTCTATAGATGATAGTACCTTGTGTTGCACAATATAAGGTACTTTCTTGGGTACCCAAAAGCCTACAGAAAGCTCTGCCGAGACAGGGGTTTTGGTCCCTTCAGCTATGGCCCTCCCTTCACTTTCATGGCTTATGCTTTGCAGGAAGACGAGGTAAGCAAATGGATCTATCTCTTTCATCCTTTGCTTGGTTTCATGGCAAAGAAGAAAACTTTTTAAGGAAAATGAGTTTTGGGTCATGCTTATTGATAAACTTGGTTTGATGGGCAGTAAGAATCGATTTTTCTTATGTTAAGTGGGAGGTCTTTTTTTCAAATTGGAATAATACGAGTTTGAATTGAAAGAAAAAAGAAAGAATATAGTCACATCAGAAATCGGGCACAATTTTGTTACGAGAAGTTGTGTAAAAAGGAGAAGAGTGGAAGACTTGTCCTAGATTCTTGCTTTGTTCTTAAAACATCTATTCATATTAATCACTCATTGTCCATGGAATAAAGTCATCACAATATATCTTTTCTTGGATGCTCTTTCCCTCTATCAAAAGTCAAAAATGGACAAAACTAACATAACAACAAAGATACAAAACCAATATCCTGGGATAAGAAACACTCTTCTGAAAAAACCAATGCCTTGATTTTTCAAGGTTTCTCCCGAAACAAAGTAGAATGTCTCAGGCAGGCTAAAAAGTTTGAAGCCGTTAGTTAAAAACTTCTTTTTTTCCTCTGTCCTAGAAATTCATCTATGCAACAAATCATGGCTGAGCCTTCCAGGAGGATGAAATGTCAGCCACAGCTTCTCCCACTGTGAGATACACTCCTTTCAACCCAAAGGACTCCAAAATATTTGACTGATGTAACTTTTCCATCACATTTCCAACAGGATTTGCCAACACTAACTGCAGCAATCAATTATAAATGTAAAGATCACGAAGAAAACTGGGGCAATTCTTTAGGCCTTCTTCTAACATGTTACAATTAGTATCTATACCTGAAGTGATCTTTTGTCCAGCATCTTTCTCAGTTCACATAAAATGTCGATACCACTTGTGTCTATGGCTGTGACAGCTGAAAATAAAATAAAAAATTACTTTTTAAGTCAAAATGATCTCAAAACTTTGGTAACAAAATTTTTTAAGTCAAATGAAATATGTACCTGTCATGTCTAGTATTATGCACTTTAATGTACTTTCATTGTTTGCTTTTACACGCTCTTCCTCTTCTCGAACCCATCTCAGTAACCTATACAAGGAGAAGCTCTTAAATAGTTGGAACCTTATTATCACTCAAAAAATGCCTCTGATTAATCTTTTAAATGGACTAAACTTCACAAATTCACAATCTACATATGGCCTTATCTAACCTTTCTTGCAGGTAAGTTGAATTAGCAAAGTAGATGGGAGACTCAACGGCCAAAATGATAAATGAAGGTATCCTTAAAGCTTCTCTATATTGGTTTAGGTTGTGGAATATTGGCGTGCCTGGTATATTCCCCAAAACCAGTGTGTTTGGCCTAGAGACATGAAGCAGGATCTTGAAGACTGATATTGCCACCTGAAAATTTTGGTGGAGTCAGTTGATATTGATCACTCAGCATTATCAGCCACTATATTTTAACATTTGTTATAACAGGAAACAGATCAATTAATTATAAGCTTACCGCTATTCCAAGGCCTAAGGGCACTGAAATGAAGAGAACACCAAAAAATGAGCACAAACAGGCCAAGAAATCAAGCTTGTCAACCTTCCACAATTTATATGCAGCTTGATAATCTATTAGCCCAATAACAGCAGTGATGATGATGGCTGCTAAGACGACATTCGGTGTGTAATAGAAAAGAGGCATGAGAAACAGAAGGGTCACAAGAACTGCTGAAGCCATGATTATATTTGAGACTGCTGTCTGTGCTCCAGCATTGAAGTTAACAGCTGATCGAGAAAAGGATCCTGCAAGTTCATTTTTATATAAGAAAGGTTATTTTCTCAAAAATTTCTATTTCTGCAATAACTACTAGTCACATGGTCTAATGAGAGAACAATCATTGCCTGTTGTCACATAGCAAGAAGAACAAGAGCCAGCTATGTTCATAAGACCAATGGCCATCATTTCTTTGTTTCCATCCACTTGATAATTCTTAAGTGCAGCAAATGTTCTTCCTACTGCTATTCCTTCCTGAAACAGAAGTAAGTGGCAGTTGAGTTATATGGTGTATTCTATTGTCTGTTCATGTTAAGCCTAAGGAGGAGACCATGTTATTGAAAGCATGTGAATTTAGTGAAACTTTCGTTGACCAATAATGTTTTTATGGGTTTGGGACAGCTTACAGTGAGAGACAAGATCCCAGTGACAAGTCCTGTTTTGATAGCAAGAGCCAAATAAGGACCACTGAAGTATAACATGTTTGATGATGGTGGATTAAGGCCCTTTGGCAATTCACCGATCTGCCAGAGAAAAAGACAGTAAAAATAAAGAGTTATTATTAGGAAGAATATTTATAATTTTATATTTGAGCATCTATTTGCATGTTTAGAAAAACATAAATAAGTGTCCTTTCTTACAATTGCAATTCCATGGGCCTTATTTCTCAGAATAAAGACTAAAAGTGTCGACAGAATAACTGACATCAATGGGGCAGCTGCTGAAACCCAGAATAATTTTGGCTTCTTCAAGCTCTGTTGCAATCATACAGAATTTTCAGATGTTAAGAAGCAACTGAATTGTCAAAGCAAAGAATAGTAGCCTATATATTCATGTATGCAATATAGAGAATCTTTTTTTTTTTTTGTAAAGAACCTTGGGATACACCACCCAAAAGCGAGCTCAAAGGATGGGAGTGCCCAAGACCTTATAAATTCCACATTAGTTGCACATACAACCAATGTGGGACTATATATCTCAACACGCCCCTTCACACAAGAGCCCATTGGGCTTGAAGAGTGGACAATGCAACAGGCGCAGCCTACCTGTGCTAAGAAATGCCACAAGAGAAAGTAGGGGGCGGCGAGGCTCTGATACCATGTAAAAAACCTTGGGATACACCTCCCCAAAAGCTAGCTCAAAGGGTGGGAGTGCCCAAGACCTTATATATCTCAACATTTTTTTTTTAGTACAACAATACAGAGAATCTTACAATGTGCCTTGTTGTCAGCATGAAGGCTAGGAAACTGAATCCAAGTAGAATGGTTTGCCATGACCACTACACAAGTTGCTCAAAAAATTTAGTGAGAGCATATATATATAATTCAGCTTATATTTGCATCACTAGGACAAATACGTATTTTAATTTAAAAGTAATCCTTAATTGCTTAGCTATTCCATATTATCATTCATGACAGAATTAGTCAAAGTAAGAAAAGTTTTTTCAATAAAAAGTAGGAAACTGATCCCTTAATATAAAAGTCAAAGAAAAGAATATCTACAAAAATTGCTAACTTTCGGTTAGCAATCTCAAATCTTAATGATAGTGTATTAGTGTTAATTCTTATTTCTTATAACAGAATCAGTGCCATCAAAATGATTTATTATTTTTTTCCCCAAAATGTCGCTTTAGTCTTCCGACTATTATTAGCCTTCAGATTTAAAAGATGCAAGACAGTAAAAATTTGTGGCCGTCCTTAAAAAAAAAAAAAAAAAAATCAACTTTTAGTCTTTAATTAACATATATTTCAGAAAACAAAAGTAAAACTAGAATAAAATATCAAAATGAAAATATACCTCATTTTTGTGTTTGAAAACAGAAATGAGTACAGGTATTATTTGCATCTTGCTGGAGAAGTGAACTATTCCAAGCAACCCTTTGAGCTGCTGCAATGACACAATGATCGCTGCACCGGCCATGAAGCCCACCAGCGTTGCCTTTGACAGAAAATCAATCACAAAGCCTAACCTGTATTACACCATCAAAGGTTATTTTTAATCATAAATTATAACTTACCAACAAAATAGCCTAAGTTTTAACTATATTTAAAAAATCCATTTGATGGAGAGAAAAAATCTATTGCCAGTTTTTCTTCCTCTTCTTCTTCTTTCCCCTCTCCGTAGTAATAAATGTTCTATGTTAAGTGAGGCATGATATTATGCTAATTTCTCTCCAAAAAAAAAAAAGAATAAATCAAGGGGTGCATGATTTAATACCTCAATATACCCAGAGAAGATTGGAATAAACCAGCAAAGAAAGTGGCAGTGAAAGCCAATTTAAGATAGAGAATTGGATCTTGAGTATAAGAAACTGTCTCGCTCAACATTGATCCCATGACCAAAGATGCAATTGAAACAGGACCAACGCCAAGATGTCTAGAACTTCCAAGCAGGGAATATATCAACGGGGGCACAAAACTGGAATCTGCATGATAAATATATATTCATACCAGTTGAAACGTTACTTCAGTTAAAAGATTCACCACACACACACACACACACATATATATATATATATATATTCTCAACAACAACAACTCAATGCCATGCAGAGACAGAGAGGATACTAACATAATCCAACAATAGGGGGCAAGTTTGCAAGCTTAGCATAACTGATTCCCTGCAAAGAACACATAAAGTTCAAATTTTTTTGTCATTTTTATGAAATATTAACTTATAATTTTTTTAATAATCACTTGCTAATAAGATGGTATGTTTGCAAAAACAAACTGAGGCGCATGCATAAGAAAAAAGTGAAGAAAAAATTTGTGACCTGAGGAATGGAGAGGCTAGCAATGGTGAGACCAGAGATGATGTCAGAGCGGAGAAGGGAAAGGTTGTACTCAGGACCCCATTGGAAAATGGGGAACAAGTATTGAAGACCAAGGAGGAACTTCATGAACCAAGTTTGGTTCTTGAACTTGTGAAGTGGGTCATCTGGGAAGAAGATCTCAGAGAGCCTTTGTCTGAGTTTCTCAAGTGTGGTGCGTTCTGGTGGCAAACGAACCTTGTGGATTTCCAATGGTGGCATTGGTATCTCAGCTTGGATTTTAATGGTGGTGGTTCCATTGCAAAAAAAGGGATCAACTCTATTGGAGTTCACACCCATTTAAGTGAAGTGCAGTGTGTAGAAGAAACCACTAATAAAACTTGGTTTCCTCTGAAAAACAAAGACAACGTGGCTATGAATTTATAGAGAGAGGGAAAAACCATTTGAGAGGTTGCAGGTGTCTCTGTCCCTGTCGTGTGGAGGTTATTGTTGTGAGAAAGCTGTCTTTATTCGAATATTGTTAAGTCGCATCGCTCTTTTTTTCTTTTTCTTTGTTAATTTAACATTACTGTGTTACTGACACAATCTTATGTTTCATTTTTTTAATGTTTTTTTATTAGTAAATAAAAATGGCTCTACTTTATATTGATGGAATGGAACTAGTATAAAATTAATTTTTTTTTTATATAATCTTATAAAAATTAGTCAAATCTCTCGCTGCTACATTAATTTCTAGTGGCTTATTATAGCATAAAATTTTAACTGCTAACAAAAAATACATAAAAATTAATATTATGAGTTTTGATTATCCTTTATGTAACTAACTGCCACATTTGGCTCTAGTTAATTATGAGTTTCATTTAAGTATATTATTAGCGAAAAGTTTTTTTTTTTTTTTTTGTATTATTGCATTCTAATAATATTAATGTTAGAAAACCTTGTGTTAGCTAAGGTTGGGCCCTAGGCCGTGAGGCAATGTGATTTGGAACAAGAAACAATTTTACATTCTTTTGTCCTTACATCATATGAATATGAAATTTCAGGCAATATATATATATATATATATACACGAAAAATTCAAAATTCAGTCACTGGACTGTTTAGTAAGTGAATTTTGACTATATTCTCCCGCGAGAATATAATGCAAAAATATTATAATGGTGTTTTGCAGGTGTTCTTCCGGGAGAACATAGGCAAAAAATTTTGTGCACTATATTCTCGCGGGAGAATATAGTGCACTGGACCTAATTTACATCACGTCACTTGATACTCACTAAACCTATATATATATATATATATATATATATATATATATATATATATATATATATATATATATATATATATATATATATTTATTTTACCACTCCTTGCTGTCACAACATTACTTATAAAGGGTGAAAATGAAATATCAATGTTTTAGTAGCTGGAATTTGAAAATTTTAAAGGGTCATCACTCATCACCACCTTTAATGGACTGTGAAAACAAACTACTCACCCTAAAAAAACACACTGCTTAACTGTTATTGGAAATTATCAAAAAAACTACGGTATTAGTGTGTTGGTTGGTGTGATGGGCTAGCTAGAGTGAAGGAAAGTGCCCCTCTTGGTCCTCATGACGAGCTTCCTGCAAAATGTACTAATGGCTATTCACTTATCCACTCATTGCCTTAGAAGAATTTCACAATTCCATACACATTTATATTTTAATTAAGATTAAATCTAACTTGACTACTTCACAAATTGTACATGAATTTTTATTTTTCTTAATATTATATTATTTTGTAAATATTTGCTTTTTGGGAATAATGAGGGATCATACACAGATCACTAAAACTACACAAACGAAGATTTTTTTATTTTATTTTTTTAGGTACAGATAGGGGCAGAGCCCCAAAACAAAAAGAAAAAAAGAAACAAGCCTAACTAAAGGGGAAGGCAGCAACAGCCAACAGGGACGCTGAAGATATTTATTTGGGTGATTCATGCTCATTAATGTTTAGGTTCAAATACCAGCATTAATTGCTGTATTGGTGTCACTCCTGGAGACTACTAGAGATTACTTTCTATTCTTTCTGATTGAGATGAACCTTATTTCACATTGAATCTAGCATTATTTAGTACTTTGTCTCCTTATCTCAACTGATAGAGATTATCATTTTGGCAAGGAAAAAATATGTTGAATTTGATATTAATATGGATAAAACTCATTAAATATGTTTGATTTTACAATCTAGAACTTTCCCAAGCTGAGTCCCTATATAATTGCCATTTTTTTGGGGGTAAATATTGCCTCTCTTTTTTGTCCCGGGGATTTATGTGGCAAAATACCATAAGCAAAAACTACTGCCACTTTATTCTATTCGAATTTTTGTTTTCATGATTATTAAAATTTGATCTTATATTTCATCTCTTCTTATCGTATATAAATATTTTAATATACAACAAGCTAAAAGTTTGATTAGTAAATTGTTTTTCTACGATTTATTTATTTATTTTAATATTTGTATAATTATTTAATTTTTAAATTTTTACTTTTTAAATAAAATTAAAATGAAAAGTAGATTGACACCTACACCTATATATATATATATATATATATATATATTAATGCATAAGCTATCTCCATTGGTTAATTTTATTTGTTTAATCAGCTAGTATTTTTATAGGGAGTTTATTAGTCTCCTTTTTGTATGAAAGTTTTTCTCTTATGTCACACTCACAAACCAGCAATGGGATCCACCAAAATAAAAAAGAAAAAATAAATAAATGAATCCCACGTTATTTTTCAGTGTGCAGAAAAAAATGCTGTCTTATGTGACAGAAGATTAGTAAAACTCATTTTTATTGGTTGTTCGGTTATAGTTTTCAAAGAGAACCGGCTTTCTTTAGATAAAGTTATTAAGGATTATTATTTTAATTATAATATATATAACGGTTAATAATAAATATAAAATTCTTCTTTGATTAATTACGATTAAATTATTAGTTAAAATAAATTTGGTATTTATTTAATAAACAAATGATAATATAAGTTCAGTCAAGATGGATCCACGTTTAGCAATATGGGGCAGAGGCGGACAGGTGGAGGCAAATGTCCGCCAGTTCTTAACAAAAATGAGTGCAGAGGTTACTAAGAAATTTAGAGTAAATCAATTTAGTTAAAATTGTGATGACTTACAAATTCAAAAAAGACAGTCGCTTAAAAAGATTAAAATGTGTCCACTTTGAATTTCATAGATTTCATGTCACTAAACGAGGAATTCTTTGGAATTCCCGGAAAATTAAATTTTTCTAAATTTTTAATTTTCAGATATTATCGTAAACTGAATGTAAAAATTATATTTTTGAAAATTGAGATTCTCGGATAAAATAAAATTTCTCCTCTATCAAACCCGCACTGAAAGATTAAAGTGGGGATAGAATTTTTTGTTAGAGACCGAAAAGAACATTTACTCTTATATTAGTTAGCAATATAGCAACGTACAGAGATGATTAAAACAATGTAGCAACACAAATTAATTAAAGAGAATCAACCACTAAATTGATTAGCAACATACAACTAAATTATGAGCAAGTTCATAACTTTGTACATAAAATGTTAGTCTAAATTGTCTTTAAATTTTTTTTCGAGAACACTGCTCTAAACTTTCACTATTAAATATACGCACATAAAACAATTTTAGTGGCTCCATCACTGATATGGGACATAAGTTCATTTTTGTCCCATTCATTGTCTTTAAAAACTTTTCCCCCGGTATTACTAGTAAACTTTTTCTCTCTCTGTTTTTTTAAATGATGTGAAGTGAAAGATATGGTTCTTAAACTTCCCACACCCTAAAATTTTTAGGTTCATCAGGGACTTCAGTGACCCTACGTTCTCTTTATAGACTCACAACACCTGTCACCATCGTCCCACCACTCCAACTCGGGTGTATTTCTGATGCCATAATGTTTAAGAAGTTAACTTGTTTAACCATAAATATTAGGCTTAAAACTTACGCAAACGGGAGCCAATTAGGTAATGAAGTTACTCAAAACCAATTTGAGCTTCCAACGGATACTATATAATTTTCTGTGGCAACTTGACCTTGTAAAAAAGAGTGGTCGTATATTTCCTTTTTCACTTTACGGAAAGCAAAATAATTCATTATCTTCAAAGAGAAAGTAGTTGTGCGTCTAAAACAAGAGAGGTGATAATTTTACTATAAAAAAACTCTCTACCAATTCATTACTTATTTAATTATTATTGGATCAATATTTTTTTCTTTTTTAAAATTTTTCAATTTTCATTTTCTCTGACTCAATAATAATTAGATAAGTAGTAAGTTAATAGTAAACTTTTTTTGTAATAAGAATATTCTTCCTCCTAAAATAAAACTACACAGATAGTTATTGTATAACAAATAAAGGGTCGAATCTTTATCATATCGAAGCATATAATTTTATCTTATATATATATATATATATATATATATATATATATATATATATAAAAGTATGTAAAGTTTATATGAAAAAAAAAGAGCAAAAAATATAAATCTCATATATTTTTATGTACGTATATAAAATAATTTTATCTCCTATAATATGATAAATATTAAACTCATAAACAAAATTAAGTCATCTCATGTTACCCTTCCCCCTCCCAAAAAGGGAAAAAGGCTCAAGGTAGATTTTAGCTTTAATAAATTTTACTCATTTAATTTTTTATCTTTATAATCTTTTTAGTATAAGTTCCTATATTTTATACTATTGAGATATTTGTTACTTATGAAGTGATATAATTGGCCAAAGGGGATAAAGTTCCCAAACTTGTAAGAATACGAATGATGATGGATCGTATATCGTCTTACTCTAACGTTTGGCAAGTTACTCGAACACATGATCTTCTAATTACCAAGAGTAACTTTATCACTATTGTAAGGCTCGTACAATTTTGTTAGGTAAATAATTGATTGAGAAAAAATTAATAAAATCTGATGTAGATGAAAATGAAGTTTAGGGGTATTTTTATTAAACACTATACTATAGAGGTATTCCTGATTAAAAGAAACTTAGAAATATTTTTAATCCTAAAACATACCTTAGTCCTTAGGAATATTAATGAAGTTTTCTCTAATTTCAAAAGCATTCACTAATATTTTAAGTTAAATTATATAGGAAACAATTCTTCATTAAAAGAAAGAGATAATTCATTTTTTATGAATAAAAAACATAAGGATGAAGTGTAAGAACTAAAATCTTAAAAAGAAAAATAGAAGAACCAAAATTCAAATTAGTATGAAGTGTAAGAACTAAAATCTACTAAAATTTGGTCGTGTGTTTTTGGGTGATTTGGCTTTATAACTTATCTTATTCACATTCTTTTCCTCTTTTCCCATTTTAATGACAAACCCTCGACTCTTGCATGCTATGAAGAACCAACTTCAAAAGTCATTTTCCTTTTGGCTCCCCTAATAAGGCAAGTGCGCGGCAATTTGCCTGCCAAGCATGAAGATCCTCTTTTATTGTGGCAAACTTCAGGACCCAATTCCGTGGATATATATCCACACACACTAAGAACAAATTCTCCAAATTCTACGGATGTTATTTAAAAATCAATAGACATGGTTATGGCATTATATTCATGTCTTTTACATCCCTTGCGCCCCATTCTTTTTATTGTGATTCACCTCCTAAATATGGATCCTTTAAACATAATAAATAACAATTTTCACAAGCTGCATAGTTAGTACTTCTGGTTTTGTTTATATAACAACTCACTCAAATCTTTCTAGCCCCATCTTTTGACTAAAATGGGTCAAACAATTTTAGACCTACCGTTAACCCAGATATGTTATTCTCTTTCTCCAGATATATCAAAACCGTGAAGACAGAAACATCATACATATATAGTAGTGATTTCTAGATTCCAATAGCAACTAAGGTTAGGTTTGGTTAGAAGAATGTAACAGGTTATGCATTAATGAGAGGCAATTAGTACCCTACCCCATTTATATTCCCACTTTGAGGATTACCATTAGAAGGTTTACACCTGGATTGCTGCTTATAAAGGTAATATACGAAAATTAATTATTGTGATCCCACCCATAATTTGGCCTTAGATTTTAATGGTTTCAGGATCACTTAGATTATACATTAAATTAATACCATGATCCCACCACTAATTTCAATCACCCTCTTAAACAGTAAAGGATTCTTTTTTATTGGAACTCTCTGCCTTTCTCTTAGAACTGCACTATTCCATGTGGGAGAGTTGAAACTTGAATGTGTACACTGAATACATAATAAAAAACTCGATAACAATTTACAAAAAAAAAAAAAAAAAACTCGATAACAAGAATCGACATAATGATCGTAAAGAATCGATTTAACCCAAAATCTTAAGTTATTGGGTGAGACTTTTTTAATGATTTATATTATTCTCTAACATATTCCTCACGTAAAAGTTCTTTGGACTTGAAGCGTAGATATTATTCAATTTTTGGTTTATTTTTTGTTTACATTATGCTTATTTTAATTCTATTAGAAAGTGGGAACAGTGAGTATCAAACTTGTGACTTTGTGGTCACTGAAACTGATATCATATAAAGAACCAATTTGAACTAAAACTATTTCGTTGATCATTCATATAACGTATAAGTGTTTCGTTGATCAATATATTTTAATAAACACAAGTAGATAGACAGAATGGACATTTAGGTGCATGAATAATTGGTTGTTTCCTTTTGCTAATAAGCCGCTTCTTTCTTTAATATAAAGCAAACACTCCCATATTTATGCATAATTTTTTTTTCCTTGCTACCAATTTTAATAAAACCTTCAAATGGCTCACAAAATTTAAAAAAGTTGAGTAGTACTTGTTTTAGTTCCTTGGTGCAGAATCAGAGTCAAAAGTTTCTCCAACCTCAACTGTGAATCCTGTTCTCACGTTAATATAACATGCACCACTAACATTTGTAAGGCAAGATAGATATTTTGACTTTGGTGGAACACTAGTAGATTCTGTTTCTTCCGTTTACCCAATTCAAAAACTGAAGGAAAAAAGAAACAGACTTGTAGACGCGGCGAGAGGGAGTAGTAGTGTTTGATTGCTGCAGGGAAAATGGATTATAGAAGATAAGGAAAAAGTGTTATACAAGATTTATAAGGTATCAACATTCGATGGATCAGAAAATTTGCCAATTCAAAAGGAACAAAATGGTGGACCATATGCATAACCTTTCTCTTTAGACCCATTTTGAAAGGTTCTCTGCTTACTCTAAAATAAAAATAAAAATAAAGATTAGATGGGAACTCATGGCCTGCCATCAATGACAGCTAAACTTAGAGATAGCTATTTGTTATTGTAGGTCAGCGTTGAGGTCTTAATTCGTACACGTCAACCCCCTATATTATTTAGCTGAAAGGAATTTGGTTCTTCCTTTACAAGATCTAACATAGAATTCTCCAATGCCATTCTTTCTATAGCACTGAAATGAAAATTTAATTAAAGGATCTCTCATGTGTTGGAGCAATAATGGAATAAATCTTTTTAGTTGATGTGATATTTTTTATTCACGTGTCACAAAATAAATGACAATTCGACTAAATTTCCAATGCATCAGCTGCACTAAAGATTTATTCGCATTAAGAAGGCTACCTCAAAAAGCAAAAAAATTATAAACAATGATTCCCATCTAACAAAATGTGCAGAGCTATTGCTAACAATACAAAACATTTTCTATCATAACCAAATGGTGGTAGTTCAGTTGGCGCATGAGAGATAAGCAGGTGGGGGTGAGAACATGTGTTCGAATCTCCCCAGTATCACTTTTGGGAGGGATTTAAAGCCTTAATCCTGAACTCGCCCTGAATCGAATTAGTTGCGAAGCAATAAGCCGATTAAAATATTTTCAAAAAAAAAAAAACATTTTCTAACATAAAGAATGGTCACTTCGCATACCGAATAGCATAGCCAACAAATTTAATGGCAGTTTCTTTGGACTTTTTTTATTTTTTAATATTTCGAAAAAGTTGGAGAGGGTCCTCTCCCTATTCAATTAAATCTATGTAGGGAATTCCGTAAGTGGAACCTTAAGTGTGATTATTGAATTAATTAATCATTAAAAAAATGTTTTAGCTGTTAAATATCTTGGTGGACTGGTATATGAATCGATCATTAACGGTATCAATTCAAACTTTGCTGCGGAATTTTCCTTTTAGAACAGGTAAAGAAAGGACAAAATGACAAAAGAAGGGTTCAATAGTATTGCTCTGCACACTGCAGCCTAATCAATTCCAACTTCCAAGTTAGTTTCTTCTTATATAAGCAATACACTAGGCATTAGGAAGAGCCCGTGCTAGTGCTAAGATTTTATATACATAACAAGAAGATTGGTTGATTAGAAGTATTGGCTAGGAAACTGGTTGTGATATTTTAGTGCTTCATGCTCTAAGGGAAGAACGGGAAGGGACACAGAGGAAGCTCAGAGAAAATTTGGCAAGTGGAGCAGTTTATTCTTGGAATATACCTTATGGCTTTAATACATCTGAATTTCTTCTTTAGTAGTTTCCAAGTTATAATGATTGATTCAATTTCAGTTTTCCTAAAACCAGTGGCTGCTTCTCTCTATTATTATTATTTTATTTTATTTTTAAATGTGGTATATGACAGTGTAAGGAAGTGATGATAAAATAAAAAGCAAGCGAAATGACATCAACTACATTGCCACAATATGCAGCTTAATTGGTAAATTGAACTCTTTTTGGCCGTATTTTATTACTCAACTAATCCAATTCGAATAAGATAAAATTTTATGGGAGATAAAATTCTCTTTATTTCCAAGAATTTAAAGGTGAGACCACACGTTAATTTAGAACAAACCCTTATCAATTGATTCACGTGTTTGGTAGTGAGCTTCATATTACTTGAATTAAAGATTTTGGTCATCTTTCTTTTTTAAGTTTAGACTTTAGGCGACTATGTCCCCAAAACATTTTAAAAATTCTTAACGTCACATGTAATTCCTTTAACTTGACCATTCATTAAAGAAAATTAAACTTGTTAAATTGCTGTTGGCCAAAACTAAGCTAGTGTTCAAGAGTTAAATTTTTGTATAAGCTTAATCAACACATGAATGTGATTTATTAAGCTCGAGTTTTAAATCCCGAGCACAACAACTCTCTTGACAAGACAAACATAATCCTGTCTTAGAAAATGCAATTATGTCTTATCGAGAAAACAAAGTTGAATGATAATGAAGAAAGTGGTATAGCCTATGAAACTAAACTTTTTGTATTAAGCGATGCATATGAATGAAAAGTGTTTAATGTAAAAATAATAATAAAAATCACATAGGTGACGAATATAACAAAGGTAGTTTTTTAGAAGTTGACCTTGTAAGCGGAAGGAGACACCTTACACGCCTTAGAAGCTCTCTAATCCTCTGCTGGAGATAATAGAACATCAAATATTTTTCTTGACATCCAATCCTGGGTTCGTAAAGAGTGGGAGGTTTATGGTCAACTAATCTTAGAGACGCCAACAAATGTATAAGAATTATAAGAATTAATGAATTAATGAATCGAATCAACATTCGAAAGAGAGGGATTCCAAAGACTGTATAAGTACGAGACTGCACAATTGGGGATAACTTATAAGAATTAATTAGTACTATTTATACTAATAAAAAATGCATTTACTTTTCAGTAGCCCGAAACGAAAGAACTCCATAGGGAAGTTGTTTTCTCAGGAAGTGTGCGAGTGAGGAAAAAACACACTGAAAAGTCTTAGTATGTGAGGATAATCATTCATTCTCGAAGCGGCCGGACGTTACAGAATAGATATTCTCATAATAAAATTTTACATGATTTGATTATGTGGAATTTCTATGTCTATCTTTCTCTTCATATGCATTGAACTGATATAAGTTATATTAGTTTTTATTATTATAAAACGACATCGTTTTGGATTCATTAGAGATAATTTTATCTCGAATCAATGGTGAAACATTAAACCCATTTAATTAACCAGAGTTGTTATGTTAATACTTGAGTATAATGATTCCATGGAAATCCTTAAAAAAAATTAGTGGACATCATAACTTATAACCCAACAAGCTAACTATCGAGATAGATTTTAAAATTCTCCTGCTTTTGTGTCGTATAGTTTGTTTTCTCTGGGCTTAGGCCCAAAAAATTGTCCCGAACCCGACCCGTCATATGAAGACTAGCCCGATTCAGACACATAAGGTTTTATTTTATCTTTTTCTTCTCTATGAAATGATGGACAGACAGATAAACCTAAACATGAACTCCACAGCGTAAGGTTTCGAATTCCATCAAACGTTGGAGCCACGATTTAGGACTACAAGCTCTGCTGCTCTGGCACTCAGAGAGGGAACAGGTTTTTACCCTGATTGAGGTATCTATGTCTTTACCTGATTCCCCCCCTCTCTCTCTCTCTCAACATTGGATCCTCACTTTGTTTTGGTTAGTAGTTACTGTAAAATCTCATTGTTGAACAATTGTTACAGTGCTATTTGGGTCTTTAGATTGTTGTTTGTCATGAACACAACGAAAAAGAAAAACCAGCAGTGATATGATTATAATGTTGCATACCTTTAAACTTTTATTCTTATTTTTATTTTTGTTTATGTAGTAGTCATCTTCCACTAGTTTATCTTTAATTTCCCTTGGTGCTTGTTATTATTGTTATTTATTATGTTGTTCTTCAACCAGAGTTGAACAACCATGATTCTAAATGGTTGCATCGTATCCCAAGGGCGTGCTCCTGTGAACATTTGGCCATGCAACGCTTCTCAGGTGGCTGCTAAGGTTGCTCTCTCAAACATCCGGAGTTCTTGGGGATGCAGTTTGCAATGTAAATCCTGGTCGCCAAGAGGTACATCTCTTTCACTTCTTTCATCAATTAAAATAGAATAATTATGGTGTAATTTATTGAGCTTATGGCTTATGAGAATGAGACTACTATTAATTTCCCTCCTCTGCAAATTGCAAAAATGTCATTTAAGAACAATAGAGATAAGTAAATCCCCCTTTATGGTGTTTAGTGAAAAATTGCCTAAATGGCCCTGGTGTAATATATTATTAAATGTGATACTTTTAAGTAATATGAATATTATGTTTAGAAATTTGTTAGTCAGGCCTCACTTTAGTCTACCCAATCTTTGCAATAAGTATCTTTGACATTGATAATTTTATTTTCTAATTGTTTATAAACCTTTTTTTTTTATTATTACAGGAATGACATTCTCAAACATGTCCGCTGCATCAAGCCTACTTTTAAGTGGGGGTCAAAATCTTATATTTCGTACAATCCCTGTGTTACCCAGGTTGCGCAGGTCTTATATGGCCCCTCGAGCTTCGAAGGATGTCCCATCCAGCTTCCGTTATCCCCCAATGATGAAAAAACCAAGATGGTGGTGGAGAACGTTAGCATGCATCCCTTACCTCATGCCTCTCCATGAGACATGGATGTATGCTGAGACAGCATATAATCTTCACCCATTTTTCGAAATCTTTGAATTCTATACATACCCTTTTCTTATGGCAATTGGGAGGCTTCCTAGCTGGTTCCTCATGGCATACTTTTTTGTTGCGTATCTTGGAATTGTGAGGAAAAAAGAATGGCCTCATTTCTTCAGGTTTCATGTTGTGATGGGAATGTTATTGGAGATTGCCCTGCAGGTTATAGGGACTGTGAGCCGTTGGATGCCACTATCACTCTACTGGGGTAAACTGGGAATGCATTTCTGGACTGCTGTAGCATTTGGTTATCTTTTTACTGTCTTGGAGTGCATAAGGTGTGCTCTTGTGGGTATGTATGCTGATGTCCCTTTTGTCTGTGACGCAGCATATATCCAAATACCATATGATTAAGGAGGAAGATGTAAGGAAGTTTACCTTTACTTGTCTTTTACTTTTTGTTGTATCAGAGTTTTTGTTGAACAGAACTGAAGAATGAGTAATCTGTTTGAGATTTCCCTTACGTACATTTTGTGTATTTGGATTGAGTTTATCTGTATTCTCAGGGTTCAATCTCTCTGTCTCTCTCTTTGACATTCCCTTCTATCAATTCCTAATATTTTGTTACAAATGCGCATTACCTTTTCATAGTCTTTATGTAGAGATGGAAATATTAAACATATCCATGAACTTGTTTATTCCACAAAATTACTGAGAAATCTGAAATTGATAGGAGGCAAACTAGAGATTATTTACCCTTGGTGTGATTCAGGTATTGATCAGTCTTAGTTACTTTTTGAAGTATCATTTTACTTGCTTATGGTTTATCTTCTTACACTTGCTTTTAGAATAACGGGAAAGTAGTAGGAGTGTTATGAATGGGAAGGGGGGCAATTTATACAGATTTTTGGTTGGGAAATACCAACAGACCTTATTCCTTTCATGCACATCATGTTTTTCGCCAACATATTATATAATGCACTATCAATTTCTTGCTTGGATGGGAGATTGTTTCGATTTATCATTTTGTTCTTTGTGGTCGCAAAAGAGTCTTCCAATTCAATTGGTGAATACATTGAGCTGATACTCTCTGGGTTCCACTTTTTTTTGTTCTCTCTGCCAGGCCCATTTTGAGGTCCAGCTTGTTAAAACAAAAGTTGGACTCCACATTTTCGTTTTTTCTCAATGCAATTGTATCTCTTTTATTTTTTGCTTTTTACACAATAGCGTCTCTTTTCAATTGCGTCATTTAATATGCATTTGTATTTATTTTTTATAATTGGTTTTCACAACTCTTTCATCGTTAGGTTTTATCTTGTACAATAAGCAAAGAGCTATTAAACAACCCGCATATGTCATATATGGCAATTGCCATACAAACATGACAATCAATTCCCCAAGAATAAAACATGCAGGTAAGGGATGTTACACATGATAACTATGATGTTTTTGTAGAAGATCGAGCGTGCATTTAAACGGGGTTGTCAAATAGGGCATAAAATGTGAAATAAGTAAATAAAATTGAACTAAATTTTTTTTGATTTGATTGTAACACGATTAAATTTGGTTTGGAATATTATTTATTTTTAAAAAAATTCAAGTTTACTTTTTGTTATTTTATTACAAATATTTGTTTAATCTAAGTAATAGTAAATTTTTAAGATTTAATGTAAATAAATTCAAGTTTTTTTAATATTAGTTAATTAAAAAATTATTTGAATTTTTTTTAATTTTAATAATATAAATATGGAATAGTAGATTAACTCATATAATAAATAACTTGCATAAGGTCAGGTAGGAATAATTTCTCAACCTGAATTGTATTAAGTCATGCAGGTTGATTCTCATTGCTCATAACTCATAAGAGGCTTCAATAGAATGGGGGGAGATAGATTTGGGACTCTTAAATTTGAGTGACTTGATATTATATTTTATAATTATAGAAAACATTGTACGAAATTAGAATAACACATTAAACAAAGGGAAATAATACTCTCATGCCACATGAGATACTCCCATTTTCCTACACAAATTCGTTTTCCGTGCCAATTAATTTTTCTTTTCTTTTTTAATATAAAATATGGGACCCACATTTAACTTCTCCCTACTTTTTTTCTCTCCTACAATCCTACAACATAAGAAAAGTTAAACCCTTAAACAAATGTATAACATTAGAGATAAAAAATGATAATAAACTCAGAAAATTTAGAAACTGAATTCCAAATTTAATCAAACGATTTAAAATAGTTATCAACTACCACATAATACAAAATAAGATATCTTACATTCAAAGATTAATTTAACTAATTTATTTAACCCTTTTTTTTGGGTAAGTAGGTATTTGGATTTAATTCCAGCTGGAAATTGGGGGAAAGGGATTCGGCTGAAGCTCATGGGCAAGTTATTTAGCTAATTACTACAGAGAATTATGTAATTTAATTAATTTTTAAAAAAAAAAATTATTTTTTTTTTTTTGTGCGCATTACATGAGAATTGAATACACACCACTACACTACAAGCACCTAATATACACCCCACACCACTAGGCTAATCCTAGTGAATTATTATTATTATTATTTTAATTAACAATGTATAATGCGAGGCCTAAGGAAGCCACCGTGGCAAGCACGTCAGTGCAACCCTTAATCCGCATAGGACGCAACAGTGATCAAAATAGTATTGTTCATCAAGATTTTTATTCAAATGTCACGTAAATAGTATTATTTCTCAATATATCATGTGAGCAAATTTGTTCGGCACTGTAGCGAACTCAGTTTGTTAACGTGTCACTTTTTTGTGAATACCAAATTCACTGCCTTACTTAACGAACTTGGTTGCAAGTTCAAATGGAGATTAAAAATTGAGAACAAACACAAATAGCAAAGGGAAAAATATTTATCTTTTTAAATGACACAATTTATATCATTTCACTCTCACAAAGAGGTGAGACTCACATCCTTATATTTTTTTTATTCACTCTCTCTTCCTTTACCTATCTCTTTCTCTCATTTAAAATAACATAATTTTACATTCTTTAAAATGATACACATTTTTTCCAATAGCAAATTGCAACCAAGTTTACTATCTTAGTAGCAAATTTGGTGTTAACCAGAAGAAATGTGACAAATCAATAAACTGAGTTCGTTACACTGTTCAATAAATTTGCCCATATGACATATTAGAAAATAACACTCTTATTTACGTGACATTTACATAAAAAAACTTGGTGAAGAGTGAGTACACTGTCCCTCTTTCTTAGTGGCATTCTCGTAAATCCGTGCCTTAACTGCAAAGCACCCTCTCTTTCTTCCCTCATCCAGCGTCAGATTTCACTCTGCTCTTCTAACCTCGTCGCATTCCCTCTCTCTCTCTCTCTCTCTTTGAGCTCTTCTTTTGGGCTCTTCGAATTCGGCTCCTGATCTCCAACGAGTTCTCTCGATCAAAGCTAGTTAGTTCCTTCAATCTGCGGAAATGGTGAGCTTTCTCTTCGATCTCTTCTTCCGCAAACGCTTCACCGTTGTTCACAACCTTAGATCTGGAGCGAACTCGCTTCGATTTGATGTTTTCTCATTAAGCTATCTACTATTCGAATTTCAATCCCTTGTGTATATGTAACTTGAAATGCGAGCCTCCTAATTTTGCTTTGTTAGTTCACGCGATTTTCAGTTCCTATGGGATCTATTGTGGAATTGTGCATTGACTCGTTTTTGTTTGTTTCTTTATTTGTTGCTTGCCTTTGCAGCCTCTCAGACTCGAAATCAAGGTACTGTTGTTTTGCCTTTTGATTCGTGGTTTATTTGTGTTTGGTTGCTGAGAAATGTTTGATTAGCTTGTCAGCGAGTATTTCTGTGAATTAGATTTCTCAGCTACCATGCGCAGTGCAGGTGTTTAGCTTTCTGACATCTTAAACTGACGTGTGTTGTTGTAAATATTTGATCAGCGAAAGCTTGCGCAAAGATCAGAAAGAGTAAAATCCGTGGATCTACATCCAACAGAACCATGGTAGTGCCTTGTCCTTGGCTATGTTGTGTGATTTTGTCTCTGGAACTATTTTATGATGTGAAGCTAATTTCAAAACCGGCTTTCTAATTTGTTGCTCATTACGAGTATCTGCAATTGATTCCATCATTTGGTATCTCTCAAGCGTGGCATCTATAAATATAGTTTGTGAGCGTTTTGTTAGTAGTGGTTGTGTTTGTTATGTGGGAATACTGTTGACTTTATTTTTATGATGGTGAATAGTTGATACATAGATGTTTTGCTTAATTGTGTGATGTGTTGTCATCATTAACGCAGGATTCTAGCCAGTTTGTACTCTGGAACTGTCTGTATCTGGAACTACCAATCTCAGGTATGTCAATTTTTATAATTGAGATGCTGTATATTATTATAAGTGACCAAATTGAGAAACGTAATGGTGGATTCCTATCTGTTGGCACTTGAGTCAGACACGGGTGTTTGTTGATTGATCTCCAAACAAAATACCTTTTGCATGGTGCCTATATATAATGAGCTGCTGATTCACGAATGAAGGGGGCAATAACCTTTTTATTATGGCTTCCTTCAAATTTAAAGCAGCCACATATTCTCTTTCTTTTATTAAAAATTTTTTAGTGTATACCTTACATATATTACTCGAAATCATTGTTCAAAATGTTGGTGTTCCACTAAAATCTTATGATTTATATAGCTTTACATATATCTCAAGCTAGGAGATATATTTAGCTTTTTCTTCATTATAAATTTTTTCCCCCTTCGTTGTAAAGAAATATTGGTCCTCTAAATTGTGATGATATGTGGAATTACTTTCAATGAATGAGGTTAGGAATGTTTGATCGAGCGCTTACCACCAGGCCAAAAGTTATTGTTGTTAGTCAGGGCGTAGTTCTTTCTATTTACTCTTAGCAGCCCAAGCGTCATGGTTCGATCTGACTCCAACCCACATCGGGCCTTACCAAATCAGGATGTTGGCCTCACCAACAATCCCCACGCCCCAACACCTGTCTTCTGCAAAGTGTCATTCTGAGGAATCTAATCAATGACCTCGGTTCTTATGCAATTGTTGGATCAAGCGCTTACCACTAAACCTAAAGCTATAGCTGCTAGTCAGGATGTAGTTCTTTCTACTTACCCTTACCAGCTCAAGCGCCATAAATCAATCTGATTTCGACCTACACCGGGTCTTGGCAAAACAGGATGTTGGCTTCGCTAACGAGGAAGACTTTGGCTCAATACATGCAGTAAGTTTTGAACAGGATCAGCAGACAAATTTCTAGTAACTGTATAGTCAGCCTATATGCATGCCATTTTAAAGGAAACCAAAAGTGAATAGAAGGCTCTTTTAGCAATCTTTTATATTGAAGACGGGTTGGAAATTACTGTAGCATTTGTACTTCGAAGTAGATTGAGACTGGGTAATTGTGTTAAATTATACTGGGAAAGCGTGATTAATAAATGCCCAATAGCATTAACACAAGCGACACCAAGTTCCTTTGTGACATGTTTGATCCTAGGATCAAATCTCAACCTCGCCGATTTACCAATTATTTAGTCGCTGCAAAATGACAAATACCTACTCAAAATGTTGAAGAAAGATTAGTAGCCACTCCTCTTTGACAGAAATTGATAGACTTAATATTTGGGCAGAGTATTTTAGATGAAATTCCATCCTTTTGAATATTCTGGATGTCCTCACGCTTGTTAGTTTGAGACACATTTTCATAGTTTGATGAAGTGTGTGCATTTGTAGATTTAGTATCAGCATTGGCTGTGGGATTTCCCCCCTTCTTGTGTACTCAAAAGAATATGTGCTTTCTTCTTGTATTTTTCTGGTTCTTGTGCATTCTGCCTGTGGTATTTTGCTGGTTCTATTAATATGGAGTGAGTCATGTTCTTCTTGCTTTTTCTAGCTTCATGGTCTCTATGTATATCCTAAACTAGTTGGGATTGGTGGTCAATGAACCCAAATGAAAAATGATTGAGGGAAAAGAAAGGGAAAAATAAATAAATAAATAAAAATTCAAAATTCAAAAATTAAAAACTAGAAATAAAAAAAAGGAGAACACAAAAAAATAAAAAAAACATGAAGTGAAAATAAATATATATAAGAGAGAAAAATGAAGAAAAGGAAAAATTAAATAGTAAAAATAAAAATTGATAAATAAAAGGGAAAATTAAATTAGATAGCAAAATAATTAAGTAAATAAAAAAAGAAGATGAAAAATATAGGGAAAAAGAACAAGACAAGGATTGTCTGGAATATAGGAAGAAAAACGAGACTATCCCTCAACAGTCCTAATAGTTTTTTCCCAATCCGTCCTAAGAACACCATTTGTCAATTTAATTCTCACTTCATTAAGTCTTGTTTTACTACATTCTTCCAAGTAAGTTTCAGCCGACCATATCCTCTTTTGGTGTCAATCTCTTGGTAACAAATTTCTATTCTCACGGGAGCATCTAGGGATCTTCGCATTATATGCCTAAATTATCTCAATCTATGTTCTCTCATCTTTTCAGCCACGGTACTACTCCTCTCTCATCTTAACTTTTTAACCACCGTCTCAATATAAATAGTTGTTTTCTTTTACATATAGACTGTGATGCATTCTATATAGATTGGAATTAAAAGACGACAGCCTCTAACTCTCTTGTTTCTATATTTAAAATTTCACTAACTTTTCTTCAAATGGATATTCATTATTTGTTTCTATGAGATTTGCTTGTTCAATTAACTTTAATATCGTTAATTCTATTTCAGACCATGGCCAAGTCTTTTGAGGTTACTGAGTTACCAGGTACATGAACTTTTATCTGTCTGCTTGTTTCATTGTTTATCTGTCTCTTATTCATTTACATGAAGTGATTTTCTTTCTTTGCATACTTCATGGGTCTCATATAAACAGCATGATTTTGCAGTTAGGTCAGCCAAGTTTATTGCACGCAAACAGTGGGTTGTTGCTGGAGCGGATGATATGTTTATTCGTGTATATAATTACAACACAATGGATAAAGTTAAAGTATTTGAGGCACATACAGATTACATTAGGTGTGTGGCAGTTCATCCTACACTTCCTTATGTGCTGTCATCATCTGATGATATGCTGATAAAGCTATGGGATTGGGAAAAGGGCTGGGTCTGTACCCAGATATTTGAGGGACATTCTCATTATGTCATGCAAGTGACATTTAATCCTAAAGACACAAACACCTTTGCCAGTGCATCTCTTGATCGCACCATAAAGGTATATATGTCTTCTTTTGCCAGTTATTTCCTGCTTTTTCTTTGCTTATTTCTATGTACCTATGATATAATGTAATGCACTAATGCTGTTTTCTTCCCTTGCAGATTTGGAATCTTGGCTCTCCTGACCCCAATTTTACATTGGATGCCCACCAGAAAGGAGTGAATTGTGTTGATTACTTTACAGGTGGTGACAAACCTTATCTAATTACTGGTTCTGATGATTACACTGCCAAGGTATGCTTTCTATTTTTTGTATTCTTAATTCTTCATCTTCCCTTTAATTTGTTTGCCTATATGTATATATGGATAGGAATTATCATACCAATAAATACTATGAAACAGGTATGGGATTATCAGACTAAAAGTTGTGTCCAGACTCTAGAAGGTCACACACACAATGTATCTGCTGTATGCTTTCATCCTGAACTTCCTATAATCATTACTGGCTCTGAGGATGGTACAGTGCGCATTTGGCATTCAACAACTTATAGGTAATTTGATTCTGTTCACATAAATCGGAATACTGAGTTGTGAGATTTATCTTTTTCTTATTCTTGGCTCATTATTCTTGCTTTTTTGTTCTGTTGGCATCACGCTCTTGTAGGAACTTGTATAATTTGACTTTGTTTGATTTTCTTAGAGGATGAGACCTTACACGAGTGTTTCTTTATGTTTTTCAAAAATTATGATGCTGTACATTTGTTGATTATTCACCTGTCCTTTGATGACTATGATGTCTAAATTTGATGTTCACCTGAGAATTGAGATGGGGCAGAAACTGTGACTAGTGGACTGGATAGTGTTGTCTAATTCTTCTATTTATATATATATATATATATATATATATATATTTATGTTACACTTTTCTAAGATTTTACTAAAATCAGTTTGAAGTATATATGAGTTATGGATATTTTCTGGTCATTTTAAAATTTTATGGTTGTTTAATCGGCTTGCAGGCTTGAGAACACATTGAACTATGGTCTTGAAAGAGTTTGGGCTGTTGGATACCTGAAGGGTTCACGTCGGTGAGTATTTGTTTTTGGATTAAATCTTTGCAAGTAATTCTGAGTCTAATCTTACTTGTAAATAGCCCCGCTTTAGCACGCTATAGCGGAGTTGCGTTGCGGTGCAGCAGCCGACCGCCACAGACCGCGCCGCTACGGTCAGGTGAAGTGTAGCGGATGTAGCAGCCGCTATTGCGGTTGAATCGCGGCACTATTGCGCCGCTACAGTAGTTTCTACAAAAGTGTTCTGGTTGTAGAAGGAAGAGATTTACAACTTAGATACAAGTTAAAGTGAAGATGAAGATTTGGATGTTCATGATTTTAATTATGATTAGTTCCTTAATTCTTTGATTTTGACAATTCACTTAAGTGGCGGTTTGAATTTTGACTAATTTTGCTACTTTATTTTGTTGTGTTACATTATTTGAGACATTAATTCCTTTAATTTTCTTATGATTTGAATTTTAATATTTGAAATCAATTATTTTTGAGTTTGAGATCCTTCAAATTTATTTTTTATGTCACATTTTCATATTTTAAGTTTTATGTTTGTGGAGTACAATTTAGTGTATCACTTAGGTACACTTTGCACAGTAGCGTCGTAGCGCTACCCGCTATAGCAATATGGAGGGTCAGCCGCTACGCGCTGCTATCCGAGATTAATAAGTATGAGTCTAATACGTCTTAGGTCCTTGACTCTTGTTGAGTGGGACAATAGTGTCAGGTCTTGCCTTAATGATGAAGTATTCTTATCTGATTAGATTACTGATTAGAAAACTCTTTATTTTCTCCTTATGTATCATTGATCTTGTTTGCTTTAATCTCTCATAGATGCGGAATCTCCTTTACTTTTTTCTTTTCTTGAAATATCAGTGTCTCTCTTTTCGATCCTCCTTCATGGACTAAATTAACATCTTTCTTCTCAGGGTTGTGATTGGCTATGATGAAGGTACTATTATGGTCAAACTTGGTCGAGAAGAACCAGTAGCCAGCATGGACAACAGTGGGAAAATCATTTGGGCTAAGCATAATGAAATTCAGACTGCCAATATAAGGAGTGTAGGAGCAGATATGGAAGTATGGGCTCACTTTACCCTTTTTTGCTGTATAATATGCGAGCAAGAACTGAAAACTTGTTTTCCTTTAGTGACACAAGTACTTTTTTTTTTTAGATTGCTGATGGAGAAAGGTTACCATTGGGTGTTAAGGAGTTGGGTACCTGTGATCTCTACCCACAAGTGAGTCAGCATCCTTCTTAATATCATGTTGCATTCTTTTGCATTACTTCCCTATTTTATGCTCATATTACGCAACCCTAGATGGATTTTATTAAACATTATGTTTGCATTATTTATCAAATCATATTCATCCTCTGACTTCTTTATTGTTGTGGTTTGTGCTACATATTTACATTTTTGTTGAAAGTATTTGTATTGTATGCTAAAAACTTGTTATTGTTTTATAGGATTGAATTGGTCATCCCCATGGCCATTCTCCTCTAGATCTTGTGCATGTAATTTGGATATAGAAGAGTATTTGTTTTAATAAAAATAGGTTTGGTAACGTTAGACATTGAATTCACAAGTAAATGACAAGAGCTATTAGTATTTAGGAACTATTCTTTTGTAGTCTTCAATCCATATTCAAAGAAATGAGCTTTAAAACAATAATCTGTCCTTTGGGTTCAATTATCAACACTAGTGATTTGTTTATTCATGTATGTCGACTGGTGACTGACTTGTGATTTGCCTTTTTTATATTCAGAGTTTAAGGCACAATCCAAATGGGAGGTTTGTTGTTGTTTGTGGAGATGGTGAGTATATTATATACACTGCTTTGGCATGGAGAAATAGATCATTTGGTTCAGCACTGGAATTCGTTTGGTCTTCGGATGGAGAGTATGCTGTGAGAGAAAGTACATCGAAGATTAAAATTTTCAGCAAAACCTTCCAGGTTTGTACTTCATTTTGAATTACTTATTTTATACTTTGTCTGAAGATGAAAGTGATGGTGACAACCAACAAATTCTTAATATTTCTTTAAAGGGCGAGCAAACTGGGCTAAAGTGCCATTACTTTACTGTTTATGACAAGGAACATGTAATAAAAACTATGTTGGCAATTAATTTTCCTCTAGAAAATTTTGTCTGACAAGCAACTGGGGAATGTGTTTCCTATGCCTGCCAATTATAAGACATTTTTTTTTTTAATATTGCTTGACTTGGTTATCAAAAGCAAAATTCTCTCATTGTTTTAGCTGTCTGCTAAATGAAATAAGTTTTCTCTAGGGAATTTTTATTGGAGTCTGAATTTTGTGTATTTCAGGAAAAAAAGAGTATAAGACCGACTTTTTCAGCTGAACGAATATTTGGTGGTACCGTATTGGCAATATGCTCAAATGATTTTATCTGCTTTTATGATTGGGCTGAATGCAGGTTGATTCGTCGCATTGATGTTAATGTGAAAGTAAGTGCTTTCATGAAGTGATATCTAGTTTTCTGCATTTTTTCCTTCCTATTCCTTGTTAATTTTGTTATTTTTCTGTGTCAGAACCTCTACTGGGCTGATAGTGGTGATCTAGTGGCGATTGCAAGTGATACATCATTCTACATCCTGAAGTACAATGTGAGGATTAGGATTAACTTGATCATTTTCTTACAGTTATTGACTTGCTCTGAAGTGCATTATTTTCCCCCCAAGATTTTGGTTAAATGAATATTTGGTGGTTTACTGGTGAAGCTCTGCAAATGTTTTAACTTCCACCACTGTTGCAGCGTGATGTTGTTGCATCATATTTAGATAGTGGACGACCTGGAGATGAGCAAGGTGTTGAAGATGCCTTTGAGCTCCTGCACGAAATGAGTGAACGTGTCAGGACTGGGGTTTGGGTTGGGGATTGTTTTATCTACAACAATTCCTCTTGGAGGCTTAATTACTGTGTTGGTGGTGAGGTATTAACTCTTTTCCCTTTTAGGTTCAAAAGAACTGCATATTTATTTATTGAACTCTTTGTAATCATCTTCTCTCTGTCTTCATGAATTTCTTCTTTTGTTGAAAAATATTTATTGAACTACAAGGATCATAAGAAGTCTCTTGATGCATAACATTATGAATTTAGGTAACTACAATGTTTCATTTGGACCGTCCGATGTACTTGTTGGGATATCTTGCCAGCCAAAGTAGGGTCTATTTGATAGACAAAGAGTTCAAGTAAGTCGACTATTAGTTTGCGTTGTTCAAAATCTCTCAATGCAGTTATCTTAATTTTTTTTCTTTTTCTTGATTGTTTTTCTCAGTGTTATGGGATACACGCTGCTTTTAAGCTTGATCGAGTACAAGACTCTTGTGATGCGTGGTGATTTGGAGAGGGCCAATGAAGTTCTACCATCAATTCCTAAAGAGCATCATAACAGGTAGACTTTTGTTTACTTTGTATCAGAATGATTTTTCATTTCATTATTTAGAAATTATCATGCACAACATGCCCTTGTCTGATCCCTTGAGTAAAAATGCCAACCTACTGAGAAATGAAAGTGGATCTTTTGTGGCTGACCAGAGAATCTTTTGACCCTCTTAAGTTGTTTGTTTGCTTATTAATGGCATTTTGCTTCTTGCTCATTTTGATATGTTATTTTGGAATCTATCCAGTCTTCTTGCTTGTTCATTCTTTATCATTGCTTGGCATGGTTTAATGATATTAAGATATAACTTGTATTAGTATATAGTACATGTTCATTTGCCTGCCTCCTTGATTTAGAATTGTTTTCTGTCAGCATATGTTGTTTACTGGTGTTTGGATGTCATATGCATCCTAATTGCAACTATGCACTTGTTTTTATGGTAGTGTGGCTCGATTCCTGGAATCAAGAGGGATGATAGAGGATGCTCTTGAAGTTGCTACTGATCCTGATTACAGGTTCGATCTAGCCATACAACTTGGAAGATTAGAGGTTGCAAAGGTAAGTTCGTAAGTTCCAGCAAGGAGATATCACTTGACATATAAAATTTCATAACTTGGGTTTCTAATTTTCTTAATTTCTCGTTTGAATAAGTTTAATTTTTCAGTTTTTATCGTGAGTAATATTCATTCTCTCTTTCTGCAGGATATTGCCACAGAAGTGCAGAGTGAGTCTAAATGGAAGCAGTTGGGAGAATTAGCTATGTCTACTGGAAAGGTGTTTTTATCCTTTAAATGATTCTCCATTTTTTGTTATTTCTGTAAACAATAGGCTGTATTACATTCGGAAGTATCCATGTCCAAATCATGATGTGCTGCTGAATATGACCATGCATAAGAGAATTAAGAGGTTTTAATTACTGCCAAACTAAGATAGTTTTGTTAAATATTTGTTCTGTTTAGAAGTTGTGTTCAGATGCTTTGGGCTATGTTTGGATGGATGGAGTGGAGTGGTGTGGTAAAAGGGACAAAACATTGTTCGGGAGATTTTCAAGTAATAGCATGGAATGGTTAAGGAGGGAACCTAAGCCACCCCTTACCACTCAAAATCATAAATTTTCATAACCTCCGATCTGGGGGTTTGGAATGGAATACTAATCTCTTTTATTTTTAAATGGTCATTGACAATACCCTCGGTATTCTTTTGTTGCAACCATTTGATTAAAAAGATAGGATTGGAAGATAAATTTGTAATATGCGCCACTCCATTAGTCACCATTGTTACTTCCAAACAATAACAATGGTGAGGAGCTGCCTTACATTGCTTCATTAAAACTTCCAAACAGTAGAGTAGTATTCTTTTACCTTTCTACTCAATTCCATTCCAAACCTGTCCATTATGAATCACTGCACTTCATCCCCATCGAAACTCCCTAGCATATTTTTTAGTTCTAGATGCTGATTCTAGTGCATGATTAGGATGTTGAATATTTATTTTATTCTTTTCACGATCAGCAATGATTCTGGTGGCTGTTGATTGTTGATGGGTATTATTGTTCCAGTGCAGCTCACTGTATTATCTATTCTTGCAGTTAGAAATGGCTGAGGACTGTTTGAAACATGCAATGGATTTGAGTGGATTGTTGCTGCTATATTCTTCTTTAGGAGATGCTGAAGGAATATCAAAACTTGCAAATCTTGCTAAAGAGCAAGGAAAGAACAATGTCGCATTCCTTTGCTTATTTATGTTGGGTAAACTTGAAGACTGCCTTCAACTGTTGGTAGAAAGGTAATCTTCTACAGTTGTACTCTTTTCATTTATGATATTACTGGCACAAAGTGGGGGGAGATGTAACTGAGTTATGCTTTTGGCAGCAATCGGATTCCAGAGGCTGCTTTAATGGCTCGATCTTATCTCCCAAGCAAGGTCTCAGAGATAGTGGCGATTTGGAGAAAAGATCTCAGTAAGGTAATTTCTTATTCAGCTATATATTATTATATTATTTAATTATGATGGAACTGCCTGACATTTATGTTGTCCACATGATGTCATGGGTAGGAACTTCTCATTCCATTCCCTTGTCCTGGGATTCTCATCATGTTTACAGATGACATGTGGATTAAAATTTAAATTCTTATATTTATTTGTTAATATGCACAGGTTAATCCAAAAGCTGCTGAATCATTGGCTGATCCCGAGGAGTATCCTAATTTATTTGAAGATTGGCAAGTTGCACTTGCTGTTGAATCTAAGGCTGCAGAAACAAGGTCAGTGGGGAAATGCATACTCTCTCACATGTATCTTGAAACTTTATTGTGTATTAGTGTTTTTGTAGTGAACATCTCCAATAAATGTTTTTTAATAACTTTTTATTTTATTTTATTTTAGGGGTGTTTACCCTCCTGCGGAGGAGTATGTCAACCATGCTGATAAATCACACGTCACCCTTGTTGAAGCTTTCAGAAACATGCAGATCGAAGAAGGAGAACAGCCTCTTGAGAATGGAGACTCTAATCATGAGGTGTACTAAATATAGGGCTAACACCAAACAGAAGTTATCAACGTTAAACAGTGTTGTGTTTTTTGGCTGCTACATAAACAATAATCCAATAATCCATTACCCCAGTTATTGTTAGTGGTGATGTTAGACTGTTGCTTTATGTTGTTTTTATGTCCTTTTGTCACAGTTGACCGAACAAAATGGAGAAGAGGACTATACTGAGCAACACGAGGAACAGAATGGAGAAGAAGGAAGCCAAGAGGAGGCAGTTGTAGTGGATGCCGATTCTTCAGATGGTGCAGTCCTCGTTAATGGTAGCGAGGCTGACGAAGAGTATGGTACGAATAATGAAGGAGCCCCGTCAGCCTAAAAGCAATTGGTTGGGGCGGTGTGAAAATCGAAATTTTGTCTCTGGTGATTAATTGTTTCTGAAGTGCCATTTCTAACTCGCTTTTTGACACCTAGCTGTTTTGACCATAACTACTACTACCACCTGAGTCCTACCAATTCTAGTTTTATTTTTTAGTGTATCATATACTTTACTACAACTAGGCTGTATATTTGGGATTTAGATAGGAAATTATAAAATACGTCCGTTGTTAGTAGTAAATCATTGACCAAATCTCACAATTCTCATGACCTATTTTCCATAATTTTGTACGGCGATTTGGCTTGGGATTTTTTTAACATTTTACTGCTTGAGCAATCTTGTGGGTATAATTAATGCTAAATGTTTCCGGTATACTCTTTCTGTTGGGTAAATGATGTTAAGATCACAATGAATTATGGGTTATATCTTATTTTCGATCTCGTTAAAGCTTCCGGAGTGGCTACTGATCTTTTTTTTATTGCATGCTAGCGGTCTTAAAATTAAAATGTGGTAATACCTGGCTTTTTGTACTCATCCTCGATAAACCTTTGTTGTATTTTTTATATAATTTATTGCTACTTTGCAAACTTCTATCACGTAATTGTCTAGTTTTGCCATATTATTTACCTCAATTATGAATATATCGTCCATAATCTATTTTCCATTTAAAATTTAGTCTGATTAGTTGGTTCTTCGTCCTCACTTAAATATTGTACTTTGTTGACAGTGCTTGCACCACATACCTAGGTCCCACCATGACAGTCGGTTCCAGCTCCTGGGATATTTATCTGAGGTCAGGATAGAACTAATGTCTTGCAATGGGTTTACCATACTGCCCTTGCATTTGTTTTGAATATGAAAATCAGTTGCTGACTGTTTTTTTTTGTTTTTATATTTATAAACTTTTTGTTTACAAACTTTTACGAATTACATTATGTTTGACCGTCTTGATTGAAGTCTAACCAATCATACTTAGTATAGTTTGTAAATTTGTAAGAATTTTTTTTTGTAAATATAACTCTCCTTTTTTTACTAATATAAAAGCATCATTAATATGTTTTCCTCTAGCAAAAGGAAGTCCTAACATGTAATCAAATAACTTTTTGCGGTTGCTAATGTAAGCACATGATTTTTTTTTGGTAGAAAGTAAATGATTGCATTACGATGAGGAGATGGACATTTATTTGGTTTGATAAACCACTTCTCTCCTGCATTTTATTTGGTTGCTTGCCCGGATAAATAGTGTTGTTTATAAAAGACCGGGTCGCTGATTTTGTGTAATCTGCATATATCTGCATTGCACAATTTTGGATGTATAAGCGTGACATTTTTTCAGGTGATATCATTTTTTTTAATGTAAAATGCAGGTTTCCTCAAGGGAAAATGAGAAGCGGTTCTATGGATCGGTTGTTTCTATGCCCTGGTTTTGTGGTCTTGTCGTTTGCTGCTGCTGAATTTTGTGATTTTGCACGTGGTATAACAATATTCTTTATGGTCAATTAGTTACAATTTACTTGAGTCTATAGTTCTTTTTTTTAGGCTCTTATGGTAGAAGAGTTGAACTATAGATGAATGCCCGTTCAAATTTTATAGAGTATTTTTTTGTCTTTATCTTTTTTTTCCCTCTTTTAAATCCTATATATTTCCTTGGATTGTAAACATGGATGATTAACAGAGAAAATAATGATTCTTCCCCCTTTTTTAAAGGCCTTAAGAGCAAAGAAGCTACAAAGTAATCAATTTAGGATTTTAGACTCACATTACAAGATAAGCAACGCACGAATAAGAGTGCATCTGCGGCTGGCTAGGAAGTTCGCGCGCTTATTCGCCTCACGTTAAATTCTTCCCCAATATTGCTTCTGTTTACAAAGGGTTTTATAATAATAATAATAATAATAAAGTAGTCTAATTTTTTTCTTGTTAGATGTGATAATGCTTTTTAAGTGGAAAGTATGAGTGTGAAAGTCTTATATTTTTAAGTGTAATAATTTTTTTCTTGTTAAACTTTTTCTGTTAAATCATTTTAACACTTGTCTGGTGTAGGTGATTGGTTTCGGCAAAGTATCCACAAAACAAAGTGGGTACATTAAGCAAAAACTAAATCAATGTGAGTAAGAATTAAAATGCTTAAACTTTATGCCATATCCATTGAATAATATCAAATGTCAGTTTAAAATGAATGTTCGTTATATACTATTATCCAGAACTAAGGAAAAAAGAATTGGTTGGTTCTCGGACCGTTTAGAACAAAGTAGTTCGAGATTTGAATTGATTCTATATAAAATGGTTTGATTCTTAAAATGGTTTGAAAGAAATATGATTATTTTGATACCGTTTGATTCGGTTTACGATCCGATTCTCTTACTTTTCTTGGGTTTGATGTTGTGAGTGATAAAGAAAAATGAGAGAGAAGAGAAGAGAAGAGAAGAGCAAGAACTTTCTTTCCCAATTTTTATAAAAATTGCTCTTGCAAGTCTAATAACATAAATAAAGTGCTAAGAATATGAAAATTGATTGTGGGTTTGTAACTTAAATAAATATAATTTAATTTCCGAAATTCTTTCTCTTTATAATTTTTGAAAAATTCTTATTGGGCACAGTCTACATATTTTAATGGAAATTATTTTTTTATGTTGCCGGAAAAGAAAAATTTTCCTGCAAAAAATTAAATAAATATGTACTACGGGTAGTATATAGTTACAATATTAAAGTTATTTTTTTCTCTCCTCAGACTTTATCGGTTGACGTAACGGAGAGAAAAAATAATAATTTTATCATTATAACCATGTACTACCCATAATATATAATTATAATGAGTTGTTGTATATAACTTTTTTGCAGCAACATAAGAAAAATGGAGTTCATATTTTAATAGAGATATAATTATATCATATTGGTGGTATAAGTTACAAATCTCATTTTCATCTAACGGCTGACGTGACTAATAAATAATAATTGTTAAATGTAAATATGATCAACCGTTAATATTCAATATGATATTTATTATTTTTACACGGATATAAATTAAGTTTTTGTTAAATCAATTTTTTGCTTGAGCTTTTTTAAAATTACTCGTGCATGTCTTATAACATACTTAAATGCAAAGAATGTGAAAATTATTTGTGTGTTTATAAGTTAAATAAATATATTTTAATTCACTAAATCCTTACTCTTTATAACTTTTGAAAAAAAAAATATCAGGCTGAATCAATATAATTTTAATTAGTTATTATTACTATTTTATTATTCTTTATATTGATTTTAATTATTGAAATCTGGAGTGTCAAATTACATTAACTTGTTATTAAATTTAAGGATCTTATGATCACGTAAAAATTAGTAGTTGAAATTTAAGATATATAAAAAAGGATAGGTTATTCTACTTATCTATTTGTTTATCACTTTAAAAGATCACTAGATTAAAATCTTAATTAACATTTATCTTTCTTTCTCCTCTTTAGATTATGATCTAATGGTATTGGAGAATAGTAGGTAAAGATAGGCAGAAAAAAAGATAGGTAAAATCATCTATCACTATAAAAGAGTTCAATGAAAGAGTTTTTCTGACAATCTCACCTAAAACTATGGGGTTTGTTTTTCTCATGTTACATGAGAAAACAAATCCTTCCTAGCCACGTCATAAAAAGTGTGCCACTCTTTTTTTTTAAAAAAAAAAATAGGTGGATCTTACACTTAATGTATCTATGACATGATATTAGGATTTTTCCACAACATAAGATTTATTTTTCCCTAAAACTATATATGTCCACAAAGTCATTAGAATTGGTCTAGTGTTGAGGGATTTAGATAAGTTGTATTATGTTATATGTTCAATTTTCACTTGTATCCAATATATATATATATATATATATATATATATATATATATATATATATATATATATTATTGGGTTTACATTTCTGCAGCAGCTGTATGTGCAGCAATCAAATACTTGTCGTATATATACTTGAAAACATTAAATGCAGGGAATTATAAACATACACATGTCATTGTTGTACGTACAGCGGCTACAAAAATGATTTTACATATATATATATGGAAAAATATTTGTCATTTTAAGAGAGAGATCGACACATAATAATTTTTTTATTTAAAATTTAAATTTTAAAAAAAAAAACCAATCATTATCTCTCTCATGACTTTCATTCCTTGTGTCTATCTCACTCCTAAAATGACGTGTCATTTAAAATGACAATATATATATAGGAAATAATTTTCTTATGTTGTAGGAAAATAGTCATCTTATGTTATAGAAACAAGATTGCAAGTGGAATTCATAAGTAAGAGGAGAGAGAAAAAAAAATGAGACTCACTCATTTTTTGTGTATAAAAAATTTAGTTATTTCATGCAAAATAGATAAATATAACGCATGTGTATATCCCATAATTAATAAGAGATGAAAAAGAGAAAATTAATAAGACTCACATATCTTTTATACAAGAGACCTCCAAAAAAAAAAAAAAGAGTAGCAAAAAAATATTTTTCCCTATATAAAAGGGATACAATTTGCCTGTATTATTTTTAGTTTTTTACACCCTCCGTTCTCTTTGTTCATCGTGTTAGGGTTTGCACCACCTTTTCTTCTCACTCACTACAAAATTTCCGTTTTTCCGATCAACAGAATATTGCAAATTCTTCTGTGCTTTCATTTCGGTAACTTGCGATATCAGATAACGAAGTTTTGTTCCTTTGTTTCCCTGTAAGTTCCTTTTTTAATCAAACTAATCATTCCATTTTTGTATTTACTATTTGATTTGTTCGTGCTGAGATTTGAGATAATTTTAGGGTTGCAATCTCTCATATAGCGAGTTGTTGCCTCTATTATGATATTTGATACAAACTCAACTTGGTTCTGAATAACACACTGGCTATTTTATTGCTTCGCAATAATGATACAATTTTCATCAACTCATGCATCTCGTTGCTTGAATAGGTAGTTTATGAGTGATTTCGCTCTTAGAATGCTTTAGATTCGCACATCCTTTATATCATGTTGATTGTTGATTTCAACTGAATCTCTTTGAGCCATTTTTGTTTTCTTTAACCTTTTTAATTTGTGGCATTTTGTAGTATGTGTTACTAATTTATGTGCTTCTATAGACAGTATAGAATGTGTGGAATGCTTAAATAACTATACATTTGTAGGATAAATCTAAATACCAGCATAATTCTATATTGAAACTAAGGGTTTGATTCAGCTCCAAAAATATGTTTGATTTTTACCTGAATCTATGGAGTCATCATGCCTTTCCCGAAATAACTGTCTAACTTTTGGTAGATGTGATGGGACCAAAGTGTTGTAAGCTACATTTGAGGTTTGAAGGTGTATATTCCTCTAGGTTCTGGTGTTTACTAGGCTTTCCACAGTCTTCTCTCTCTCTCTGTTTATGAGTATACTCTCAAATTTTAATTTGGGTCATATTATTGCTTAGGCACTGGACACATTAATCCCTCCGAAGGACTAACATGGCCGACATTTGTGGTTATGAGGGATTAGGGTGAGATTTTTGCATTCATAGAGACTAATGTGTCCAACCACCAAATTTCTCAGACGAATTCAGGAGTTAACTCTTTTTATTTAAAAGGCTGCTTTATGAATTTCGTATTAATTGGATTTCTGGTCTTGCCTGTGTGTGTTTGATGGTATATATGTGTTATTTTCCCAGTATGTGGTATTTCTTAACTTATGTTTTGACTTCTTAGGTTTTTTCGCTTGTGTGTGTGAATTTCTAATATATATACTATCATGGATATCACCATATAGCTTGGGTTACTCTTATTAATTTGAATTTCATACTCAAGTGAGAATTGTACTTTCCTAATCGCAGTTCTTGTTGTACTGAAACTTGGGGAAAGAGAAGTTCTTAAGTTGTAGTTGATACATTGGATCTTTCTTCAATGGGGGATGCTGAGAATGCCCTTCCACCATCAAAGAAAAGGGCTCCTGGAAGGGAGCTCACTCGAGATACTCCTCTTGATGACGAGGAAGATACCCCTGAGCTTGATGTTGGAACTTTCAAGAGGGCCAGTGATGAGGTTCTGTCAACAAGAAGAATGGTCAAAGTTCGTCGCCAACAGACTAATTCTTCTACTTCTTCAAACCCATTTGCTGGAATACGCTTGGTTGCTCCTACTGAATCCAGTGCTAATCCTGGTGAAGCAACTACTAAAACACAATCAGCTGGTGAGAACACTACTGCGGATGATTCAAAAGGTGGTGATGGTATAACCAAAGACTCTGAAAAAGCTAAAGATGAAGAAAGTAAGCAATTAGAGAGCAAAACTCATGAGGTGGAGGATAAGTCTGCTGCAAATAAGGATGCTGCAGAAGAAAACAATGCAGAGAAGGAGACTAACGGTGACAAATCTGAGGTAGATAATGAGAAACATAAGGATGGAAGTAAAAGTGAAAATGAGGATAAGAAGGATGCTGGTGATAAGGAGAGTGCCAATGAGGTTTATAAAGAACAATCTAAGGATGACAATAATACCGAGAACGATGATAAGAAAGAAAACAGTGACAACAAGGATAAGAAACTTGAAAGTGAAGAGCCCAGTGCTGAAGGTGGTGGCACTTTGAAATCATTTCAACAGCTCTCAAGTAGTCAAAATGCCTTCACAGGTCTTGCTGGAACTGGATTTTCTGCTTCCTTATTTTCCTTTGGGTCTAAATCAAATGATGGGTCTGCTTTGGGTAGTGAATCTGGTTCTATTTTTGGAATGAAAAATGACAAGGCTTTTGGCCTGGGTTTATCCAACAATGGAAGTTCTGGTTTTGGAACCCCAGGGGTAACTGCTGTTTCTAAGAGCGAAGGAAGTGGTTTCTCAACAAGGCAGGAAGTTGTCGTTGAAACTGGTGAGGAAAATGAGAAAGTGGTTTTTAATGCAGATTCAGTATTGTTTGAATTTGTGGATGGAAGTTGGAAGGAACGTGGAAAGGGTGAACTGAAGGTCAATGTAACTAGTGGAACGGGAAAGGCCAGGCTTCTTATGAGGTCTAGGGGAAATTACAGATTGATTTTAAATTCCCGTATTTATCCAGATATGAAGCTCACAAATATGGACAAGAAGGGTGTTACTTTTGCCTGCATTAATAGTGCCACTGAAGCCAAAGATGGTCTTTCAACAATTGCCTTAAAGTTCAAGGATGGATCCATGGTGGAGGAATTTAAAACTGCTGTCACAGCAAATATGGGTGAGGAGGCATCGACACTTCTCAAGACCCCAGAAAATTCTCCCAAGGCTTCTGATGTTTAAGATATATCCCAAACTCCTCTGATACTCAATTTTCTTGCAATTCTGTCTCTTTAGCTGTTATTTTACGAAGAGAAAATTTGTCGGGTATCATTCTCATGCCTTTGTGTGGCAAAATCTATCATACTTGAGACTAGTACTTTAATATGAGTCAAATCTAGGAGTGATAGAAGAATTTAATTTTGGGTAAATCATGGATTTAGAATACACAATCTTAGCTTTTGAACACTAGAACTTTCGATAATACTTCTGAGGCTGGAATAAGATAAATTTCGGCATTCAGTAGTGAACGTTTTCTACAATCATGACTCGTAGAAGTGTGTGAATCATGATTACTGTTTTTCTCTCGGCATATTGAAAGCTCTTTAACGGAATTCACTTCAACTTTTTACCACTCACTTTGTCTTTGTCATACATATTAGTTAAATTAGTTTGATTCCCCGCGTAATTAAACTTATTGACACTGATTTTTTTTTTTTATTTCATTTTTTACAAATTTGATTTTACTAGATTGAAATTGCCTTCTTTTAATTTATATATAGAAGTTATTATATTTATTTAAAGGGAAAAATATTTCTGCAGTTAATGCAGATAAGTTATCTGCATTTATTTTCAAAACGACGTCGTTTTAATATTGAAATCTTAAAAAATTATAAATATAAAGACTATTATAACTCTGAAATAAATTAAAATTACATAAACATCATGATTTCTGTTACAAAACGATATTGTATTGAGCTTACTGCGGATAATTTATATGCAGTAACTGCAGAAAAAGCGAATATATGCATTAACTGCAGAAAAAGCGAATCCTTATTTAAAATATCAAAACAGCTTAGCATGTTGGGGTGTTGGGTTTTGATGTTTGGGGGGAGGGGGTTGTTTATATTAACAACTTTTTATAATTTATTTTATGGGAAAGGTTATATTTACAACCCAAATAGTTTACAAACTCTTACAATCATATCTCAACCGTTGATTTTCGCCAATCAACGGTTGTCATTTATTGTGAATTAATAATTAATTAATAAATTTGATTTGCGAAAATTTTAACCGTTGATCGACGGAAATCAACGGTTAAGATATGATTGTAAGAAGTTGTAAACGAAAATAGGTTGTAAATATAATATTTTCTTTATTTTATTACTGTTAAATTAATTTTAAATTCACGGTTTATATATATATTTTCTCTTCCATCTGTGTTTCCCACCTTCATCTAGCGCTTTGAATTATGTTATAAACTTGCATTCAAATAAGGGTTTGAATGGTAAAGGAAATCACTTTCTTCATTCGGTGCACTTCACTTGACGAACTCAATTGTTTATGTGTTGGAATTTGAGAGATCCCATCCCAATTCAACTTACACTTATGTAAGTTTAAAAACCTACTCCCTCATAAATGTTTATCTAATTTACATCTAATAGTTTCAATTTATTAGAGTTCAGAATTATTAGATGCAAGTTGAATCAATAATTAATAAATAGAGTAAAAAAATTTAGGTTATAAATGTCTAATTATGATTGATAATAAAAATCACTTTCTAGTGTAGTTTTCATATCCTTATCATTTTTCCTAATAAAGTTAGAGATTAATATTTCTTATATTATAAGAGATAATTTTATCTCCTATATACATTTAAAAGTATACGGAATCTATGTTGGATCATGTAAAGAAAAAAAAATATAAGTCTCATATTTTTATTTATATATAGAAAATTATCTCCTAAAACATTAATCTCTAAAACTATTATCGGAATCCATTTCCTTCCGTTACTAACATAGAATACACGCAAAGGCAAGACTTATTTGTATCTTTCTCATGTGCTGTAAATAAAATTCTATCACCTGAATAAAAATTAAAATTTGTATATTATCCTAAAGTTTCTTTTTATCAAATACTTAAATTATTTTAAAATAAAAATAAAATACTATTTTTAATGCTTTAACTTATTTTTTGGCAAATATAAAGGCGCTCTTAGATTTATATTTCTTCCGTCGAAGCCACGTCATCACATTGCCATGTCACGTGCCAGTAGTGACCAATCACGAGCTTTCAAAACTCAAACCAACCTTAGGATTCCCAAAATATCCCCCAAAAATCCTGCAAAATCTGTCTCCTACTTTTAACCTTTCAATTGGTGACGACACTCGCAAAATCTCCCAAATAATCAATCAATTTAGGGTTTCAGAGGACGCAACTCAACCACTTTGGATCCCTATCCTCGCACAATTAACTCCATTCCCTCTTCAATTTCGGTAATTAGGGCTTCGATTCCCCTCGCCGTTTAGCTCCTTCAAGAAACTCTCAATTTTTTGGGCTTTTTTTTTTGCTGTTTTCAATTGACTGATGAAAGTTTCGATTCTTTAGAGGGTTTTTCGGTGTTGTTTGGTTATTCCGCGCCCCCATAAAGTTTGTTTTTTTCCTTAATGCCAGTTTTGGTGGTTGGGATTCGGTGAAAAATTTGTTTTTCCTAGTTTGTGCTTCGTGGGGATTTTTTTTTTTTGTTCGAACCTCGGTTTGATTCCTCGGAAAAGTCTAGGTTTTTTGTGGGGTTTATCGAGTGTTGCTTTGCTACTGATGGCTACGGCGGTTGAAGAAGATTTTGAGTACGAGAGTGACCCAGAAGATGCAAAGAGATCGCTTACAATGCGGAGGCGTGTAGCTAGTGATGATGAAGAAGGTGAAGGAGAAGGCAGAGACAAGAGGGAAGATCGTCGTGTCGGGGTTCGTTCTGATGATTCAGATGGTGAGGGTGGTGTTGCAGACTATGATGAAGATGATGATGATGATGATGATGATGCTAATGGTGATGTTGAAGAAGAATTGGAAGAGGTTGAAGTAGAAGCAGAAGAGGTGTACGAGGAGAAGGGTGGAAGTGGGGTTGAGGGTTCAGTGGTTGTGGTCAAGGAATCTGATGGTGATGTCATACCCCCTTTGGAAGATTCTGCTGAGGTCCACTCAGAGGAGAAAAAGGAGAATGAACCATTTGCGGTGCCCACAGCTGGAGCTTTTTATATGCACGATGACCGCTTCAGGGACAATGCTGGTGCCCGCAACAGGTATGTTTCAAAGTTTCATATTTTGCATTGCTCCAAATACACATGCCTAGTGGAATCTGTGGATACAATGTAGTGTCACTTTATTACTTGGACTTTGGAATATCGTAGTTAAGTTTTAGACATGGTCATAAAGTGCATTATATTTTATCTCTTTACCCTTTCAGGCGGATACGTGGTGGAAGGAGACTGTGGGAGTCCAAAGATGACAGGAAATGGGGACATGATAAATTTGAGGAAATTACTTTCCATGAAAGGAATTATGAAGAGGTGAGGATCTTTAAAATTCTGGGTGGTCAAGCATTCATTCTAGTTCGATCCTCAGTTTTCTGAAATGATAATTTTCTAATGCTTTCTGTATAAAATTTAGGGGAGGAGACCTTCTAAGGGTAACTATCGAGGCCGTGCTAAAAATCGAGGCACTGAACGTGGAGGATATGTTCAGGGAAACAGGAAAGGATATAATAACAGTAGCAATCAAAATCAGGTGTCTAAGGGTGTTGTAAGAGGGAGAGGTCCCCGAAGGTATGAACCTACAGATAAAAGCAATGGCCTTGCTCCCCAAGTGCAAAACAAACAGTAAGTACAGGCTGCATTTTATAACATATGCTTACACATGATACCTATAATGTCAAGACTTTCTGATAAGTATTTTTCTTTCTTTCTTTCTTTGTTTTTTTTTTTTTCTCTCAAGATCTGGGAAGTTTCGTGAGAAAATTTCACACATTAGTTTGGACAGAACTTCCAAACCCACATCCAATGAAGAATCTGGTGCTGTGCCTGCTAGGAAACAAGTGTTTGCTTCAAATTTGAATTATGCATCCCCACCATTTTATCCGTCTGGCTCTTCCAATAAAGAGAATAATCTGACACAAAAAAAGGATGTACAAACTGGCAGCACTAGCAGGAACATCCGCCCTGTTGTTATGGATGAGGGTTTTGCTGTTCAACAAAACAATGCATTGCTTCGGGGAAAGAATGTTGTTGATTCCATCAGCTTGGATAAGCTGTATATTGACGAGTCCATCAGTCCAACTTTTGGAAAGCCTTTGAACCATGTGCAAATGGCACCTTCTGGAATCAATGCTTCTCAATCTCCTCATGTCAGGACTGCTGGAACTGGGAGGGGTGTAGCAATCCCAGTACAGATGAATTATCAACCTGCTCCCTCACATAATCAGAAAGTTTCTCCAACGCAACTACAGGCTATTCAGAGAAATTCTGCAGCAGGGCGGACTTCAACTTCTGTGCAAGCTACTACCCCACAATTGGGCCATCGACCTGGTAGCGGGTCTCAGTCTTCATCTCCCCCAAAAACATCTGGATCAATTAATTCATTTGATTCTGGAGAAATGGATGCAGCATCAGAATCAGCTAAAGCCAAAGGTGCATTGATTGGGAAGGGGAAGGGAGGTTCCCAGGGTTCTGGAAGGGGCTCTTTTGTTTATGGTGGGGCACAGGTGATGGGGGCTGCTGGAAATGTGGGTGTTAGTCAGGGAGATCCAAACTTCCCAGCCACTCCAGCCTTTTTGCCAGGTTTATATCTATATTGCTGACTTTATGGAAATTTTGGATCCAATCTACTTATTGGAACTTCTCATATTGGAATGCAATTTTCTCATGCAAAAGTAGTTGTTAGTTGTAACATCACTCTCCGGTGAAAAATCAACTAATTGTATTATTTAATGTTACAGATGGATACTTTGACCCTGAAGGTTCTGATTTATTAACACCCACTTGGTTTTTTTGTGTTTATACTTTAAGCAGTTATTTTATTCATTTACTTCTTTTTAGCTTGTTAATGAATTTTTGTAATTCTGATTGGGATTTGGTGGGACGCAGTCATGCAATTTGGGGGCCAGCATCCTGGTGGTATGGGTGTTCCTGCTGTTGGCATGGCATTCCCTGGATATGTTGCTCAGCCTAATGGTTTGGGAAGTTCTGAAATGACATGGTACGGATATGAACTTCTGAACATTTATTAGGTGTTGAATTATGTTTGAGGAGTGGCCAGTTTGCTTGTTTTAGTGCCTTTGTCATGGTTGGTTGCAGTCTCTCTCTCTCACACACATTTTCTACAAAAAACAGACTATGTCGATGACAACAAATGGAAACAGAAATTTTTGGAAAGGATCATACAAGAATGTGTCATTTTGTGTTAAATGACTTCCTTTTTGTTAATAAAGGAAAAACTCTTTGATTTCTTTTAGTTCCTTTTGTATTGAAACACATAGTAATCCCTTCCTTCTGTGGTTTAGGCTACCATTGTTGGCTGGTGCTGCTGGAGCTTTAGGGGCTAGTTACTGTTCACCATACCTTGCTGTTGATGGTGCTTACACTCGACAATCAGGACAGACCTCTGTAATGGGTACTTCAAGGTTGGTCTAGTTTTATAGCATTAATATGATTTCATATTATTTAACACCATTTCCTTATCAATATTGCTGTAGCCTATTGCTAGTTTCTTGATTTCGTCTTTTGTAATTGAACCTTTGCAGCAAGGAACATAATGTTAATAATAAAGCTAATAATGAATTGAAGCCACCACAGAGATCTGGTAAAATATTGATATTCCATTTCCTTTGTTATTCTTTACCCATTGACCTTGGTTACTAACATTATCATTTGTGATTTATCTGTCTGTAGAGCTTGTAAGTGATGAGTTTGAACAACGGCAGAATAAACCTCGAAGGCAAGTTGGATTGCAACACCATCCTTTAATAGTTTAATTTTTATTGTGCTTGTGCCTAGGCATGGCACTGTACTACTACTGCCTGCTTCTGTTACTGATCATGACATCTTGGTTGCTATTGGCACAGTTGTGTATTAGATATATAATTTCAATTAATGTTGGTTTATGCTCTATGCAGATATTCAGAGATGAATTTTGGTCAGTGAAGTGTTATATAGGATGCAAGCTTGTTTTGAAATAAGCAGGTAAAGGGTTGTTATTTCCTCATTATTGGGTTTTTGTTTTTGGTGGTGTTGCAATTTTCTGAGTCTTGATAAATTTTGTTATGCAGGCCTTACTCCTGGCCCTTTGTTCTCCAGCTTTTGATCTGGAGCACTTTGGGTTGCAATAAATTTCAAGATATTTTAGGTAACTACCGATCTTTTGTTCTTCTTGAGAATATTTTTAAGTAGTGATTGTCTAATTGATTGGTGTCCCAATTTTGTATCATTTGATTTAACCATTAAACAGAACCACTAAAGAATAACCATACATCTGTTTCCTTTTTTCTCCGTCTTCTCCCTTGTCGTCCTCGCAGTTATATAACGCCTGCTCATGCTGTTCCCATTTCAGAAGTTATTGCAGCTTGACGGGTGGTAGTTGCTTGTTTAATTGTGCGGTAAGGATTATTATGAGCATAGTTAATTGGTACCCTTATAATTGATCAAGAAAATGCTGACATTTACTAGCTTCTTTTCAGGTTTTTCTTGCGGATTGCTATTTTAGTGAAGCTTGTGAGAAACATAGGCAGGCTTCTCGATAACACTAAGGATGTAGAAAAAAGCCATAATTATTGTGCAGCAGCTGATTGCATCATGGAGTTGAAGAAGTATTTCATGTGATTAAATTATCTATAAAGCTTGAGACATTTTTAATGTTTTTTATTTTTTTCAAATTCAATTATTTTTAACTGAATGGTTTTGTTTTCGAATTTCGTTTCAACTATTGTGACTTAAAAGACTATGGTTTGGTATTATGTTATCTACAGTTATCGTGCATTATCAATGGGAGTTTGATAATATTGTTACTAAAAGTGGGTTCATGTTTGAATTACTTACTGTTATCAACCTGGCAGACACGTGCTGCTTGCATGACGAATGCTTAATTTTGATTTTGTTGCCTATCTATTGATCAATTGTACGTCGATTGTATTGTGAATGTGGTTAGCCATTGAAACTGGTTTTTATGAGTTGCTCCTTGAGCAAATCTTACGTAGCGTGAACACATTAGTGGATGAAAGAATGAATATGCATTATTTTGTTAATAGATATGTGTGAGGTGTTGATTGAAATTCTAGTTTTGTTAAATTAATGCTAGGACGCTAAAGTTCTTTTTAAAATAATGGCAAGGATCTAGCGGTAAGTAAAAGCATCCCCTTAAATAGGTACAAGGTTTCAAGCAAATCATTCTTGCATGTCAATATGGTGGTGAATTTTTTTATGAATTATTTAACATGATTATATTATGTGTGAGGATCTTAATCATTTATCGTCAAATTAATATTGATGATTTTGTCATTTTTTGTCTTGATATTTTTTCTCTCTTATCACCGTTAATTTGTCCATACATATTTATGATCCTCTGATATGAGAGGGCATGAATCATTCTCTTTTCATGTTAGATGTTTAACAATAAATGGAATTGTGTTGTTTTTTAAATCATATTATCAATTACTTAATGAAGATATGATCAACGAACAAATAAGAATATTACTTAATAATAGGAATTGAGAGAAGCTTTCATTGTCATTTACCAAAACTCTGACGTGGCATCCAAGCTTGAACATGAAAGTTGTAACGAGCTGCAAGCCTTCTAATAATTCATCCAATTTTTTATGATATGTACCCCAAAAAAAAAAAGTAATATTCGTTGACCAACTAACACGTGTGCCGCACATGCAGGCATTTTCCCTCAGACCCTTCTCTCTCTCTCTCTTCTCTTCCACTTTTTGTTATTGAACTTTCTTGCAGTGGTTAAGGACCCAATTCAAGAATCATCGTTGACCCTGAAAGCACAACAGATCTTGGAGAACCAGCAGAGCTTGAAAGCGTTAAAAAGTATCCATGTAATTCATGCTCTTACCCTTCCCATCAAGAACAGGAACCCAATATCTCTTTGTTTGCTAAGAAAAAATGCATCAAGAACTAAAAACATGTAGTTTCCCTTCTCAATTTTGCCTTTCAACGTTTCTTTCTTGATAAAACCAAATTTCTTACGCATGGTATCCCAAAAAGGAAATAAATTTACAAGTGGGATTTCAAGCTTCTTTGATGATATATAGTTTAGGAAACTAATGGAGGATTGTAACAACAGAGGAGAAGTTCATGCAAATTTTACAAGACAGGCTTCATCAATGTTAGGTAGTAGCTTGGAGCCTACGTTATGTGGAAGATCAACTCCACAACATTCTCCTTCATTTCAGGGATTACATTCTAGCTTAACACCAAGAAGAGAAAGCAAAGGTAGTGTTGTTAATGGAGCACAGTGGTTTTGGAGCAACCGGTTACTGTTGTGGCTGTTTCTGATTACCCTCTGGGCTTATCTTGGATTTTTTGTTCAGTCCAGGTGGGTACATGGTGTTAAGGAGGATGAATTTTCAGGCTTTGGAAACAGGCAAAGAGGTACAAACTCAGATTCTGAACACAGTCAGCATCAAGATTTGATTGCCCAAAAAAATTCCTTGTCTTTTAATAATGAAACAGTTGGAAACAATGTTGGGATTGGTAACACAATGAATGTGGCTTTGGCCAAGAAAGAAAATGGTGTTACAAATCAACGTAAAACGAGTTTAATGAAGAGGAGGAGAAAACGATCAATGCATGCTTTGAGAGGTAAGGCACGTGGTAAGCATAAACAAAAGAGGATAGTTGAGAACAGTGGTATAGAGGAGCAGGAACAAGAAATTCCTCAAAGGAATGCTACCTATGGGTTCCTTGTTGGTCCATTTGGTTCAATAGAGGATAGAATTCTGCAATGGAGTCCTGAGAAGCATTCTGGAAGGTGTAACAGAAATGAGGATTTTGCACACCTTGTTTGGTCCAGGAGGTTTATGTTGATATTTCATGAGCTTTCAATGATGGAGTTGGCAACCGAACTCTTGAGTTGTGGGGCTACTGTTTCAGCTGTTGTGCTTAGCAAGAAGGGTGGTTTGATGCAAGAGCTTGCAAGGAGACAAATCAAGGTGCTTGAAGACAAAGCAAATCTCAGCTTCAAAACTGCAATGAAGGCAGATCTTGTCATTGCTGGATCAGCTGTCTGTGCATCATGGATTGGTATGAACAGATTGGTAAAGTTTCCTTGTATATTGTTGTAGTGTTTAATGTTGAAAAGTGGATGTATTTGCCTGTAAATAACTTTTAAACTCAAGAACAAAGCATAGATGGAGAATTGACATTAAAAGTTATAGGCTTCAACGGAAAGATTGAAAACTTGAATAATACACTTTTGAGGACCTTAATTTTCTGGATACACAGTGCAATAAGGTCAGAGGCTTAATTTCATATCCTCATAGTAGTTCTAAAATTATTGCCATAGAACTTTGCCTTCTTATCATGTTATATAATGAATTTAATCTCAACATCTTACTAAATGACACTGACACAGGATTCTCACCATGCCTAGCCTCCTTCATATAAATATAAGCTTCTAGCCTTTTAATCATTCCTGCCATTGAAAATTGATAGAAAAAGCGGTTAAGATTATACAATGGAGGTATGCTTATTACTTCTCAAATCTTGTACCATTATCAAGTGGAATGCTTTGATAAATAGTATGGAAGACCATGATTTTACACGTCTAATTAGAACACCATTTTCTTATATGTTTCCAGAGCAATATATTGAACATTTCCCTACTGGTGCAAGTCAAGTTGCTTGGTGGATTATGGAAAACCGAAGAGAGTACTTTGATCGTTCAAAGGATGTCTTGCAGAGAGTAAAAATGTTGGTTTTTCTTTCTGAATCTCAATCTAAGCAATGGCAAAAATGGTGTAACGAAGAAAGCATAAGACTGAAATCCCAGCCTGCAGTTATTCCATTGTCTGTTAATGATGAACTAGCTTTTGTAGCTGGCATTCCTTCTACACTTAATACTCCATCATTCAGTGCTGAGAAAATGGATGAGAAGAGGAAGTTGTTGCGAGATTCGGTTCGAAGAGAAATGGGGTTGACTGATAATGATATGCTTGTGATATCTCTGAGTAGCATCAACCGTGGAAAGGGTCAGCTATTGCTTCTTGAATCAGCAAGCTCAATAGTAGAAAATGTACCATTGCAAAAAAATAACAAAATGAAAAAGGCATCAGATGTTGGAGAATCCCTATCTACACAGGCTAGCAAACATCATATTAGAAAATTGTTGCCATTATTGAAGGAAAGCAGTGCAGCTTTGAACAATATCTCAAACAATTCTATAAACAGGTTACATGAATATAATATGTTTGTGTAATATAGTAAATTTATGTATTGCAGTATTGATGTATACTTTTTTGTTCACAGAAGAAGAAGGAAAGTATTGTCCCACAACAATGGAACAATGGAACAATCTCTCAAAATTCTCATTGGTTCTGTGGGATCTAAGAGTAACAAGGTGGATTATTTTAAAGGTCTTCTAAATTTCTTAGCACAGCATTCAAACTTGTCAAAGTCAGTTTTGTGGACTCCAGCCACAACACGTGTTGCCTCACTTTACTCTGCTGCAGATGTTTATGTCATAAACTCTCAGGTAAACCATGTTTAAATTAATCATTTAGGATTAGGCTTTGTTATCATTGTTGTTATTAGTTATTTTATAAGTATTTGCTACATTCATTGCTAAATTTTGCATATAACTTGAAAGAAAGAAAATTTTTGCTAAATCTCCATCTTGTTGTAAATGCTAATTTGCAAAATGGTGGACAGGGATTGGGAGAAACATTTGGACGGGTGACTATAGAAGCGATGGCATTTGGTCTTCCGGTATGACTTCCAACTTGCTTTAGTCGGGGTTTAAAGGGGAGTGATTTTAATTATGTATGTTGGTAATTTCATCTTTGAAAACATTGTTGCTTATTTGAGTTTAGAAATGTAAAATTAATTGGTGAAAGTAGTTGATAGTTGATAATCTCTAAGGTTTTAAGGAATGGATCCTCTCATGTTAAAATTTCACATAATCTGGACATGTGAAATTTTTGTGTCTATCTCTTTCTTAATTAATGATAATTGAACCCCACTTATTTAATGCATGTGAAGAGAGAAATAGACACAAAAATTTCACATGACCAGTTCATAGTTCATGTTGAATTTTAACAAGAGAGGATCCACAACAAAGGTTTTGTGACTCTTATCTGCTTAGTTTATTGAATGGCACAAAATGAATATTGAAGGTTCAATTTCATTTGAACTTATGTAAGTAGGTGCTTGGAACAGATGCTGGGGGAACACAAGAGATTGTTGAGCATAATGTGACAGGTCTTCTTCATCCTATTGGACGTCCAGGGAATCATTTTCTTGCACAAAATCTCATGTTTTTACTTGAAAACCCATTGGAAAGAGAGCAAATGGGAATGTATGGAAGAAAGAAAGTGCTGAGGATGTACTTGAAGCAGCACATGTATACGAATTTTGTACAGGTTCTTGTTAGGTGCATGAGAAGCAAATAACTGCTTGCCTTTTTCAATACTCTCATTCATTTATTGGATTCAAATCACATAATTCTTTGAATCTCTTTATACTGAAAATGTTATTCTTATGCCCAACTAATGAAGAAAGATTACCAGCTTCTCTATTTTTATTTTTCAGGAAATTGTGATTTGTAATAAAATTCGTCTTGCTCAATTGAACAAAAAAACTTAGTTTTATATCTAGTGAAAATGAAAATGGTGTGAATGAATTATATGTTGTCTCCTCTCACCCTAATATACTCCATCAAAATACTTATTAACTCATGTCTAATGTAAACTATCAGAACTCTTCACATAAATTGCTTTGAAACTTCAAATATCAATTATTTATTAATAAGAGCCGTAAGGATCAAATTAGAATCGAATCAATTCAAACATTTAAGTTATTAGCTGAGAAATTGTTCAAATGACCGTTTAGAATGTCTTAGTTAAATACATTGCTTCTAACAACATTTCACTATTTGCCACTGAATTGGCTTGTCAACGCGCAATGGGAGGGTGTTCATTTTTTGTCTATTTCCTGATATACACAGATAATATATTCGTTAAGGCTGAAAATACTTATTTTTTATATAGGTGTTAATGTTTTTCCTGTTAATAGGAGATATAATTTTATCAGCCCCACACACACGCACAAATGAATCGAACCCTACCTATAAGGAGCAGAGAAAAAAATTAAAAAATTCACTCACTTATATATGCATACAGAAAATAAAAATATCTCCTATTTAAAAATAAAAAATTAAACTCATAAAATATATATAATATATTCATACTTTTTATTGTGGTATAAATACATTAATGTGAAGCATCATTAGATACAACGCCCTAGAATTCAAGCTACTTGAGTTTAAAAAAAATTCGATAAAATAATAATAATCCAAACATGTTGATGAGGTTGAAAGTATCATATTTTACCAAAAAAAAAAAAGGGTTGAAAGTATCATCTATATCTAGAAGAAAACTTGACACTTGTATGACTCCTTGTTTTGGCGAAGCACCAAAATTAGGTTAAGAGAGCTTAGTGGGACCGTGGCAACGGTCACACAAAATTAGCTAACAAACATGTCATTGCGTAGTAGTGAAGGCTCGGGCATTACTCCAAATAGAGAAAAGTGAGTGCGTTCCTTAGTTGAACTTGAAAGTGAAAGTGAAACCGAAGGAGAGATACAAAGAAGGAAGCATCAAAAGACTTTCCAAAGAACTAATCTAACCAAATAATCCAAAGAAAACAAAAATCTTCATTACATTTGAATAAAGCAACTATGACATTACCCATATTAGTAGAGGTGGCAAAGCAAGCTCTCCGCCCCGCCTCGCCCCATCCCGCCAAAAGTCCGCCATAAAGTGGGCTGGCCCGCCTCGCCCCACCATTAAAGGTGAGCTAGATATCTCAGCCCGCCCCGTCCCGTTTGGGCGGGCGGAACGGGCTGCCCGCCAAGCCCATCACATTTTACACTAAAATTTAAAAAAAAAAAAAAATCAGCCCGGGCGAGCTGACAGACTTGTCGGGCAGCGGGTTTAGAAAACTCAACCCGCCCCACCCCGTTTGGCGGACGGGGCAAGCCGGTCTGGCGGACTCGGCCCATTTTGCCAGCTCTACATATTAGGAGAGAACTTTCCCCGGGATACTTACAACTAGGTATAATTACAGATTTTATTTAAACTATATAATTCCCATATTTAGGAAGTACGTAAAGTATTAAAATTAATTTTTTTCTCTCTTTTTAAAAAAAATATCAGCTAATATAACACACTCTCATTGGTCCATTGTATTTACTAGAGCACTAAACTTTTTTTTCCCAATACCCTTTTTAATATCAAAACTATTATAAATACCTTGTGATATAATTTCTACAAATACTATACCATGTTCATGTGGAAAATTCAAAAACCAAATTTCCTAAATCTCCAAAATGCAACCGGTTTGGACATGACCCCTAAACCATTCTGGGGTATCTAATTTTCTCCAATTACAACTCTTCACATGAAACACAAAACCCATGTGCGATTCACCGAAGCTGCTTGACCCAATCAACAACACTACCCCATCGAACGCTCCAACGTACGCCACGTTGCGTATCTCATCCGGCACCTTTGCTAACTTCTGCCACGTGTCCCCCTGCATTGCCATTAACTCACCGCCGCTGCACATGAACACCCTCTCGTCTCCATCGCCACCGTCCACGAATGTCCTCGGACACGTGGCGCAATCCAAGAAATCGTCATCCACAATGTCCCATTTCCACGTGGCAGCATCGAACGCCTCCGCGCTCCGCTCGAACCTTCCCTGCATCTCCGTCCGGTAACCACCGACGACGACGAACCTCCCGCGGCGAAACACCGCCTTGCACTCGTCGCGCTCCGCCGCCATATCCGGCAGCGGGACCCACTTGTCCGCCCCCACGTCGTACGCCAACGCCGACCTCAGCGCGTTCTTCTCGTCGTCGTGTCCGCCGGCGACGAACACCGTCCGGTCGGAATCCGACGCGCAAGCGAAGAACGTGCGGGGTCCACCCGGCATGTGGGTCCCACGGCGCCACTTCGCCGACAAGAAATTATATATGAAAACCGAATTTGAAGCTTTCCACGAATCCGGGTCTAACCCGCCCATTACAACCAGGTCGTACCCGACATCCGCCAACTGACACAGAACGGGTAACCCTGACCCGAATCCGGGTGGTGGCGGTAATTCGCTCCAATCACCCGTTTCCGGTTCGAATACGCTGAGACGGTAAGCCGGGTTCGTCAAACGCTTTGTCGAACCGGTTCCGCTTTTCTCCGGTTCAACCCGTGCCTGAACCATGACTAGGACCTTCTGTGAGTGCCCCGTGCTCCGCCGTTGACGGCGAAACTCCGGCATCTGAACCTCCGTCTTCCACCCTTTGCACACCGACGCCACGGTAGAGAACTGCTGATACGAAACCCGAATCAGACAGTCTCGGGCTACGTCCTCGGGTAGACCCGAAATAAGCTCCATCGTAACAGAAACACCGTGAAAACGAAGATCAACACTTTATATCACTGAATCAATGAACACCCATGAATTAGAATTGAAGAAAGAAATGATCTTGAGGTGCAAGTTTGGAACTTGACTGAGCAAATCTTTGAAAGCGTGGGAGATATAGGAAGAGGGGTTTGCGTAATTCGAGGAGAGAAAAGAGAATTTCGAGAAGGGAATATGTTAAGGTTGTGGAGATGGTTTTGTAAGAGTAAAAGGTTCAAGCTTTTATAGAGAGGAAGAAGAGGAGTGCACATGGTGACGGTGTTTGCGACAAGTTCTGAGTGAAAAAGCAATGGGTGTTCTAGAAGGCTTTTCATTGAGAATTGGGACATATTGAAAGAGACAACGGCAAAAAGCATTACCAATGCAAATGGAAGCGATTGGATTACTTAAATTTTTTGAATTATTTATAATAAATAAATTCTTAATTTCTATGACAAATTTGCTATGGATATATTAACCTTCTTTAACAACTAATATGTTAACTCTCTTTTTCTTTTTCTTTTTTAATCTTTCCTAACGTAACCTTTCGTTACCAAAAATAATGAAAATTAGTCTTCAAAATAATTAGGATAGGTTAAAAAAATATAAAGATTAGTCTCTTTTTCCTTTTTTCGTTTGCATCACAATAATTGGTGTTTCCCATCAATGGTGCTTCTTAGTAAATTGCACCAATGGCGCTTTTTAGTTAATTGAACCGGAATATCTGCCAAAATGCCATTATCTGATGTTAAATAAAGGGAAAAGTTCATGTATTTTTGATTTTGATCCTAATCACTTATTTTCTGTAATTTTTTTTATTACATATGTCGATGTGATTTATAAAATGTAAAAAAATATAAGGACATATGTGATAAAAAATATATCATTTTGCAAATAATATGAGCATGTGTGATAAAAAAAATCACAATGACATAGATAATTCTGGAGTAAATCACAAGGACATTGGTGAACTCTTTCCTTAAATAAAATATGATATAGTTGTGTGAAAAAATCACAATCATTCAAATATAAATAAATGGTAAATTTAATATCTATCTATTTTAATATATTTTTTTTTTTTTTTTTGATAAGCATAATGCGGAAAGCCCCCAAGACCAACTCAAGTTAAAACAACTCTACGAAAATTACATACCAAAGAAAAATCTGCCAAATACAGTGGCAAAATACCAGGGGGAAGGGAGCTAAAAATACACAGATTATTCTCTATTTCATGGTCCAGTGGATACTGAGATAGCCAATCTGCACAGCTATTACTTTCTCTATAGCTATGAATAAGTTGAACATCTCACTCTTTCCGTAACCATGCTCGAATGCGAGCCACTAATCTGAACTCTCGAGCTGCTCCCCCATTCTTGATGAGCAAAGTGATAACTGTACTAGAATCCCTTTCTAAAATACGTCTCTAACCCCCAATCCAAGCAGCTTAAAGACCCTTGAGAACACCCCATAATTCAGCCACAAAAGTTGAACATTGGCCAATATGATACGCCAAACCATGAAGCCAGCAACCAGATTCATCTCTTAAAATAGCCCCACAAGCAGCCCCTCCACCATTACTTCTAGCCGCCCCATCAATATTTATTTTTATCTAACCAGACTCTGAAAGTTCCCATCTGTCAGAAATAATTCCCATGAATTTTGTAGAACTCATACTCAAATGGTTCCCCCGAAGCTAAGGAGAATCATTCCCTTTATTTAACTATATTTTTTCTCTTTATTCCCTTATCATCATTGATCTTTTTTCATATAATTATAATTTTTTACGTAACCATATTATGTTTTATTTAACATGAGAATAATTACTTCCCAACTCTCTCTCTATTTTTTAAATATTTTAATTTATTCATCATTTCGTAATTAATCTAATTCGTGACAAAAAATTTAAATTTTTTTCAAAGACGAGAGTGTAAAATCTCCATTCCCCAACTTTTATACATCTTTAATTTTACTATTTTTTTATTACAATAATTAATGTTTTCAATCAATGTTTGCATGTTGACTTTACTTTTCTCCTATAGATTTCCGGGCTGAACCATTTATCGCTTCTTGCTTGATGTTAGTTACGTAAAGAAAAAGTACACCGAAACTTGAAACAGTAATCAAAGTTTTATTTTTTCGCAAAAACTTTATTCAAATATTACGGGAACAATACTTTTTTATCAGACTGCTACGTGTCATAATTCGCTATCAATAGTAGTAAATTTTGTGACACGTGGCTACATTTTAGATCAAATTTGCTACCACTTGTAACGAATTATGACGCGTCAGCTTTTTTCTGTGAAAATGTGTCACGTGCCTTAAATCAATGACGAACGTAATTCGCTACCAGTCGTAACGAATTACGCCTATGTGTCAGTATGGTAAAAAGTATTGTTCACGTGATATTTGGATAAAACTGTTGACAAAAAGTGACATTATAGTCACTGTTTCCAAAAACTTTATGGATGCCAATTTAATTTATTGTTAAATTTATTTGATAATTATTTCACTTTAGTTAATTACTTATTGACCTCACTGAGGTAATTTACTAACTATTTACCAAATACTTAAATGAGAGCTTATTTATGAATTTTATAGCGAATATATTTAAAAGAAGTGTTTAGTATTTATCATTTTAAAGGATATAGGATTATGTGATTTTTTTTAAAATTTAGATTTTAAATAAAAAAATATTATGTTATATCTTTCTCTCACTTAAAATAATACAATTATATGTTCTTTAAAAGTATAAACATTTTCCCTTAAAATAATTGATCATAAATTTAAATTTCTTATTTAATATAAATAAATAACAGTGAATTTGGATGAAGAAAATGAAAAAAAAAATCTCGTTTTACAGTTCGAAAATAGACAAGAAAAAAAAAACTCCAGAAATTCATTTCTTCTTTAGTCCTATCAAACACGTAGTTTTTGTTCTTACAGAATCAGAAAGAAATAAAGCAAACTAAATTTATAATTCAATTTTTTCCACTTTTATAATTTAACTATGAGAGGTGTTAGGTAGAGGATAAATATTGTTTATGCTTGGTAACCACAATTATAAGAAATATATTGGAAAAGTGAGTTTTTCACAAATATGGCCAAAAAGTTATTTAGTAGGCCAAAATAACCAGAAATATTGATTCAAGTTTTTTGATTATATTTTTTTATTTATTGTCAAATATTATTGAGAAAGTATGATGCTTTTAAAAACTTTAGTGCTTGCACTAGTGGCGCGATTATTGCGCTAGTGGCATGGAGGTTAAAGTATTTTCTCATCTCTCAAGAATTCAAAAGTATCACTCTTTGGTGATATTTTTGGATAATATTTTGCCTTAAAAAATGTTTACAAATTATATTATTAGAAAAATTAGATTCTGAGAAAAAAATTTCATAATTCTTATGTCAAACGTGAATAAATAAAATTCTCAACACGTCACTTTCCCCAAAATCTAAAAAAAGTCATCCTTGTTGCTAGTAAAAACCACTATTTTTTGGTTTGGATCTTCCAAATCATTCCCGTTCGAATTCATTTGTTTTATAATCCTTCGATAAAAAGATTCATTCTCAACAAATAAAAAAATGTCTTTCCATTCTTTTATTTACCATTCAAACAAAATAAGTTGTACAGTTCATTCATTCATTTTCTGTCTCTTCTAGCTTATAAGTGATTAAGAGTCTGTTTGACATATTTTCCTTTTAAAGTTAAAAATTATTTTTAAGTTAATGTTATAAAAAAAATTCTTAAAAAATTATGCTAAAAGTTATATAAAACTGTTCTTAGGATTTTAAAAGGAGGAGATAAAATAATTTGTAATTAGAATAAATCATTAGTGTAAAGGATTAAATTTAGAAATATAAGTTTAAAATAAGGGTAAAACTATAAAATATGTATGAGAAATCCAAAAATCTGACATATATCTTAAAAAAAGTTTATCGTGAGAGCTTTTAGAACATATTTTACATCTCTTTTTGTTTTTAGTTAAAAGCTACTTTTAAGATAAAGTTAAAAAATAAAGCTAAAAAATATTTGGTGATTATATAAAGTTATTGTTAAGGTTTTTAAGAAGGGAATATGAAGTAATTTATTATTTAGATAAAGGATAAAATTTATAAATACAAGTTTAAATTAAGAGTAAAATTATAAAAAAAAATATAAGAACTCAAAAAAACTGGCATACATTTAAAAAAAATTCTTCTAAGTTTTTAACTTTTTAGCTTTTTTCTTAATTATAAAAAAAATCTTTTTATTATAAGAGTTTTTATAAAAAAATTAAGTTAAATTTTTACATTTAAGATTAAGAGAAGCTAAAAATAAGACCCACCAGACAGGCACTTAGCTTTTAACTTTTTTGTTCGTTATAAAAAGTTTTTATATATATATATATAATAAGAGCTTTTACAAAATTATGTTTTGTTAAGTTTTTGCTTTTAGGGAGAATATAAAACTAAAAATAAGACATATCAAACAGGTACAAAGGATATGTTTGGATGAATTTTGAAAAATAGTTTTTTTTTTTTTTTTACTTCTTTTATAAGAATTTTTTAAAAAAATTAAGTTATTTTTTATTTGAATGTATCATGTCAAAAATACTTTTAAAAAAAATTATAATATATTTTATATATATAAAATTACTAAAAATAATATATGAAAACAAATAGTTGAAGAGAGATTTTTTATTTTATTTTTTTGGGACAGCGTTGAAGTGAGATTTGATGGTGGAGAAGTGGTGGCGATGGCAGCAGCAAAATGGGGACAGCAATGACAGTGGTAAATATGAGACCAGTTAGGATTGGAGTTAGGATAAAATTAGATTTTGGAAAGTAAAATATTTGACTTTCTACTTTTATAAAAATTTTAGCTCTGAAAAAAATATATGATTTTGATTTATTTTTTTTACTTATGTTTGTTTTTAAAAATTAAAACTGATATATAAACATTCATTTAAAAAAATTAAAAAAACTTTTGGAAAAAAAAAAATCATCCAAGCGCACTATGAATCATTTTAACAGTTAGGTTCGTGAAGAAAAATTTGGGTCGAACCATACCAACTCATATGTAGTATAATGAAAAAGATTCTCCTATTTTGATTAATTTTCAAATAATTGATTTTGTAAAAAATATAGAGAGAGAGAGAGACGATTATCAACTTACATCAATATAAAAAAAAAATTCTTAAGTCATTAAGATTCATCTGGTAATAAGGAATTCAGGTAGTTTGGTTACAAATCTCATGTCACAATAAGACAATTATTTAAAAAGATGTTGAGTAACAGCAGC